AGCCACTGTGATTCGTCGCGCACGCCAGTCACCGACTGCCAGCGCAGGGACCTTCCTCGGCCCAGCTCTACCCTGCCACGACGTCATCCAACATCCTCTTCCAGCTTCTCCCCCCCCCTCCCCTGGCTGTTTTCTTCACGCACCGGGCCAACCACAACATCAGTCGCGATTCAGTTCGTCGCACTCTGGCCCCAAGCTGGCTGCTTGCATCTCCAAGGCTCCATCATCTCCTTCGGTCGTGATCGTCAAAGCACTAATCCTCTTCAGGTTCCGAACAAGACTGGCCATCTTCCGCTTGGACGGTTCATCGAAATAAGGCCTGGCACTGTCAACTTGGATCTCGGTCCTGGTTCCCCTTACACGTTTGTTTCGGTTCGGATGAAAAGCACATGGCCGCAAATTCTTCGTCTGTTACTTCATCCCACGTCTGCTGAACTTCCACCCATCCGATGAAAACCTCACATGCGGCATGCCAAAGCGGACGGCTGGACCCGAAGAATTGCGCAGCCTGTGGCTGGGATTGTGGAGGATTCTTCTCTTGTCGACACCATGAGACGAAACGCCGGACGTCGTTTCTCAAGGCGAGTGGCTCTTCTGCTTCGACTGCCAGACGCAGGGTCTTTGTCCGTACAGGAGCACCCTGCATGCCGAGGTAGAACATCTTACTTCCGCCATCCTTCACCTGCTTTCCGAAAATTGCGCGTCTGGCGCAGTACGGATACACAGAGTGCGCAACGCGTGAGGGGAGATCTGCATCTTGACATTGGAACCACTACCAACATGTCTCCGCAGGATTCGACGGCATCATATCGGGATGGCTCTATTTTCTCTCATATCTTGCGTGGCCTGGACCAAGGTGATGTGTACTACTGTGGCTCAGATGCCGTGCTGCAAATATTCCACCCACCAGCTCGTACACCTAGGGGCTTAGCCTGTACGGATACCTATGTTCTCGCGTCACCCGCCGGATGAGACGGGCACTCTGACTTCTCCCTCGCAGCTCGACAGACGCACTGCTACCTCGACTTCGGTTTCGATTCTCGTCGTTATTGGGCCCGGAACTTTGAAGGCCTCTCACTACATAGTGTCACAAAGGGACTGACAAATAAGAAACACCTGGGTCGTCCGCCGTGCTCCTGAGACCATCGGCGCCAGATCGACTCGGTGCATACGGTAACCCCACTTAGCCGTACGCCGGCGTCCGCTCGGCACACTTCGAGCTCCATACGAAATGTCTTCTCAGCTTGACAAGGCATCTCAATGTCATCATTATGAGGAGCTTGGTGACGGTACAACATATGGAAGGAATCGATGCTGGATCAGCTGTTTCCAACGTACGAGCTAGAGCTCGGCGGACAATGGGCGCCAAGCTTGTCGAGACTCGAGGAAAGGAGATTCTGTCACTAGGAGTGCATTGAGTAATGGGAAAACACACAAGTGTCTCACCATCTCAAGGAAGTTACGGCATCATGTCTTGGACGGTCAAATGGCACGCACATACAGAGCGGACACGAGCTGACAGGTCCCATACAGATGACAAGAGAGTGACGGCTCGCTTGCCGACCCGCAGCAAAGCCACAAACAAACCGAGGAGGCTTGAAGTAATCTTGGGCGTCCACCTGTATCACACTCGAGAGCCGTGGATGAGTAATGCTGACGAGCTCAACGAAGTATGATGACTAAACAAGCCATGTGAAGCTGGAAAATAGTCCTCCATGTCGATAACTATTAGGTATCGCTGCAGTACGAACCAACCGGCCCTGGTTGCCTGGAGCATGGATGTGGCTGGAGTCTTGAAGGATCATGAACCCTGCGCCTATCTCAGCACGGCTCGTGCGTTGCCGATAACCTAAGTTTATCGATAAGGAACGTACCGACGTCTCAATCCACCCGACACCACAGTTCCAGCCGGCTCGTTCCGCTAAACTTTGTTGAAGCTCCGGGCAGCTTGCGTTGAACTTCATCTCAGCCACCATCTTCGTCGACAGACTCTGTCAAAGTCTACAACAACCTCCGATGACGAGCAAACCGATGGGTACTCTTCGAACGGCGTACCGTCTTTGCACATCACCTACTCGAAGTCTACCATACGCAACGAAACAATTGCCGGGTATCGTCTTGCGACAGGTAAGATGGAGCTCCTCAACGCCCATCTCGAAATTGGTCTTCCCTGAAGATGACGACGCCGAACCGAGCGCATTGCGACACATTCACCTCTCCGGCTCTGATTCGAACGATTTTCCGTCTTATGACTCGGCTTCAGAGTTCCAAAACGTTCTACGCCAGGCCTTCCTCGACTGGAAGTCGGCCCCGAAGCCCCGCGCTCCGTCACCCCTTGTCGTATCTTTCACTCCGGCACCTACGTACACCCTCGGCCGCCGCCAAAAGACTTTACTACCCGAGCAGCTGGCTCGACTTCAACAGCCTTTGACTGTTATCGACGAGACGAAGGCTGAGGCAGGGGAACAAAATGGTGGAATGGGTTCACGAGAGCAGCAGTTCACGCCCAAAGTCATTGAGACTGACCGCGGCGGACTGACAACATACCACGGGCCCGGGCAAGTTGTTCTATGGCCAATATTGGATTTGCACAGCACATACTATTCACACTTGACCGTCCGATCCTACGCGCGACTCCTGGAAGAGACAACACAAGCGATCCTTGCTGACGGACCCGGGATCCAGACTTACCTCTCTGAGGATGACCCGGGGGTATGGGCCGAAGCCGCGCGGCGGCGAACAGGGGGACAGGAGCGCAAGATCGCCGCCATGGGCGTCCATCTCCGCCGTCACATCTCGGGGCTCGGCACGGCGCTGAACGTGGACGTTGTCGTTGATGGCGACGAAACGTTGAATCCTTGGGCGAGGTTCGTGCCGTGCGGACTCGAAGGGAAAACCGCCACCAGTGTAAGAGCCGAACTGGGCGAAGCGCCCTGGACGCAATTGAGTCTTGCCGGCGACGGTAAGGCGAAGAGAGAATGGTACGCCCGCCGGTGGGCTGAGGAGCTTGCCAAACGCCTGGGAATCAGCATTGCGCCGACGACAGTACATCAACGACTGGGATGATAATACCATTGAGACCGTTCGGGAATCCAAATCGGCAGCCTTGCCGTCTTTTTGTGAGTCGCGCTCCGGTACTAGTTCATGGATAAGCCGACCGCCAAAAGTAAGATTGATGGTGACTGGAGTGCACCACGGGTTACACAATATATAGCATGCCTGCCTCTTCTCCTCTTCTCGTCAGCTTATCAATCTCTGAGCCACTGTTTCGGATGTCGGAGCAGCCAGTATTGGACCGGACCGTTGGCTATGGACGGCACGTAGCAAGGAGATACGCGCATCCCGTGGTCGGTCCGGGTCAGCATATCTATCCCTTCGCACTCTGACCTTATTCCCGGAAGAGCAAGAATACACGCCATCAAGTTCCGGCTCGCTGGGAACTTGGTTATTTCCGGCGGGGCGGGGGGCGAGGATACTTCACCGCACATTGTCAATCGTGATACCCCATGTTCATCAGCAAACACCTTTTTTTGATATCTTGGCATATCGGATTCCAGCCTGAAAAGCCAAAACGACCTCTTGGTCTTGTGGCGAAGCATCTTTATCACGCCTGCAGACGGGGGGGGCAAAGTGCTCTTTGTAAGGGTATGTCGACATTGCAGGTCACGGATACGATATCGCGTTATCCTTTACAGACTACAACCTTTACTGGTTATAGATTGCCATCTGGACATCATACATAGCGAGAGCCTTGGCAGAACGCACTTATCAAGCTGCCACGCACATTTGTCTCGTAACGTTTGCTCCGGGACGCACCGGGACGGGGAGAGAGGGGGGCGTGGTGGCATGGCTGGAGCTCATAGGAGGTTGCTCCTATCCCACAAGAAAGAGAGCCACCGAGGCGGACCCCCTTGCTGTAAGAGATTTTACGGATAGATACCTTACAAGGAGATAGATAGAGAGTGAGTAGGAATACTCACTTCGAACAAGATAGGACTCAACTACTACTCCTTGCGGGATTTTATCTTTTCCAATCTTGTCCCACGTCTTGTTAATAGAATAACAAAATGCAATGCAATGCAATGCCCACCCCGTCCCATGCTCTGTAATCCATGATCTGCCGCGCCAAGTCCCGTGTCTAGATACCCCCATCCCACCACACACACACATAGCACATCCAACGTCCCACCTTTGACGCCTTCACGCCCTGCCATGTTGCCATGCCATGCTATGCCACCAGAGATTTAAAAAAAAATCTGGTTCACCCACGGTTCAACGGGCGTTTGTCGCATGCTTGATGTCAGGGGTGCCAGGTGGCAATCTCTTAGCCGCAGACGTGATCCTGGGTAGCCCACATGTGCAGTGCACACACACACACACACACACGGCTCACACCCACAACGACGTTGCAGATTTGTTTCCATAGACGGAATGGTGGAAGTGGAGGGGGCGACAAAAGATCGACCGTCACCTTTCCGCGTCCAGGTCGTCTTCGCGGCAGGTAAAAGATTCTCTTGTTTGCCTTGGAAGTGCTGGCTAGGCTCACTCCTCTGACGATAGAAGAGTTGAAACCTCAAATAACCACAAAATATAGTCGAGAAATGCAGACACGGGACACCTGAGAGCGAGCGATGCACACTATAGAGTACTATTAATTATCAACGCCGATGCTATGATGAGTATCAACCCGAGGAGCGAACCCTCCCGCCAAAATAAAGCCGTGAAGAAGGATGAAAGCCCTCCATCATGAATCATGATACCTTTCCCATCTGCGTAGAGCAAAACACTAAAATCACAATGAGCCAAATCAAGGCAAGTTTTAATTCTCCCACAATGCGGGACCCCTCCAGAGACCACCAAAAAGTAACACCACCTTTGTCCCCCCCCCCACCCCATTACACTCCTGGAAATCGACAGTGGAGGTCCGCCCCCCTGATGCCCATGGGCCATGGCAAGCTGCCCAATGTGTCACTGGCCTAATGGCCGATGGTACAGTGGTCCCATCGTTTGTTGTGATTGCCTAGTGATCTGACCTGACCCTTCCCTTCTTCTTGGGCGCTGGCAGCCTCTCGTGGTGGCCATCATCGTCAGGAGTCCACTCCTCGGGATGAAAGTGGGGATTATTGTAATGCGCCTTGTTGAAATGGCTGTTCTTGAACATTGCAGTAGTAAAGCTGGGTTCTTGGAACCCTGTCTGCCCTGGTATCACTGACGGTTGCGCCGAGTTGGTGTTGTTGAGATGCCAGCACTGATGACTGAACCTGAGCTGGTAGTCCACGGGTTGAGATGGCTTCGTAGGGGCGGGCGTCGACTGTTGTGGTCGAGCTGGCGCTTGGGACTGCCGTCGAGAGGCAGGTGCCGTCTGTTGCTGCTGCTGCTGCTGCTGCTGCTGCTGCTGAATATGCTCAGAGTACGGCGTCGCGAGCCAGGGGGACTGAGGTGAAGGGTCGTAGGCGTCTGGCAGCGGAGAGGCGGATGTGGGCGAGCCGAGTGAAGACAAGGCCGATGACAAGCCCGAGGGCGGCCCACCGAATCCGGGCAGCATGGCCAAAGGGCCATAGTCGAGGGCATAGTTCTGCAACGAGGGACCCACGCTCGCAATCTCTTGCGAGTGAGAAAAGGAACCAACCCGGTGAACCTGGAGATTCAAGGGTGCCGGGTTCGGAGGTGACTTGTATAGGATATCATAGTGATCGGGCCGGTAAAGCAAGTACATGATGGGTCCCAGAGTGGAGGGGTCCTGGCCATTAGCCTCGTCGGGGAAGCGGTAAATATTGACCTGATTTCCCGGGCTCCGATCCAGATAGGCAATCTCCAGCACAAAGTTGATGGGCTTCAGCAGCACCTGAACGAGCAGAATGATGCCGAGATGGTCAATCTCTCTGTTTGGGCGCTCGATTTCGGCGCAATAGCCGATGATACCCGTCTCGGCGGGGATGAAGGGTTCGTAAAGCTCGACGTTTCCCTTGAGCCATGAGAGCGCCAACAGTCGAAGGTGATAGATTATGGCATTGGAGGAGCCCTGATCATTGAAGCGCTGGACCATGATGTCCATGGCCAGTTGTGGGTTGGCAATGTTCTGGGCAACGTCTTTGAGCAAGCCAATCGTCTCGTCCACCATGTCCTCAAACAACATCCGATCGTAGCAGCCAACATTGAGGAGGTACTGATTTAAGCTCGTGATGCGCGCGGCCTCGCCGAGGATCTGGTGCTGGTCGCCATTATTGATGAGATGCTCAAAGTAGGAGAAGCCGATTGCTAGAGAGAAATATTGTTAGTTATAATTAGCATAATGGGTGCCATAGCCTGACGATGCCGTGTTGGTAGTTTCTCCGCTCCAACGAGCATGTGCGCCGACATGTGTCGAATGGAAAAGTGGCGTGCTTGACAGAGGTGAATTCTCTGGAGCATCCCACTTTGTCGAGGGGCGGGGATGCGGGGTAGGAGGAAGAAGAATGGTGGTGGTGGTGGTGGTGGTGGTGGTGGCAGTCAGGATCGCGAAAGGCAAACTCACCTCGCCAGCCGCAATTTCCGTCACCTTGAACAGGGCGGTAGTGAGAGTATGTCTGGGGGAGATTCTGCAGTGAAAAGGAGCAGAAGCGCTACGTTAGCCAGTGCAGCATACTGCAGGGAGTACGGATGCCGTAGGAAAGGCATGCTGAGGGGGACTCACGATGGTCTTTGCGATGTAGATTTCATCAGCCTTGGCGTACTCGTCGGTTATGGCGTCGCTTGTGATCTTGTCGCCCACCAATAAACCCTAGAAAAGAGCGTAAGCCATGTCAGCGTTGCGTGTGGCAGGGGAAGTAGAGAAAGTGACAATTCAGGGTCGACAGGAGACTCCAACATGAAGAGGCAATGCATTCAATGGCATTGCATTCATATGGTCAGAGAGGGTTGTGGAATTGGGGTGAGGGCGAGAAAAAGAGAAAGCGTGAGGAAGAGAGAGCACTTGAAGCTTGGGGTCCGTGACGGGAGCTAGGCGTGCGTCTCCCGGAGTCGGGGTGGCGAGCAACTCACCTCGAGCTGTGGCTGATAATCCCGAGCGGCGGCTTCTTGGGCGGCAACGTCGGAGGGGTCGCCGGGTTCCATGGCGGAAGGACGACGAGTGCTCACGGCGAGGGCGTGGGCGTGGGCGTGGGCGTGATCAGGAGTGGCGGCGGCGGCGGTGTTTGCGAAGCCTGGGTTGGCGTTGGAGCTTGTGGTGTAAAAGGCAGAAGAGGATGTTGTCGAAGAAGAGGCGCCGGGGTGAGGATGAGGAGGAGGGTGTTGTTGCTGGACGTGTCCGTGGAGGTGGTTGTGGTTGGAGTAAAGGTTGGCGTGGGAGTAAGCGTAGGACGAATGGGAATGAGAATGAGAATGGGAATGGGGCAGGGAGGAGCGGGAGAGGGAGCGGGAGGAGGAGGAGGAGGAGGAGGAAGAAGACGCGGAGGAGGATGAGGCAGACGCAGCGCCGGGGCTGTTATGGTGGTTAAGGTGCAAGTGGGCAGCAGAAGTAGCAGCCGAAGCCACGGCGAAAACGCCAGAGACAACGTTGGTGTTGGTGGTGGTTGGAGGAGGGGAGGTAGATGAAGGAGACTGAGACTGCTGCTGATGATGATGATGATGTGCAAGTGCAGCAACCTGACTCTGAACCTGAACTGGAACCTGAACTGCACGCGATGCGGGAGTGTTGGTGGTGGTGGTGGTGACAGCTGGAACCCGGCCGGCACCTGGGCCGGGGCCAACAACAGGCGCCGTGGCTGCTGTTGGTGTTGTCGCCAACGTCCCTCCCGCTGCTGTTGCTACTGCTGCTGTTGTTGGGACTGGTTGTCTTTGCTGCTGTTGCTGCTCGCGGTACTGTTGTTGACGCTGCTGCTGGTATTGATGCTGCTGCCCGTGCTGATGCTGCTGGTGCTGGTGTTGCGCCGTTGTTAGCGAGGTTCCAGGTCTGGCCGGCGACGCAGCAATCAGGCTGTGTGCGCCTGCAGCTTCCCCTCCCATCCCCATAACACCAGATAGCGACTGTGACAGTGATTGCGACCGCGGCTGCGACTGCGCCGACAGGGACAGCCCACTGTGGCCCAGGCCCATACCCATGCCGTTCAGGCTGTCCATGCCCATGCCCATGCCCATCTGTGCCATGCCCATCCCCAGCCCTAGCCTGCCGCCGCCGCCACCATCACCACCACCGCCGCCGCCCATCACCAGGGGGTTACCCATGCTGTCCAGTCCCACCGACGATGCACCCGATGACGAACCCACTCCAGCTCCAGCTCCAGCTCCCATGCCAGAACCTCCAACACCTCCAGCTTGGCCATGAGCTTGACTTGGTCCATGACCTTGGCCTCGACCACCAGATCCAGAACCAGAGCCAGAACCAGAACCGGCTCTCTCTTCTCTTGCTGACGACGAGTAGCCGTAGTGTGAGCCGCCCATTCTTGTACCAATGCCGACGTCGTGAGATGCACCTCCTCCGACACCATCGCCCACCATACCCATCCTCATCCTCATCTCCACTCTTCCTACCCCTCTTCCTCCTCCTCCTCCTCCTCCTCCTCCTTCTTCATTCCTCATCATCATCATGTCCTCCAACCCTACTGCGCCGGCGCTGATGCCATAGCCTCCGCTGTTCTGAGACGGGTGGTCCTGCAGCGGGCCGCCCTGGGGCTGGATGTACGTTTGACCGTGAGCTTGACCGTGGGGATGAGGGTGAGAGTACGCGTTATGTGCCGAGGCGTGGAACGCGAAAGGCGTTGGCTGAGGCTGGAACATGGCCTCACTTGCGCTCTCGCTTCTGAGCCCTGCACGTTGGCGTCTTGTTTGACCGACTCAAGAGTCTCAACTGATGCTTCTGCTCCGTCTCTCTTGACTGTCTTTCCAACACTCGCCCAAGATACGTGATGTGACGCGCTGCGCGCTGCGGTACGGTGCGATGCGGGAGCTGTTGGCGCTACTGCCTCTGTAGCTGCTGTTGATGCCGCTATTGCTGACGACTCATGCAGTATGTCTTACGCCGCTTCTCCGGTCCTGAGTCGGCGTGAGGTGATTGGCACGAGAAGACGATGGCCAGAGACTGTGGAAGCAAAAGGAAAAAGAAAGGAAGACGGGATGATCACTGAAACGACGAGAGAAAAGGGAGGGAAGGGGATGACTGAAAATTGGGCGAGGCGAGTGTGAGTTGAGTCGCGTCGAGTCGGGTCTGAGTCGGGGTAGTCGGACGATGTGACGGGTGCGATCCAACGAGCCAGATAGCAATCAGTCCAATCTGCAGTTCAGAAAGAAAGATTCCTTACAAGATTCCAACGACGGGTAAAGAATCTCACGGCGATCAACAAGTAGAAAGACGGCCGCCCCTCAACAATTCACCTTACCACGCAGGTCCAGTCGAAACAATTCCCAGGTTGGACCAGAACAGATTTGTACTCGCCTTCTCTCTCTCTGTGTGTCTCTTCCACTCTCTGGATGTCTGTGTCTCCTTCTCCTTCAGATCGGGTCGGGGATCAGGTCAGGTCAGCTCAAAAGCAACCCGACTAGTACTTCCCTCCCCCCCAATAGTGAGCCGCTTGTGTGCAGCTTGGCTTGAGATGACGAATAGAAAGGCCCGCGACAGGGGTGATAATAGTGCAGAAATTCGATGGCCGTCCGAGGGGCTAAAAAGGAACAATAATGTGACCTGTGGTTTTCCGGGGTGCGTCTGGCCCTTTGCTTTCCGCCTGCGCGGCGTTGGACGTTGACGTTTCTTGGTGCGAATCGCCGTTGCGACAGTCGCGAGAGCCTGCCAACTTGTGCGATCGACTCTGGGGTCCGGGCTTCGCTTGTGGAGGTGGTCCGATGCTAACACTCTCACTGCCTTAGACTAAGAGGAAGTATGTGCCTGTCACTCACTGCCTGCGGCAAAGACTGGTATTGCCAAAACGTCTTGGTGTCTTGGAGCCTAGTCTGACCTCCTGTCTGGATTTGGAAATTGGCGTGTCCGGTGGTGCTCTTTGCCGTGCTGAATACAGCTTGAATGGGTGTCCTGGACCGGCTGGATCTGGATTTTGGTTCTTGATTCCGGCCTTTCGGCGAGCCGAGCTGAGGTGGTTCCGACGAATGACGGATGACGGACGATGTGGAGGAATTCGATGTGATGTGATGTGATGTGATGTGAGTGTGCAGTGCCGTGCCGCAGCTGGAGATCGGAGGGTAAGGTAGGTAGGTACAGGTAGGGTAGGGCAGACGAGCCCGGTATCACGGTTGTACGTGTAGGTACTGCCTGCTTGCTGACGATGGCTTGATGGCTGGGTGATGGTCTGACTGTAGTCAAGTTGACACGATAGATGTTAGCTAGCAGTTGATTAGGAGGTCGAGTATGCTGGACTGTAAGCTCCTTCCAATGTCAATTTGCAAATAAAGGAAGGGAGAGATGAACGGCGAGAGGTGAGAGGTCCAGCCAAAGGAGGAAGATGGGAGGACGGAGAAGAAGGGAAAAGAGCAGGTGTAAGTAAGGAATGGACGGGATAAAACACAGGGGCGAATGATGATAATCAGAGTCCCGAGCCCGTCAACTTGTGTTGCGTCCACACGCATGAACAAGGTGGATGAGGCCCGGCAGACAAAAAAAAGACAGGCAGCGTATCCGTATCGTATCTTGCTCTGGGGGTCAAGGTAGGTAGGTAGCCATGGTTGCACCAAGAACAGACGATGGAAGCTAGCATGACACAACACTGGAGTAACGGCATCGAGGCAGGGGTGATCAAGGGAAACAATAATATCAGGACCGCGACAAGGTCATGAGCAATTGGACGGCATCATCCGGTGCTGAAGTTGGAGCAGCGTGGAAGTACCTTGACGTTTAAACCTGAGTACCTATCCGTACGCATAAGGTAGGTAGGGTACTCAGGTCGACAAGTGTTGAAGACTCGAAGGGAGAAACATCAGGTATCCGTACAGATACATGAATCCCATGTAAGGCAAGGGAAAACAGGGGATAGAATTGGGCCATGACAGGGCACCTAGAGATGAACGGATAGAGAAAGAAAGAAGAAAGAAGGGGGAAAGTATCCGTACGGCAGCCCTCAGAGGGCTTCATTGTGTGATGCCGTGGGCAAGTACCATGATGGGGTGCTGTGCCTCGCAATGGTTGGCTAATGTTCTGATACAAATCTGCATAGTCCGGTATTCGTACTACGTATGGCATGACATGGTATCCGTAGCGTGCTGCGTGGGTGGTTGTGAACTTGTGGTGCCAATGGTGGGATATCCAGAGACCAGCAGCAAAACCATAGCGGCGCGCGCAGCAAACCGCCCGTGATGGGCGTAACGGGATATGGGACTGAGCAGGGGGCATGGGCATACAGATACATACGGATAGACATGGGATGGGGTGAAATGGGTGGATGGAAACGTTGTCAACGGGGATGACGGGGAAAACGGGGACGGGAATGGATACGGATGTCCAGTGTAATTGCCAATTGGGGTCCAGTCTGTGGATGGTGAGTTGTGAGGTGAGGGCGCATTGTGAGCGACGACAATTGAGAGAGAGAAAAACACACCCCCTGGCCCATTTCTTTTCCTTCCATTCGGATGGATACTTTGTCGAGGTCCATACTCCATAGTCTTGATGTGCTTTGCGGCTTGCCTTGTATGCCTCAATCTAAGGTACCTTTGGTCTCCACAGGTCAACCCTCGGCCCCGAATAGCCAAGTGTGTGCGGAATCATCTGCCAAAGTGACACAGCAAGAGCGGACGGAGAGTGAGAGACAGAGAGAGGAGAGAGGATTGCGTGCATCATCGGATAGGTGCCGTTTCGAACAGATGACAAGACTCGAGGGTCGGGTTGAGGGCAGGCGGCAGAACAAGAGAGAGGGAGAGACAAAGGAGAAGTCGGACGAGATACAGAGACAAGAGCCTGAGCCCAACGATCCTGGTCTGCAGTCGGGCCTAGCTAGGCATGCGTCCTAGACTCCTAGACTCTTGGTCCTCTCTGACAGTCTGCGGCGGTCTGGCCAGGTCTGCACCAGGTTTTCCCCAAATCTCGAACGTCGATTGGCCACGTCAATCTGTTGGACCGGTTGACATTCCCTCAGTCGACTGTCGGGGAGGTTTCCGCCAGGTATGGATTGGTTGCGGGCAGAGGCGCACCATGGAAACTCGATAGGTAATGGATAGGGTGCCGTGGGTGTGCCGTCGTAAGGTGGCTCAACGATGCTAGTTATCGTGATATTGCGTATCCTCACGGTAGTGCCATTGAAGCGGCCTGTCTTCCGAGACTGAAAGCATTAGTTTGGAACCTTACGTGCCAAAGACGATGCGTACCTTTCTCTATATCCGTACGTAGGTAGGTTCGAATACACACAGAACACCTTGTGCTGGATGTCAGATATCAAGCATGATGTTTTTGGTACCCTGGAAAGCAGTAGAAACCAGACGTCAATCGAAAGAGATGAGTAATCGAGACCGAGTACCCTCTTTACGGTATCTGGGGAAAGAGCAGAGGTACCTTACCTTGCCTTAGGTCAGGCAGGAGCCTACCTACCTCAGGACTCAGATGTTCTTTCCTCGTCACTTTGCGATGTCCCAGCAGGCGGCAGGTCCGCCCCATCACTGAAGATAATCAGAAAAGGGCAAGACCTAACAACCTCAATCTCGACCTCGACGACGAACCTGCCTCGCCTCGACTCGCCTTACCTTACCTTAGAAAGGAAAGTACGGATACCTTAGCCCTCTGTCCGTCTTCAACCGTCTTCAACTTCATCTCTCGTCGTATTCTTCCCGTCTCCTCTATCTACACATCGCGTTCTTCTGAATATTGCATACGAATACTGCCTGGGTTCCGCCTTGTCTCTGGCACAACTCGTTTCTCATTTTCAACAAACAAAACCGTCGTACCTGCTGCGCGAATTATCCCCTAAACATTGAGAATTATTTCATTCGAGAGCGCCAATGGCACACACACAATGCCTATGCAAAGGTAAAGTAGAGTAATTACCATGTGCCACCTTACATACCATGTGCCACCTTACATGCAAAGTAGTCCGCTCACGAGTCACCTCAGACCTATACAACCTGAGCAACATCAACACGAATCCTTCCCAACGCCCGATTTCTGTGTCTTTGCGTAGGAAAACATTGACGTTTACCGAGCGAACACACACCTGCGGCCTGCTCTTGGACACTGCGAGCCTGCGAATCTGCGAGCCCGTTGGAGAAGATCAAAAAGACGCCGACATAAAAGCAAGGGTGGCATTCTAGGGGAAGAGGGTGCCGGGGATAGGCCCTGTCCTTCACCGTTCCGACCAGCAAGGGACAAGGTTGAGTGGGATTTCCACCCCATCGTGCGTGCGTGCGTGCGGCGTGCCCATCCCACAGACGCTTGACAGAGACTGGACAGACCCGGCAAGCCTCGACGTTGATGGGCTACGGGCATCGTAGTACAGGGTTCCAGGTTGGCACAAGCGTTTCCCATCAGCATGCTGCACTGCATCACCAGCATTCAGCGGGCCAGACGAGACCACACAAAGGACCGTGGCATCCCTCGATGGCTCGTTAGCGCATCATATGGGAGGTAAAATGCGATGGCCTCCACAAGCCCTCGAACAAGGTATCCGTACCAGGTACGTACGTCCAAACACAATCATCGTGGAAAGAGGATCATGTATCTCGTAGTGAGGTGGTATGGATACATGCCTGTAGTGCTGATCCGACCTTATCAATCGTGATCACACTCCCTCCACACATCCCGTCACCCACTGTGGCCTGCCGTCTGCCTCGGTGCCTTCAAGGCTCCAAGCCAGCAGAATGTGTGCAAAGTACCTCCGCCTAGCAAGGCACTGGATGCTTTCGCAAGCGTACAACGTCGCTCACGATAGCCACACGCGCCGAGTAATCCATCGCCTTCAACCATGGCATGGGTGTCAGTTCCATGGGTCTGTCCAAAACTCCAAACAACGACGTGAACCATTGGCAACGAAAGGTCCAACAAGCGCAACTCCTACGAAAGATAGTAACTAAGGTGCTGAGCAAGAGCATATGTCACAGCCGCCGCGATCAAAACAGCACGTCCCACCGCCTCGCTTCTTCCTTTCGCTGGCCCCAAGCATGGCCACAGACGCACGTCAAAGACTGGAAGGAGAACTAGGCTCACGGCGAACGAGCCGCACAGGAAAGCGGGACGATTACGGAGTACCACGAGGAGCGTCAGCATTGTGGGCTAACGACATTCCATCACAGCAGCCCTCGTGGCGTCAGAGACAAGTTACCGCGCTGGTTCTTTCCTTTTTCTGCTGTCGTTCCCGAGAGCCGCCGTTGTCCATCCATTGGCCATCACCTGAGCATCTTGACCGCTCAGAGCCTAAAACCAATATTCCCAACAACTTGAGGGTCTACCAATGGTGTCGTTTTGAATCTGACCTGCTATCTTGACTGGACTGAAGTTGCCACGAGACTGGCTTACACTATCCGTAAAGTAAGCTACGAATCTGGCCCGGCGCACCCCACCGCGCTTTGCTATGCAGGGAACAGGCCTGTCACTGGCTGACGGCCGACGGCGGCCGCTGCCGAGCACACTTTAGCTGTGACGGTGTAGTCGGCTACTACACTACGGCCAAACGTTTTCCACGGACAACTTCGACACCATGTTGAACTAGCTCTCTCTCTCCGGACGGATCGTCACCCGAAGCCGGTCGACACGACACGCTTCCGTGAGCACCACGCTGGTTTCTCGGGTGTAATCCTGCATCACACTTACCGTAAGTAAAACCTCTCGCAACATTGCACCTACACACCTCATTGTGGGAACTTCATCTCAGGAAGTGCCACACGCCCCGCGAGAGATGGCCGATCCCGGTGCAGCTCAGCTTTCACAATGCCCATACGAAGTACGGATATAATGACTTGGCCACCTCCACGTAGCGAAAGTTGGAATATCCGAATCCAGACTCGTCAAATAGAAGCAAGAGAACTAAATCATACTGACAGCAGAATCGGAGTGGAAGCCATGAGTCGAGTTCACTAGCAGTTGCTGATGCCCCTGGCCACTAGGACCGAGAGATCCGTCTGGGCACTGTGTGTCTGCCCGGTTTCCAAGACTCCCGTGTCAGAAAATGGAGGCCGTGATATCGAATTTTTCCTGTTCCATGGCAAATCATCCCCACCTACTCCATGATGGTGCAGGGAGACGACCTCACTACATCGTCCGCCCGCACATCCCGCTCATGGCCCGCTTGTCGGAACGGTCGAAATGAGAGACTATCTAGTAGCTCCGACGGCGTGCTTCGGCCCCGACTAACAACATGTGTCTTAAACTAGACCTTGCAAGAGACGTTGCCGAGAAGATCCTGTCTTTGTCAACCTATCAAGACACTCGGGACAAATACCAGCTGTACATTTGAACAAATCATCAGGCTCAACATGTGCGAATGGCACCCAGCAGCAATGCTAGAAGGGCAGACTTGGGCATTACTGCGGGTAATCGATTTAGAGGCAACCTCGCGACAAAATTGACCCTGCAAGCAATGCCCAGTTTTGGGCGCCGAGGGCTAATGCTCTCATGGAAGCCAACTCACCATTCATCGCAAAGAGGCAATGGAGGGTACTCTGTTGCGCGGATTTGAGCTTCGGACAAGGCGGACAAGCGGCGCAGCCGATGCCTGCCAACGGCCACCAAGTAGTTGGGATCCGTGACACATCGGGATGAGTGGCTTTCGATTCGACAAGTCACTAGCCAAACATGCTGACTAGTTTCACGGACATCCGTCAACAAGTACGTTGGTTCCAGATCATGATCAAACAATGCCAGACGACTACGAACTGTCAATTCACCTTTCATGCGGCTAAGATTGGTTGGTGGAGCTTTCGGACGGTCTGTTCCGCACGCGACCTGGACTTAGAGAATGTGGTTTGTCCAGGGGAAAGCAAACTCGACAATGTCAAATCTGCAAATTCGGTCTTGTGGCAACGTGGAGCGTGGGGACATCTAGAGATCTGCATGCCCCGTTTCCTGATGGGCACAATCTTGAATCATTGGCACACGTCGAGGACTCGAGGGTCATTTCACATTCACCGAAGCGATTTCAACATTTTCTGCTTCTGAGAATCTTCTATATTAGAATAGCTCGCAAGGTGTTCCAATACGGGACAACCGAGAGTTGACCCGGGCGTCTCAAGCAGAGGAAGAATCTGAGCCTCCCGATCTTCTTCCTGTCAAAACAACTCGAATCGGAGGGACCAGGTGTTCCAAAGACTTGGCGCGCGACAGAAGGCCCTTGCCGACCTTTGTGAGTTAGTTCGGCCAGTCTCGTCTTTTCCTCTTGCTCCATTAGGCTTGTTATACGAAATGAGCCAGGCACACCAATCCCGTACAAGACGAAGGGATCCAGAAGCAACTATGGTGTACGAATACGTCTTCTCGTCTGTCTTGCGTCTCGAAGATGACATGAGTAAAAATTCCGTCCACTCTGTTCGGCTTTCTGCAGGGTTCTCCTCCATATACCACAGGGAAGACGTAAAGAAAGAACGATCAGTAGACAGAATCGACAAGAAAGAAAACTGATGACGGCCTTCCAAATTCGAGGAAACGATTTGCTTCCGGCTTTTGAGTGCCAAAAGAGAGTTACTTCCATTGCTTTCTCGGCAGGAGGAGCATGGCAAGATAACAACGTTACTGCCCCAAGCCCTATGCCCCTGGTATTCCTCTGACGCCATCACATATTCGTCTTAGTCTGTATCCTTGGAGGAATAGACGACTACGAATAGCACCGCATCCTTGATCAGGCCTTGTCCACTGCTCGATCATCAGCAAAAAAGTCAAGGGCATGTGAAGAAGTTATGGATCGATTACAAGATGAAGGAAAACCGTCTGGTCTGGGCAGTGCAGCACCCGAGACATCCAATAACGCTTCTTCAAAGACGATATTCAGAGTGTCGCCTTTTCCAAAGGAGACGTACCGACTCAGGGCTCTGGAGACTTTAGCTGGGGCGCCGAGAACATCGTGAGTGAGCTACCAATGTCAACAGCGTTCAGTCGCCAGCAACGTCGCATCGGCTGCGTTTCCGCCCACTTAGACCCCGTCCCGTCCCACGTTCGCTCCGTCCCGTCTCCACAGGCTGCGAAGAATGATGCATTACAAGTCTTTTACGAAGTCCTCTGGACTTGATCTTGAGCAGTGGGATACACAAATGGGGGGTTGAGGCCAGATGGTATAGGCATTCTGGCCTAATTCGCCTTCTCTGCAGTCTTCCTCTTGATCCCCTCGAATACTCCCAGCCTCGGGAGCTTGCCATGCAGATACGCAGCTGGGGCTGCACGAAATACTCCTGTACCCTTTCCCGACAAAGGGCCTCCAAAATAACTACCGAAGTTGGCAATATGACAGCCCATCCTTCAGAAAAGTCCAACCCCTGCCTGCGCATGTAGAGGATGATCACTTGTTCCATGGTAGACGAAGCCCGCTATTATCGCCTCATCGTTTGATCAAGGTCCACGACTGAGCCAACGTCAGAATTGACATCTCATCGATGTGGACATGTGTCTTTGACCTATGTCGTTGATTCGTACTTTACTGGTCGGCTCTGTTTTCGATGAGCCATGCCTGCGCTGATCAACCTGTCTAGTCTACCCCGGAGCGGCGGGAAGGCAAACAAGCACGACAAGAAGTGAAATGCTCGGCGCATACGGGATACGGATAGCTACGAATCGACATGGTTTACGGCGCAATCTCCAACAACCAGCTGCAATCGTTCTTCTGACTGCAGTTGTGCCTAATGGAACCGCCATTCTCATTGTATGTACAACACGCTTCCTGCTCTCAACCGCCAATTAGGGCCAGTGAGTGCGGCAAGCTGCAGAAGCACGCTCATGGCGCACCTCTCCAGCCAAGCTCGGCTCAAACATCCCCGCGAATTCAAATTCTGTCAGATCTTCCATGGCATCATGCGAGCGAGACACGTTTGCCATGAGCAGAATATTTTACAACACCTCGCCCCCCGTGCTCCCCTCCTCCAAATCTTGATCATCACGGTCGTGTAGTCATCAGCTTGGGTCATCGATTGTATGAGTAAGTAGTACCGACATCCACCATGTAATGACGAGCAGTCTGAGGCACAAAGGAAATCTAATTACACTGGCGGCATACAAGCATCCATAATGCAGACAAACACACAACTTGCCAAACATGTCACATCAGCTTTCCTCCGCTTGAGTTTGGACTGCTCCGGCTGCGGACCTCCTCGATCCCGCAGGTCCTTCTACCTGTTCGTTTCCTGTCCTTCTCGTCTCTTGTATTCCTGGAATGCATCGTCCAATCATCGAATACGGGCTTTTGGTTCGTTAACATGTAGACCAACCCCCTCTCCGCTGTTTGAGCCAAATTCGCCTGCTCATCCCGTCACGGATTCCAGCCTGCATTCGCCCAGTAATCGGCCGAGAGAAAGAGGAGCATGGGGAGAGACGGAGACAGAGAGGCAAAGCAGGCCACTCGCTCGCTGCCCTGCAGCCCACCTGCCGCCTGCGTTGCGCACCACAGATTTGCCCTTGTCGCGGCTTATGCAGGTGTCGTTTGAGCATTTGAGTGGATGGACCGGCTCGTCAATCGCCCTGCCACGCCTGCTTTTCCCATTACTCACGAGCTCGCGGAGGCGTACAGTACTGTACTTGACTGTACGGAGGAGGTGGTGGCCACGGAAAGACGCATAATGAAGACCGTTTGATTGGCTTCCCCTGGTCGAGGTCTCCAATTCCAAGGAGGTGACGGCGATCTGCCTTGCCAACGAACCACAATCATTGGGCTGGCCTCGCAGAACCGAAGAAGGAAAAAGGTTGAGAAGAAAAAGTCTTCATGCTGTGTAGTATGACAGATCCAGATTCCGGACCAGAAGCTACGTCAGTCAACAACCCACCACTGAACCTGCGGGTGGTGGTCAAGGTCCGACTCGATGGCAGACGACGCAACCTTGGGAAGTGGTATTTTGGAGACGGAATGAACCACCATCTATGCATCTAGCAGACGGTCCGGGAGTGAAACTCGACTGCATAATACCAGTCCTAGGTGTGATCTGCGGGTGTATGGATGTTGATGGGCCGATGTTGTTGGAGATCCTACTCCAACAACTAAGGCAATGCCGCAATAAAGCAAAGCACATCACGGGAAGCGAAGTCTGTGGGAAAAATGTTCATCAGACTTGCAGTTGCAGCTAGTATACGTCGACGACCAGGGCAAAGGCGACTAAAAGTTCTCGGGCCCACCTCTCCCTCTCTACCTTATGCTACGCTGCCAGGAACCATCGGGACAATCCCGGGCCAGTATCGTGTCGTGTCGTTTGACAGCCACGGACACGATGCCGAAGGGGACGGGGTGGGCGATGGAGACAGTGGGTGATGGTGGTGCAGAATTTTTCTTTTCTTCTTCTGCTTCGCTTTCTAGCTCGGCTCCCTGCCTTCAGTTTCTGCGCGCGCGTGTGTGCGTGTGTGTGTGATTTTCTGCTGCTGCGCCCATGTCTGGGTAAAATTGCAAACTGCATCGAGACCAACGGACGCGGGCCATGCAAACCAAGCAAGCGAGCTGAGCTGAGCTGAGCACCCAACATCGTTGCTGCAAGGTGAAGGTCTGAAGACGAAATAGATGAAGGTCCGGTGGTGGTTACCACACAAGACCAGGGCTCAGGTTCATCTCGCCTGGGGTTCTGCGCCGCGGCCAACACAACAAACTACCACTGGATCGATCGGTCAGACGTCCTTTCGGCCTATTGATTTGCGAATTGGGGATGTGATGGCGGTGTCGAGTGAGAGCCAAATAAGTTGATCTTCAGTCTATCGTCTGCGCGTCTAAACTCTTTTTTTTTGTATCTGTCTCTTCCTGTTTGGTCAGCTCGATGCCCCCCCTCGTCGTGTCCTTTGTGTCGCGGGGGGAGGTAGATGGTCGTATTCCGGAACTCTTGGACAAATGAGATTTCCGGAAACGAGATTCCGGAACGAAGCCAAAAGGCTGGATGACAGATCTTAGGTTCTGGATCGTCGCGGTAAACACCATCGCTATTCTACTAGCGTTGATGGGAAGATCGAAATGGAGGATTCCATAGGTCCCCGTTGTGCACTTGTGTCTCTTCGTATTCTCGGTTTCTTCGGTTGCCTTCCACGGGATCTACGAGGTCCGAAGAGTCGATGAATCAACATCCGTATCGAGTCTGCTAGTCTTGTCCCCTTCAAGATGAACGAGAGGACCTCAGACGTCCCCGGAACGCCATTCTCATGATCCCTCACATTCGTCGTCGTACGACGTGATAGCCTGTCCCATGTCTAGCCTCTTTCTCCGTCTCCTGCTGCCTCTGCCTCGTATCTCTCCACCTGCGTTCCACAGGGTCTTGGAAACTCCTTGGATTGAGCCACCCGCAGCGGGAAGCTGCTTCTTGATCGCGTTCGTCTATAGGGCAGCTTTGCCCACAGCCATACCAACCTTGCGGTGACTGTTTGGCCTGCTGCTTGAGGTCTGACGAAAAGCGTTTCCATCCTCTTTTGACTAATGATGTTGATTGAATGTTCTTTGGTATCTTGTCATGGCCTGATTAGCTACTTTGACAACGCCTCTACTCCTTCTCCGTGCTTGCCGAGACCATCATCGCATCGTCTCTCTTCATCGTCTAAGCCACTTCCGTTCCCGTCCCTGTTGTAATGTAGCTGACCGAGCAGCCATGGGGCAATGGCCTGTAGTTGGCTTTGCCCGCTATGTCTATTATCCGCTGTGATCAACCGGCACGCGCGTATAAACATGCTCATCATGTCCACATCGATGGCATCACGCCCTTGCCCTTCCGTCCAACACCCCGCGGCTGTCCACGACCGCCGCCTCTGGGGGTCATGCCGCCGCCCATCATCTCCATTGTCTGCTCATCGGTAGGGAACTCGGTTGATCGGAAGCCTTCGCCCTCTTTGAACATGGTGGTGTACAAGGTCGCGACGGATTGTGTCAACTCGTACAGAGCCTTGGTGCGGTCGCTGTCCGCGTCTGATTGAATCTCGAGGGTGCCGGCTTGCTGATCGATCTTGCCCTGAATCTTGCCGTCAACGATGAGGAAACCCAGTATGTCCTGGACCTCAGGCTCTGAGATCTTCAGTTGCTTCGCGATCCATGACAGCTTCATACGTGTGTACGGTGCGATGAGCTTCAGGACTCCCTTGGTCCTCATGTTGCGCGTCACTTCGTCAATGTTCTCGGCGATGAATGGGTCGGCAAGGATGTCTTGGTTCTTCTGAAGGACATTCTCGTAGGCGTGAACGTCGTCGCGTTGGTATGCGTCTACCAAGTCGGTCATGGCAGTGATTCGGGGATCCTGCTTGTAGGGCTTCGTCTCCTGCGAGTCAAACGGGTTGATGGTGGACTTAACCAGCATGGTCGTGAGAAGGAGGTACTTGAGCACCTGGATCCGCTGGAGCGAGCCGGCCTCATCGTAGTTGCGGAAGGATTCGAAGAAGTCTGTCTGCGCTTCGGCCCAGTTCTCCTCGCTCATGTGCATCTTGCCACCGCATTCGCGAATGATTCCCATGATTTTGGGATGAGGGACAGCGGACCTGACCTTGAGGGCGCGCTGGTAAAGTCTCTTCAGCTGCTTGTTGTTCTTGGTCTCGGCGTGCATCTGGATCTCGAGGGCGTATATCTCCATAGAATATGTGCCCTTGCTGGGATCGTCACTGCCATCTTCCTTCTGACAAGCCTTGTGCAGGTCTCGCAGCTTCTTGATGACTGTGTTATAGTCCTTGCGGTCGAGGAGGAGTTTGGCCAGCTTGATATTCGTCTTCAGCCATAGTCTCTCGTTGTTCGTGCTCTGGAAGCTCTCGAGTGTGAGCGAATAGAACTTTTCGACGCACGCCACGGCCTTGGGACTGTCTGATCCCTTCTCAATGTAGTCCAGCATGTTATTGATCGACTTCTCGGAGTAATTTCTCGTCACGGCCGACTTGACGTAGGTCAACAGCTCGGCATAGTGCTCCGTCGCCTGGTTCCGGAAATCAGCACCTTCCTTCTGCTGGTGGCAGGACGTTCTCCAGAAGTTGGTTGTACCTTTTCATACTGCCCCAGCTTGAACTCAAGTTTGATGGCTTGTTTCAAGCCTTTGAAACCCCATTCGCCCTTTTCCTCCTCTAAGGGTGGTATGCCCAAGAATTCGGCAATTGCATCCTCGGGATCGGTGAGCTTCAGTTGCTTTGCATTGTAGTATTTGTTCTCGATGCCGACGTCTCCGGAATCCTCATCATCGTCTTCCTCGTACTCGAAGTCGTACCTGCGCCTAGTCAGTCTCGATGGTTCCTGCCACGGAACCCCGGGTTGGGAGGCCAGTCTGGGGAAAGCTCACTGCTCCTCATCAGACTCCTGCATGAAGTCCTCGTCGTCAGACATCTTGACTAGTGTGAAAGCTATCGGTATCGGGATAGGTGGTCGCAAGGGGTGCACTTCAGTGAATGAATTGGCAAGGAGCTGTAGGGAAAAGCTTGTTGAAGGATAATGTAAGTACAGTAGGTTTGTTCGTCGTTGGAAATCGAACAGGAAGGTAAGGCTGGTTAACAACGACCGTGACAGTTCCAGGCAGGTAGGTGCAGCTGTCTGCCCGTAGTAATGGTGGACAATCAAGGCGGGGGGAGCTTATCGATTGGCGGACCCACCAACGGCCTCTGGCTGTGCACTGACCACATGAATGGAGGCGACTTTTGCTCCTATGCTTTTTTTTGACTGGAACCCCAGCCGCGCCAGCCTTTGACTCTCCTTTGCCTACGGTAAGGTAGTTTCAACATCCATCTCAATCAACAACTGACCTCCACAACGAACCTTTACACGAACCAACTCCCGACTTGACACATCCCCTATCAACTGTTGAAGAATACCCAGTGTACTCCATTGAGCAGTCGGCAAGATGGGTGGTGATCTCAACTTGAAGAAGAGTTTCCACCCTTCCCTCATCAAGAACCAGGCCAAGGTCTGGGAGGAGGAACGCAAAGCCCTCGATGAGCGCAAGAAGACACAACAGCGCATCAACGAGCTGAAGGAGGAGCGCGAGCGCGAAGAACTTCAGAAGAAGCTGGAGGCTGCGGGACACACCAAACGAGTCGACCGCGTCGAGTTTCTTTACAGCGGACCTACCGATGGACAGACCGGCACGACCGAGGAGCGCGAGAGCTACCTCCTGGGCAAGCGCCGCATCGACAACTTGCTCAAGGGAACGGAACACAAGAACTTGGAGAAGCAAGCTGGGCAGGAGAGCTTCATGGCCCTGCAGACGGCCAACACAGCACGCGACACAGCAGCCAAAGTTCGAGAAGATCCTTTGCTCGCCATCAAGCGACAGGAGCAGGCCGCCTACGAAGCCATGATGAACGATCCTATCAAGCGCCGGCAATTACTTGCATCCATGGGTATGGCAGACGATAAGTCCAAGTCGAAAGACAAGGAGGAGAGACACAAGAGGAGGCATCACAGACACCGGAACGACGACGACGATCGGGAAAGGCACCGCAAGAGGCGGCGATCCTACTCAAGATCGAGGAGCCCGCGCCGTCGGAGGGACGACCCCAACGAAGCAGACCGCTCCGAAAGGCGGCATCGACGCAGCGATTCAGAAGACAGACACCACCAGCGCAGACGTGCGTCAAGATCCAGGTCCCCTCGGAGACGCGACTCTGGTGAAAAGGACGATTACGACAGACGCGATCGACGCGACAGGCGTGACGACCGCGAACGGCGGCGCCGAGACTCGGTTTCCGAGGAGGATCGCTCCGCCAAACCACGTGAGAGATCGCCCCGAAGCTACGACAGGCGCGGCGACCGAGACGGGGATGCTTCAGTTTCCAGGGGCCGCCGGAACAACGAGAACCGTCGGCAAGGGTACGACAGACGACCTGCTGCCCGTACCAATGGATCCAGTGGTGGCAAAGAGTTTGAGGGCAAGGGCGCTGAGGAGGAAAGGGCGCGCAAGTTGGCGGCGATGCAGGCAGCCGCTTCAGATCTCGACACGGACCGGGAGCGCCGTCTGGCTACTCTTGAAGAACGGGAAAACGCCGTGCGACAGGCCGATGACCAGGCAAGAGAGCGATCAGGCAAGTTTGGGGACAGGGAGTTTGTGAATGGTCTGCATCGCAAGGCCGGCAACATGAGCCTCGGAGAGAGGATGGGCCGGGGTAGGCAGGGTCTGCAGAGAGACGATGACTGAAGGGGGAATGCGAAAGGACCGGCGAGATCCGGCCGAATCACAATCATAGACTACAAAAACGACCGGCTTGCGGGGCAGACTAGAAGACGAGGTCGAGAATTCGTGCGCCAAAGTGCGGGCGCTGTGCGCGCCGTGCGAGCCGAGAGAACGGAGCTGGGTCGCAGTAGCCAGCGATCGCCTATGCATGATCGGGTCCGGCGGGAACGAGGTCGGGATGGGACGCTGCCGGAGGACGGAAGGGAGGGACGACGTGCTTAAGCGCGTCTGCGGATTCAGCGCACGAATGCGTGGAAGCTTTAGTGCCGCCAACTGCACGTCATGGATGGGTCTAGAATGCGAAGCATGTTGCAGGCTGCACGTATGGTGGTGGAACGCTGTAGTAATGGATACCCAAGGTACGGTGACATCGAACGTTTCCGGATAACAAACATATAGAGAAATGGAACAATAATCCAACGGTTCACGATACGGTGGCAGGCAGTATTAATTACGTGAGGCATTCATAAAACCAGCAGGCGAGCACTGACACCCGAATATCCGGGGTAACGGCACTCGGACTGGGTGCGGGAGGCGTTGTCGGGCATAACAGGGGGGGTGTTGAGGATCTAAACCATGATGGAGCGGCGAAACGGTGCTTGGCGGAGGCGCGGCGATGCGTCACGATTCTTGGCTGTGCCTCACGGTCTTCGATGCGCAGGTTTGCGTCGCCAGTGAGGCTGACGATGCCGGGTGCCCTTACCTTACTGATGGGGAAGGTCAGGAAGTGATGAGGGGTAATGAGGGGTGTTGGTGAGGTGCAGAGAGGGGCAGAAGAGGATCCCGGAATGCCTTCAGCGGTCAACCGAGGGGTTTCACAGCCCTGAACAATAACGAGAACATCATATCGGACAGAGGCCAAAAGAGCAGCCCTTCTCGCACGGAGTAACCACGGGCTTGGGCCTTTGCGCCTCTAGAATCTAAGGTGAAAGGTGTGGTGGATTCGCCCACGTCCTCGATCCGAGAAAAAGGCGCCGCTCTCGGGGCTTCCAGCGAGTCGAGCTCCGGCGTTTTGCGGCGGGAGTGTCGCTGGGATACGCCTGCTACAAAGGGTGGTGATTCCTTGGTTGACGATGGAGTTATTCGTTTGAGTAGTGGAGAGTGTTTGTTTTGACAGAGGTGGGTATCAGGCTTACTTCCTTGGTTCGTTCGACTGTGGACTATGGACATGACGATGGTGTGGGATGGGTGAGGGGCGCAGCGAGTCGTACAGCCCACGGCGGCTTGAGGTTGAGCGGCGGGATTGATGAGGTGAAACTGGAGGATTGCGTATTTTCACTTCAATTTTTGGTCAGTATACCTTACTTATTGAGATGGGGCAGGGGATACGGCCGTGGTGGCTTCAACATACATCGGAGTTGCATAGTCGTATGTGAGTGAGACGGATGTACAAGGTTCGTGTGGATAGAGGTCGGGGCATTTGACGATGAATCGTGTCTGGCGTTCTCAAAAGGTGCCGCAGCCGGGCGAAAGAGCGGAAGATAAGGTGGCCTAAGCTTATAACGCAATCGAGCTCCGTTGGACGTTTCTGGCGTGCTGTAAACCTGTACCAGGTAGCTCTCACGATGCTTTCCTGTGCGCGAGTACTTGGTGCCCCTTGTTGACCTTGTCTACCCCGTTCTGCTCTGCAGTCTTACCAAGAACGGCCTTGACGGGAGTCGAGTTGAGGGGTTCCGGGGGTTCTCAAGCGCCACGGCCATGTTGTGGCAGGGGGCAGTGAGAGAAAAGCCAAAAGGCTAAGCTGGAAAAGCATTGGATCAACGATGCCGTTTTGGCGAGGCCTCATGGCCGGCCTCAGCTCAGCTCACATGGAACACGCACTGGCCCATGCCCCGAGCCTCTTCATGGCGTCCATCGTGGTGGTTCGTGAGAGGGATATATCATGGCTTTGCTCAACGTCCGGATACGTTCGGGACGGAGGGCAAATGGTGGCTTCCTCGGAGGGGTTTTCTTTTCTTTTCTTGTCCAGCCCAATTTGATTTCCCTGCCGTGACATGTCTGCAGCTTGATAGTGTGTGCAGATGCGTGCAATTGTGTGGCGGGGAAGTCTCCACTCGTTCAAGTTGTTTCTTCCCGGTTCGCATCTACGGATATTTTAGCATCTTCGTATACTTTCACAAGGTAGGTAGGCACGTAGGCAGCTGTAGATATCCGTACGCTGCAGACTGGAGTTGCAGTCCAAGTGAATAATCTCCTGGTTGATAATGGCGCGCTGTGTCAAGGGAAGCGTGTCGAGTAACCACGTAAGGTAGGTATCCGTATGCGTTCATGTGCTCAGGGCATTCTTTGGCAGAGGGACCTCCGCAACCTGGTGGAGGCGCTCAGTCAGTGACATTCATGAGGTTCCCCATTCCGGTGCCTGTGGATTCGTCCAGGTTGTTTCCCCCTTCGTCGCTGTACTACGTACGGAGTACGCAATTACGCCGCCTCCCTGCGCTGGTCCCCTTTTCTGCTCGGGCTGATGTTGAGGTGTACGGTACTCTCACGGATGATGATGGCGATGATAATGATAACAATGATAATACCTTGATAGGTAAGTTGTCTTCCAATACCGCAGCCAGAGCGAGGTTTCTTAGGTAACAAGTTGGGAAGGCACCTCACTCCACGTCCCTGTTGCTCCTTCCTGTCTCCATTCAGCTGGGTGGCTTCCTTCCTCAGGTCCTCAGTGTCCATTTCCAGCCCAGCGCCAAAAAGCAGTGAGTGTTCCCGTCTCCTTTCCTCCTGGGCTCACCCCAGCAAGAGTGCCTGACCCCGTCCGCTCTTGCTCTTTTCTACTCCATTGAGTGGCCCTTCTGACTTGATCTCAGCCAATTGAGCAGCGCACCTTCTTCCAACCCAATTTCCCGCTCCTGCATCTTTTGCTCACTCCAAATTCACACTTGCACCTTTTACCTCACTTTGGTCTTCAGTGTGCCGCCTCCTTCTCCCATTTGTTTCTTTCCGTCTGCCTGCCTCACATTACCACAGTCACAGCCATCCCCAAGCCACTCCGCTTTGCCTGGCACTTTCCTCTCCAGCAAAAGAAGGCACTGTTGCACTGCGTGAAGTGCACCTCACCTTCCCTGCTCTTTTTGTTCCCCACCGTTCCCTTATTCCTACACCTGGACCGCACCGTGCCGTGCCTTCCTTCCTGCGTTACCATCGATTTACCTCCCTTCCACTGGCAGGTGGTTCCCCAAACTCCATCGGTCTTTCTTTGTCCATTTCCTTTCACCACCACATCGCGCACCAACCAGCCGTGCCAACCCACCTGCAAACAACAACCCAGAACGCTCTCTGGCACCTTCCCCTTGCTGATCGACCGACGCACCACGAACCCTCCCCCAGTTTCCTGCTGGCCGACAACAACTTTTTTGCTTTCCACGAACAAGCAAGCAAACAAATCGATCTCGTATCGCACCGACTCACCTAGATCAACCCTCCTTATCCAACTTCCTACAACCCGACCGAACCCACCTCCTCCAGTTCGCCCAGCATGCCTTTGTGCGGTGGTAACAAGACCGTCCAGCGCAAGCTGGTCCTCCTGTGAGACCTCCTCAGACCCTTCCCTCTGTGTCGCCTGGCTGCGACTTGAGGACTTTGGCTAATTGAATTGCGAACTGCAGTGGCGATGGCGCGTGCGGCAAGACATCGTTGTTGAACGTCTTTACCAGAGGGTGAGTACAACAATATTTCCTTTGCCTTCAAACCTCATGGACTGGAAATGGCCGGTCTTCCAATTGCGCATCTCTTGCTGACTTGGCCTAGCTACTTCCCGACCGTCTACGAGCCCACCGTCTTCGAGAACTATGTCCATGGTACGATCCCTCGATTCCCAGCGAAAGGCGCCGAGTCGCATGATGCCTCTGGCACGATTCTCCCTCTGCCGATTTAAATACTGACCTGGGGTTGCTAGACATCTTCGTCGACAGTGTCCACATCGAGCTCTCCCTCTGGGATACCGCTGGCCAGGAGGAGTTCGACCGCCTCCGCAGCTTGTCTTACGGTATGACACTCTAAATTTGGGAGGATCAAGAGGTCGCTTGCTAATTAGATGCAGACGATACCGACCTCATCATGCTCTGCTACAGCGTCGACAGCAAGGACTCCCTCGAGAACGTCGAGAGCAAGTGGGTTGGAGAGATCGCCGACAACTGCCCCGGTGTCAAGCTGGTTCTCGTCGCCCTCAAGTGCGATCTCCGCGAGGCCGACAACGAGGAGGAGGAGGCCGCCGAGGGCCAGCAGCGAGAGAAGCGTCCCATGATCTCTTACGAGCAGGGCTTGGAGGTCGCTCGCCGCATCAATGCCCTCCGCTACCTCGAGTGTTCCGCCATGCGCAACCGCGGCGTCAACGAGGCCTTCACCGAGGCCGCCCGCGTCGCCCTCAGTGTCAAGAAGGATCGCGAGGAGTCTCAGTGCATCATCATGTGAGAAACCTCTACTTTGGTGGATCCGTTTCTTGCCCTGATCATTCTTCACCTTCTCACGACCACGATCGAACGAGCAGCCCTTGTTCTGGACGGATTCGAATTCCATTTTTTCAGTGTTTGGCACTTGGAAGGCGTCGGCGTTCCCACGGATTGGACCTTTCAACCCCGATTTGCATCTCGACCTTCACCCTACGTCTTTTTATTGCAGCTCGTCCAGCTCCTTGGGCTGACGCGACCTTTTCTTTTTCACTCTGGCGGCTACTCTACGGATTTCGTCGCCGACATGAGTTCTTGATACCTTTGGGCACTGACCACTTTTGAGCAAAATGTAAATACCCGTTTCACTTCACAATGCACATACAGGGTTGGAGGGTCAGGTTTCATTCCCTTTGTCGCTTTCGGTCTTCAACGCGTACGCAGACGGACCGCACGGCCGGAGGAACGGCGTGATTGGCAGGTGGCAGGTGGATGGCATGAGACATTGAATCAGGGTACTAGAAGTCTCGGATGGAAGCTCAACAACAGCAGTCGGCTGAGAGCTCTGGTCTTTCTTCCACTAGCCTGTTCTCAAGCAAGCGAGAAAAGTTGTCTCTAGATGATGCTTAATGAACTCTGTCACTGCAGCTACAGTCCCCCCCCCCCCAGTGAAATCAGTAAACTCGGTAACCTTTATTTCCCAGCTGTCAGTTGACCGGACCCGGAGATGCAGCTAATGTATCCAAAGGTATCCGGTACATGGGAATTTACTATCCGAGAACCTAATCGATAGGGCGGCAAGGAATCTGACGCCGCAGATTCTCGTGTCCGCTCCGGTCAGAGCCAGAGGATGAGAGAAGGAACGAGTGGTGTTGACCGGGTGTCGAGGCTGAGGATTTGTGAAGGGGTATCCCGGGAAAATCCCCGATCCGTGCTTATCCTTCGGAGCTCACTCGATGCCCCGGTTGCAATCGGACTGGAGAACTGGAGAACGACGGACAGATATGGAGAGGTCTTGTCAGCTTGTCAGCACTGTCGGTCGCGAGTTGAGGGATCAGGACCCTGTCGTGCTTGTGTGCTCAACTTGCATCGCTTCAAATTCACTAGACGTCGAGGCTTAGCTGTCTGAAGCTGTGTACCTCAGCGTTCGAATGAAAACTACTATCCCATTGACTGCTGGATGGCGTCACTACGTCTATCTCCAGTCTTTCTCTAATTTCGCCCTATTTCGAGATTATTCATAGGCGGAGATAAGTGAAATAGGGTCGGATGATTAAATTATTTATTATTCCCCTTATTGAAGTATGTACCTATGTACTGACGCTATCTCGCAGTTGATGGGATACGAGCGATTGTGGAAACGCTCAAACATTCTTGATAATGCTCCCACTCACATTATCTACTTTGGGTACAACAAGCTACCCGACATTTTTCGCTGAAAGACTCCATTCGATGATGAGAGTACAGATAATATTTCATTTTCCCAATGGTCGCTCATGTATGTAAATAAAAATAGTAATAACTACATAATGTGAAATCTTGTGTTTTCGCTCTCTCCCAACTCCGAATTGTTCATCGTACGCCATGATCCAGATCATGAACTCATAATGACAAAAGAAATGTCGCTTGGGTTGCCTAAAGATTTATGTTCGAGGACTTAGTCTCCGTGACGGCCCAAGGCCTTGCCACGCTTGGAAACCTCGCGAGCGTGGTATTGCTTAATCTTGGCCCGCCTAGCCTCCTCCTTGGCTTCCTCCTCGAGCCTCCGCACATCGGCTCTCGCAGCGGCAACCATCTCCCTCGCAGCCATGAGCGCGCGGTCGGCCTCCTTCTCAGCTGCCTCGGCGCCCATGACGCGCTCGCGCGCCTGCACGATGCTAGGGTCCATCTCTACGCCCCCACCGCCAAATTTGTGCAGCAGACCGCCCTTCCGACCGGACGACGCGTCCGTGGAGCGGCGGAAGAGGCCGCCTCCGCCGGTGTGGTGGCCGTCGGGGGAGGTGTGGTAGGTTGTCGAGGACAGAGAGGAGTGGGAGGTGGCGGAGGTGCGGGATGTGCGGGCTGTCGGCGTGGGAGAGGGGTCACGGCGCGAAGAGCCGAAGAGGCCGTGCTTGCGGGGGGGCTCGGCGACGGGCTGGTGGTGGATTGGCTCCGGGGAGGGGTCTCTGCGGGAGCCGAAGAAGCCGGTGCGGCGGGGCTCTGAGGGTGGGGGGGTCAGCTCCCGAACAGGTTCGGGAGAGGGTTCGTGGCGGCCGCCTCCGAAGAATGGCATTTTGAGGAGGTATGGGGTTTTGTGTGATTGGAAAGTGATGATTTGCTAGGATGGTTTGGCGCAAGGCTTGTTTATGCCTACAAGATTGGGAATTGTGGTTGATGGTGTGGGTGCTTCCGTGGATGAAGGCTTGGGATACTGGATAAAACGGAACACAAGACTCTGGGCGGGAGGAACGTGGAGGTTATATCTAACTCTCCTCTCCTACCTCATACCTTTTCCCCTGATTCTCCCCCCCCCCTCCCCATTCTCATTCATGACATTATGCTTCTCCTACTGCTGTGACCTGTTACAGCTCACCGCAAGGTACCTCGCCTGGGCGGACGCCCGTGCCGAGACCCTGGCTGCAGACATTGTTGGCAGGCTGGCATGGTTGATGCTGCACAATGATGCCAAGATGGTCATTCGAATCCCCTCCGTCCGTCACCCATTCCTGCTCTGCGAAGGACGGCTAGCTCTGTTAGACGCTTAGAGCCGATTGAGACGCCGTTTGGCGGGTTTGGTGGTTGGGTGCTGTGCGACTCCAAACCTGTTTGTCGGTGATCTGCGGTCCAAAGTCACCACCCTCGGTGACGTCAAAGGTTGGCATGGGAAGGATGTGTTGCAGGGGTCGAGGTGTGGCCGGTCGACCAATTAAAGATTGTTGATGACGAGGGGCTAACCTCTTGTGGAAGGACCCCTAGATTCTTTTCGTTCAGGTTGGGCAGGGTCTTGTTCAGGAGTGTCTCGCCCTTCCGTCCTCCGAGACTGTGATCTGTCTGGTAGTGAATGGAAGTGATGCTGAATCGGCAGGGGAGCATAATCTCGATTATGACATCGCATATCTTTGGTAAGACGGCGCGGTTACTCTACGCTCTAGACGCCAAGGTGGCTGTGCTGCGATGCAAGGGGTCATTCTTGGTGACGAGATGGCGGAAGCACCAGCAATGGGCTGACGGTGTGTGTGACGGTCGTGTGCCAGCTGGTTTGATGAGCTGGCGCTCGTTCACAGACTGAGACTCGATTGTGATACCAACGGTGCAAGACACTATTGATGGAGGCTAGGGATGACCGTTGACGTTGTGGCTTGCCCTACAGCGCTATGATTTGCCAATGGCTGATATCGCGAACCTCAACTCTCGTATCGAGAAGCACAGCGGTTTAACTACGAAAGATTAGGTGGCTATCCTGAGCTGGCATCCAACTTAGAAGTGATCCTGAAAGATGGTAAAAAAGACTTGATCGCGGTTCTCGCGAATCTTGAATCCGGGCCCGTGGGTTACGTTCGGAGTGGGCCATTCCTGGACCCAGGCGCGGCGCGGGCGATGCAGGATGCCAGCCATGTAAGGTATCCTGTGAAGCTTGATTGGGAATGGTTTGTGGGGAAGTCTTCGTTTAATCAAGGTCAAGTTGAGAGTGCCTTGCTGTCTGGCACTCTACATGCACTACCTTAGAGTCTCATTGAAGACCCCATATTTGGCGCACCGGAGTGTGCCGAAAGGCCACGGAGAACTTGGTTGACAACCCATGGCGGTGGCTTAGTCTGCGTACCAAAGGTTCGACATCGGCAGATTTGAAGCGAGCGAAATCGATCATTTTATCTTAACCGAGTATGGCACACGCCGAGAAGACTACAGCAGATAAGGCATTCTGTCGAAATCTATACACGAGAGGTTGCTGCTCACAAACATATGTGTCAGCTCGCAAGCGGTCTTTTTGAACATATTGTGTCAATATCTGATTGGTGTAGTTGCTGGACTCGATGAATTTTCCTGGACGAGCTGACTGGTATTCTGCGAAGACCCTGACAATTTGATATGGCGCATGAAACCCCCTTCACCAACAAGCATCGCCAAGCTGAGACGGGGAGAAGACGGCGAGAACTAAGAAGTGGAGGTTATGCAAGCCAGCAACAACCGTGACTGCTCTCAGTTGAATAATTGGGTTCGACCTTCAAGAAATACGCAAAGCAGGTTGCCTGCCATTATATCATTATCCGAAACCACCGGCAGCAACAACTGAGATTCGGAATGCAGCAATAATACTGGGTCCGCAACAGCCTGTCCAGGTGATGGATGTCATCGAGCGCCCGTCTTGATAGACTCCTTTCGGCGGTAATCGGTTCTTTGGAGATTGTGAGCAATCATAAAGTAGGCCATCTTGACCGTCATTTCACAGAAGCACATAGTCCAGCCGGACATGGTGACTTGGCTACTTGTTCCATATTCGAACTCGGGAACGATGGAAGGATATATTCTGCTCACAGCCTGCGGCTCGTTCGACATCTTCGCTATGACTTGACGCCCTTCTCCAGCTTGCTCTCAACCGGCTCATTGCTTGCCCAACCCATCCAGGCGACGGCAATGATGAATTTCACTCCTCCAGAGATCCAAAGAGCTCCAGGCATGCCAGCCCGACTTCTCTGCAGCCAGCCGCCAATGATACCTCCAAGAACAAGCAAAACAACAGCCAAGAACCTCCTGTTCCTCTTGGGGTTCTCCTTCAGGGGTGCGAAGAGCTTAGGGTCGGATAGAAGATCGCAATAGACACTGGTCAGGACGTTGGTAGGAACCTCGTTGTATCCCAGAATTCTACTCGTGACAATCTGTCCGCCGAACTGGAAGGCCAGAAGCGCAAGGGGGACCATCACAAGAGGGTTCTCAGATGTCTTGAATACGTGGTTCGAGTCGGAGCCTTGCACCGAGACTTTTCCAAAGTCGGCGATGAGACGTGTCTGAGCAAAGGCAGCGGCAAGGAAAACGAGTGCCGACTGGAGAAGGAACGAAAGGGCGAGAGTGCTTCTGCGCTTGGGGTGAATGTGCCTCGACTTGGAGAAGAAGAAGCACCCAAGCCAGAATGCGGCGATGGAGCTGAGGGACTTGAGCCAGAGGAGGGGCTCGCCAGCCGGAAGCTTGGAGGCGCCAAGAGCCATGAAGATGGTGTTTCCTTCAAACAGGTCAGTTTCCCATGTTGCTTCCCCTTCTTGATAGCTTAAAATGTCACCTGTTTGCATACTGACGAAGACACCAGCTGCGTTTACTGCCACACTGTCGCACAAGCCGGATACGAGACAGCAAGCGAGGACTGGGACATCGGTATAACGGATGTTGACATCGTCACGGAGCCAGTCGCCGAAGCTGCACCGCTGAACCTCGTTCCTTGGTAGCTCGTTTCCGACATCGGTGTCGGATGAGTCTGCGACTTGCAGACCGCTTTCCGCGCTCATGTTGGCTACTTTGATGGTTCCGCGATCTTTGGCTGAAGGTTGAATTCGAGGTTAGGCAGGGAGATGAGTCAGTCAGGAGCCAGGAGTCAGCCCAATATTTGAACAAACAACAGCTGAAAATTTCATGGGCTCATCCCGCAGACCTTGTCTGGGGTTTGGATTGCGTTATCGTATCTAAGCATGTCGTTGCAGGGCGGTTTGCACCACTATTACGTCTCAGGTAAGCGTCCATTCTTGACAGAATCCACCGCCGCGTAATCGGGAGCGGACTGGGCTGCCGAAAATCACGTTTGTTTGGTGAAGTTCGGGGACGATGTGGGTTTTGGCACGGATAGATTGCCGAAATTGGTGTTGGCATTGTGCATACTAAGAAAGAGCATGTCCTGAAGTCAACCTCCAGAGTCTTGGGTCATTGGTGAGCTAAAGTCTCACTACAGTTTCTTGACGTGAGTGAGGATGTCGAATGATAGTGTGATTCAGAAAATGCCTCGTTGTGGCTTGACTTGACGAGCGACATCGGTCTAGCCAAGCCGTCTATCACGCGGGACGCGGTGACCGAAAAAAAAAGGGCTGAAAATCTTGTGTTTTAGCGGTTGCTTTGTCATTTAAGGATGTGGGTCTCTCGGCCGGCCCTGACCCGGACGCTTGGGCCCGCCATGCGCCGAATACCCGATAAATTGCCTTTGCCGTAGTAGTAGCCTTACTCATCTCACCTTGTTCAGCTTATTTCCCACCTTACTCACTCACCTTACTTCATCCTCATGTTCCTTGTCTCACTCAATTTCTGCAAACCTTCGACGCTTCCATGATCGAAGCTTCGCAAACAACTCAACGCCACATGGACGAACGCTATTACAGTGAGTCCCAGCCCAAAAGTTTGCAGCAATATACGAAATCATACTGCAATCGCTCATTTGCGAAATGAAAACTCGTCACGATCAGAGACCCACAGCAACCGACTCTCTTCAGGTTGGCTCTCAAGCCTGTAGATCCCACTTGACGACACCTCGACTCGTTCACAGCGCCCATCACGCCTCCAGTCGTCTTTTCATTTGAGCGTGCTCGGCGCATCTTGGCTCGTCTGGAGATGGCTGTTCTCTGCTATCTAAGAGAGTACTATCGCTCTTCACTAACAACTACCCTAGCCTCGAATCACGGCATTGAGGCTCAGCATTGTTAACGCGCTCTCGCAACCTCGAGTCAGGCCCAGATTCTGGCTCGTCACCTCGTGTTCTACGATGGCAAATTCTTGTCATTTGATCAACAAGGAAGATGCTGGCAACAACAAAACTCGGTCGTATTTTTTGGAGAATGATGCTCAAAAGCTGGGGAATTCCTGCCACTCACCACGCGAATACCGGATTGATTACGAAGTACTGACCATCGGGAACGCCTTTCAAATGCGCTATTGCAAGTTGGAACCCCAACTTTGTTTTCAGATGCGGCTTGAAATCAAACAACACCACTGCACTCTGTACCCGACTGCTTGGCAGATGTTGTTTCATGCTTCCAGCTTGGGCAGGTGCCTCGAGATTTACGCTGCGGCGGTGTGATCGTCAACTCCTGAAGCGGGCCCTCTCTTGTATCACACAATGCGGGTATTCATATGGTCATCCGCAACATTAACTACCAACAGGCCCTCGATGCGCGCAACCGTTTGCTTCAGTATCACGAGTGTGCCCAGGAGCGCTCGCAAATGGGATTTATTCGCAATGCTTCGTATTTGATCGCTTTTCAACCGCCCATGACGCAGTTCATCAGATCGCCACAGCCGTTTCCCCCGGCGCAAGGTACCATTTCTCCTCCGGCCGGCCCACCAACAATCTCGGGATAATCTTGAGAGTTTCCCAGTCGGTCGCTTGACCGTTTAGCGAATGTCCAACAATTTCCTTTCTGATAACCTTGCTCTGCCGGTGCCACCACGAACCGGGCCCTAGAATGCTGCTCGCCTCTGGTTCGACCGATAGTTATAACGCTAATCCTGGTTGGCGCTGGTGCGGAAACGCTGCCCGTTGCAGATGCGACTCCAAGAACCCAAAGAGGAGAAAGAGACATTGGCACCCCCTTTAATCAACATGCTGCTTGCCACGCGCCCGGCATCCCCTGGCTTGTCTTGCATCTGTCTCTCCGCTTTGCCCACGTTGAGATGAGGCCGCCTCCTATCATTGCTCTCCGTTTGATTGAGTCCCTAACTCAATTCCCGAGTCTGTGCTTTCGGCTTCTTCCCATGCGTGCCTTTGCCCCCATCTGAATAGTGAACGCCATCACCCCATATCCACACTCATTCCCAGCTCTGAATTCTTGGATTTTGAACCCCACCATCGCCATTCCTTTCGACATTCCACAGAGGTTACTTTCTCTCCCTCTGTTCCAACAGCCCGGTCTGTGTCTGCGACGTTGAGCCCGGTGAATTCGTCCGTCTCAGACAACACACACTCCTTATCACTCACTATTGTCACTCTCTTGTTATAAGAAGACTTCACCGCTGGTGCGCTGTGTTCTGCAGACTTTCTGGCGATACTAGACGTGTCGCAAACGTCCCAGGTCGCTAATTCGACATCTGCTCGTCCTTCCTGAAGTCTCATTGGATCATTTCCAATTCACACTCCCTCACAATGCTGTCTCAATACACTCTGTCGGCACTGGCGGTGCTGGCATCGCTTGCCCAGCCCGCGCTTGCTCAAGTCTCGACGAAATGTAATCCGATGAACACAACCTGTCCTGCCGATCCGGCTTTTGGCATGGACTTCAACTTCAACTTCAACTCTACCCCCTCGACCGATGTTTGGGAAACCACCGTCGGCCCTGTTACGTACGCCTCCGACAATGGCGCGGAATTTACGATTAGCAAGCAAGGCGACTCTCCCACAATTCGATCCAAGTTTTACTTCTTCTGGGGCCGTACCGAGATCCATATGAGGGCCGCCAAGGGAAAGGGAATTGTGAGCTCCATGATGTGGCTCAGCGACACCTTGGACGAGGTTGATTGGGAATTCCTTGGCATCAAGAACGACGCTTTGAGCAACTTTTTCGGCAAAGGTGTTGAGGACTGGCACAACGGTGCCGAGCACCCTGTGACGGGTAGCATCCAGGATGACTTCCACAACTACACCTGCGTATGGACCAAGGAGAAGCTCGAGTGGTGGGTTGACGGCAACAACGTTCGCACTCTCCTCCCCAAGGATGCAAACAACTCCCTGGCCTATCCTCAGACACCTATGCGCCTCAGTCTCGGCATTTGGGCAGGCGGTGATCCCCGTATGGCCGCGGGAACTAGAGAATGGGCTGGAGGTGACACCGACTACGCCGCCGGCCCGTACACTATGTATGTAAAGTCTGCGCAGGTGACGGACTACAGCTCCGGAAAGGAGTACTCTTTTGGAGACAAGACGGGCTCGTGGGAGAGCATCAAGATTGCTGCGTAAGTCATACTAGCTGAAAAGCTGTAACGCAACTCAATGAAAGCTCCATGCTAACCTCATTTTTCCAGGGGCAACTCAACTGTCAAGGAAGCTCTCCTGGAAGAACCTAGCAAGTCCGTGAGTGAGAAGTTCAACTCGCTCAGCCCAACTGCCAAAACGGCCGTATATGCTGGAGGTGTCGGTGTGGGATGTGCTCTCATCGCCTTTGGTCTTTGGTACTTCATTCGCCAGCGTAGACGTGGCGCCAACGAGGCGAACCTTGCCGCTAAGAGAGCCGAAGAAGAGCGACTCGAGCTTGAGGGCTTCCACAAGCGCGGCGTCGACCCTGACTCGTTTGCCGGCGCGACAGGCACCGAGTACAATGCTGGCGCTTTCAGCAAGAACGGCATGGTCCAAGAGAACACCTACAGCATTCCGGCATCTCAGGAGAAGAGCGCATGGGGTGCCGCACCTATGGCTGCGGGCGCTGCTGGTGTTGGTGCTGCTGCTGGCATGCGATCATATAGCGACAACCCGAATGGCCACGGCCAGCTCATGTCTCCCTTGCGTACGCAAAGCCCTGGAATGCCGCCCTCCGGTCCTCTGCCCATGGCTCCAAGTCGTAGCGCATCGCAAGGTGGTTACTCTCGCCTCGGCTCACCCGACGGCCAGCACAGCCCTCCCCCGCCGATGAGCCCGCCTTCGCATGGATACAGCGACAATGGCTTCGGCGCGCAGCAAGGCTACAACAACGGCGGTTATGGAGGCGCGAACCAGGGATACTTCAACAACGGTGGCGCCCAGGGAGGTTTCCGGTAGTGCTGATGCCATTTTATTTTTTGACGTCTTATCATTCTTTCCGCCAACGCGCTTGCGGCCTTTTTTTGTTTCTTTTCAGCTATCATGCATGAATATCCGAGCGGTTTTCTTTTTTTCCTTACCTCGAGCGGACGATATGATAGGAAGGTAAAGAAAGAGAGTCCTCGATGGGCGTTTGATCTGTACATTACCGGTGCCAAGATATCCTCTATGTATCTCGCCCTCATGGCTGGGGGCTAACGAGTTTCAATAAACGACATACCCGACTACCCATTGTCTTGAATTCTTACTCCTTTACTTTCGGTCTTGTGAAACTTCCCCGGATCGCGATGGCACGTGGACAGTGTTGGAGCTTCACGGCGGACAGGTAGGTAGATCGCTTCAGCGGTTCTGTTCGTGAACCGGTTCGCATGAACTTTGCTCACGACGATCACCAGGAACGGCAGTTCTTGCCTCATAGCCAGGTGTTGATAGGAACGTTCATGCAAGCCTCGTGGAAGCGTTCAATGCCATAACTTTTTTGGCGAGGCCTGCATGTCCATTCATTGGTCAACCTTAATTTCACTTCGCAACTCCATAGGCCAGATCGACGGTTTGCGGTTCAAGAGCTGCCCGAGTCGTTCGCTACGCCGATCAGAAGCTCAGGCGATCCACGTGAGGTTTGATACGCAGCAGACTCCTCATCAGTAATGTAAGGAGAGCAATAACCTCTGTCTTCCAAACAAATAGCAGTTCATGCCGGAAGCAGAACATCAGCGCAAGTTGCAACAGTTTGCTCAAGATTTGAACCAATGCCAGAGACCGAAACATTTGTGCGGGAACGCAAAGTGTTTGGTCCGCAACTCTCCATGCATACCAGGCGAACCGAACTTTGCTCAATCTTGAATCAATCGAACAGCTATGCTGTGCTGGCCATACTTTGAGTGTGGTTCGTGCTGACAATTGTGCAGTCACATTATAGCGCAGGGCTCGCTTGGAGGCTTTGGATAGACTGTGCGCCGCGGATGCAGGAGATTGAACCAGGCCATGACCCTGTTCTAATAAGGTCAAGGACGCAACGTTGAAAACGATTCCGAACACCTCCTTTACTGAAATGCTCATTTCGACATTACGCTTCGGGATGCTGGGGACTTTGCAGGCGGAGCTCTCGGGAGTCGCAGAAGGTCGGGTACTGCCCCGCGATGCTAATTAGGAAGGCAAGTCGTACGAGCGGCTAAATAGACGCGTATCAGGTAAGATTCATCTGCTAAACAGATACACTCACTCTTCATTTACAGTTATCAAGCTTGATATCACACGTCAGTCTGCCATCAACGCCTTGATCAAGAACAGCCTCGAGGGTGATTTGTCGCCGACCTTGAACAGCATATACATAACTGAGCTTGTCTTTTGGGGCTACCGGAAGATTCGCAGAGTCTATTCGCGATGAACCTTCCGCCCAGCCAGGAAGCACAATGGCTTAAAAGGCAAGGTTTGCGGTTTTCGAGGCGTGAAATGTTTGCCGCCACCTTGGACAAAGTCCAATTGGAGCGACGGAGCCACACTTATCCGCTTTCCCCGGACACTGACCATGATGGATGAAATGTTTCTTCATTTCAGTCTTCTCGACACCTAAGTTGAAACTTGACATGGTGCAGGAAAGCTCGGGTGTAGCAAGGGCCATCTCGTGGAAACGGTCGAATTGCCATTGGGGTATGGGATAGTAGCCCCTAGTCTAAGATAGATCCTCCACCTGCAGGCTGAACTGAGATACTGAAACCTATCTATCTTGGAGATCGGATCTCATAAACACTTTACCGTTCGTTGATGGTTGGTCTACAGGTGAGTATTACTCGCAAAAATGAGTCAAACGACCTGTTAGTCGGATATGGAAGTGATTCTAACACGTGGAAATAGGTACCGGAAACTTACACTTTCGATGCTTGGGAGCGCATTATAATCCATTCTTATTCGGTAGACTTGCTGGTCTGCCAAGGGTATAGTTCCAGATTGAGGATATCCGAAAAGGAAATCAAGCTGGCTTGCTCAGCTTACCCAGAGAGTTTCAACCCTTCCGAGCTGTAGAGGTTGCAACCATTTCATGCTTGCACTATGCAACCACTTCCCCCATTTGCAGCTTGATTAGAGTTGAAAGGCACACCATTAAGCGAAGCAAGCAGAACGTGGAGGCATGAACTTCTAGTCCTTCTGCCAGGAATCCTTGACAAATCTCACGAACATCACGGTGCAACCGGCATACTGCCGCCAGACCTCAGTCTTACACACCACCATTCTGTAGGACACCGTTGCTCCTCAGACTCCGCTAGTTCATGAGTGACAGCTACCCAACCCACGGCACATACTGGTTGCAGCTCATCTGATCTGAAGGAGGCGACTCAGGATGCCTCGGAGCAAAGCCGATAGAGGTAGCTTGCTGAAAGCTACACAGCTAGGGTAGCTCTCCACGGATGTGTCGGAGGAATGGACATCCTAGGATGCCACAGAGATGAACAACGTTTGAGTGTGTCGTCGAGCTAGACTTGGTGCAATGCGAGCGCCTGTAGTTCATCGATTGCTCGGCAGGCGACAATGCAAGGGAAAGACGACCTACAACTCAGAAGATCCCAGACTATAAAGCACGGCATCGTTCCCCGTCAACTACTGTTCTCTTTTCTCTTCATTAGACAGACAAGACAGCAATCAGTTGAAGCTCAGGATAGCCTTCCAATTATACCCACCTTTGGTTTTTGATACCAGCACTTGCGGCTCGCATAGATCGTCAGCATGCTCTACTCAAAGCTCTTCGTCGCCGCTCTTACCGGCATCACCTGCGTCGCGGCTATGCCCGCCGAGCAGCCTGCCGAGTTGGCCAAGACCGAGGCGTTTCCTCGTGGCGAATGCCGCGATGCACGCGACGACCTTTACTGCGGTCGCAGTGTCAAGGAGTTCACTCGCTACGGTAAGTTCCTCCGACACCTTTTCAGCATGGCGTCAGCATTGCTAACGGAGCTTGTAGATGCGAAGAACAGGCTCTGCTTCGCTAACGACGGAGGTAACAGGCTCTTCTGCGCCATTCGTGAGCAGCAGGAGTTGGCTATTGAGCTGGCTCGCGAATTCAACAGAATCACCCGATGTGAGATTGATCAGTACTACGGCTACAGAGAACGCCGCTGCGAATGCTACCGCCGCGGCGATGGAGACCGCGGCGATGGAGACCGCGGCGATGGAGACCGCGGTGGAAGAGGCCGCGAGTGCCGCGATGGAGACCGCGATGGAGACCGCGATGGAGACCGCGATGGCGACAGACGCGGCGGCCGTGATGGTGACCGCGATGGTGACCGCGATGGTGACCGAGGCCGTGGTGATCGTGATGGTGACCGTGGCCGCGATGACCACGACCCCAATTGCAAGGGCGATGACGTTGCTTTCTGCGCGGCTAGCGAGGACTTGATCATCACCTATGGTAAGTCGAAGACTGTTCAATGCCATTCCAATGATTGAGCAAAATGACTAAGACTCCCACAGAGCGTGGCGCGGAGATTTGCGACAGGAACCGTGGCAACTACGTCTTCTGCGCCAACCCAGAGCGCGGCGCTGCTCGCGAGAAGGCCAGAGATCACTTCCGCGACCGCAACAAGAAGCAGGCTTAGGTCTTCTGTCTCAATAATATGGCTCTCATCTGGAGCATACAGCTGGTATCTACTGAACCAACTTGGGTGTGCAGGTTGGGAAGGGTTTACTGAGCCGAGTCGAGTCTAATGGAATGTTTAGTCTGTAATCTGTATTTCGTGAAGTGGATTAATTACCTAGTGTGTAAAACGACAGAGAATGGAAAGAAATTATTACCCCCTGAATTTGGAACCGTAATGTGTTTGTTGACAGGAAGTCACTCAATTCTCGCCTAGGAGAAATCATAATTCCAACGTCCTGTTCGCCATGAGAACTACATCGCAAGAAATATTTCACGCCACTGGGAGAAATTTTGTGTTATCATTTTGGCATGCCAATGGTCTCCAAATAGGGGGACAGATCCATGTTGAATGGTCAGTACCGAAGGTAGGTGGTAGAAAATATCTAGGGCTAAGCATTGCTGTCGAGGGTTGAGGTAGAGAGGAATCAGGGTCCTCTAACGGCTAACATGCGCTTGTGATCACTCACGATCCAGGAGAACTAGAGTAATTCTTGGGAAGAAAATCGAATGAATCAAATTTTGTTGGAAAAGCGTGACAATATTGAATCGAACAGTTGTAATACGAGATGATGATGATGATGATGATGATGTATTATTGTAATACGAGAATGCACGCTTTTGACGAGTTCCTAGCTTACCTTATTACTTCAAAAATCATGTGGAACCCGATTGTAGTCCTTTCGTCTCGACTTTCCTTCCTAAAGTACGGCTCGACATTCCTTCCCGAGTCAATTGAGCCCAAATTGTGGAGACCTTCGCAGTTGCAGAGCTACTAATGCGGGGGGTTGGGAAAGATTAACCGACACAATTGAAGACGGCGACGAACGTCGACAAAACAGCCCGAGCAAATTTGTTCTGCAGACGGGGCAATAAGATCTGTTTGGAGTCTTTCTAACAGTATCTCTAGGAAATTCTCGATGAATCTGGTAAAGCGAAACCTTGAGATTGGTTCAGAGACACCCCCGCAACAATGTCCAAGCCCCTGAGCCGTAGCAGTGGAGGCTGTTGGACATGTCGTATCCGCCACAGGAAGTGCGATGAAGCATCTCCGACATGTAAAGAATGCACAGATCGACACATAGTATGCCATGGCTATGGAGCGGAGCCTGAATGGGTCAAGAACCCAACCAAATTACAGGTCGAACTTCAACGCATCAAGCATGCTGTGAAACAGAACTTCCGCCGAACTCGAAAACTGCAGGCTTCTTCCACACGTTCATCCACTAGAGCCGCAACAGAGCCTTCGGGGGAAACCCTTGAAGAGTCAGCAATATTCTCGCCTGGCGGGTCTGAATATCGAGAAGCCGAGCTTCTGACATATTATCTGGACTACATCTTTCCCCTTCAATACGCCTATTACGTGGACAAGCCAGCGCTCGGTGGCCGAGGATGGCTTTTCTGGCTTCTGTCCAAGCAAGGGCCGCTCCGTCAAGCCGCCTTCACGCTATCAGCTCTACACCAACACGCCATGTCGCAAAGTAAGACAGAAGAGATGGAGTCAGAGCTTATCCGATATCACACCAATGCGATGCAGGAACTTCGTCAAGTTCTCAGTCGTTGCGAGACAGACGGTTTCGCCAGCCATCCCGAATATCGCGTCGAGTTTCTCACCTGCGGAACTTTTCTTATCAGCTTCGAGGTATCCACCCGTTTCTTCAACCACTTTTGAACCCATGCTTACACCCTGCTAACCTGGCTAGGTCTTCCAAGGAGGGACCACTAACTGGCAGTCACATCTGAGCGCTCTTGTGCTAGTCGCGGGTCAAATTGACTTGGAGAGCGTGGGTGTAAGGTCCGAATCTTCCACAAGAATTGAGACTGGATTCCAAATAATTATGAGTGCTGCCATCAGGTTCCATGTGTCTCAGCTACTTTGGTTCGAGCTTCTATCATGTGTCTCTACAGGTGAACCACCGAGGCTCCCTTACCAAATGTGGCTCAGTCACGAAGAAATCGATATATCCTGTGTCATGGGTTGCCAGAACTGGGCTATGCTAGCTCTTGGAGATGTAGCCTTGCTAGAAGCACAAGTTGCAGAGATGAACCCGAGAGCTCTGAGCCGCAAGATAGCAGACATAACTAAACGTCTCGAAGACGGTGTTGGATACTTGGGTGTAGAACAGAAGGTAGTACAGCTTTCCAATGACATCGAGCATGAGAAGATACTAACTTGACTGGCCAGCCCGCCTCAGCCTTGATATCGCAGTCGATCACTCGCATATATGCAACGGCAGTGCTTGTGCAACTGCACACAATTTCAGGCAACACAGAGGATCCACCCGAGAACGCGTCTGAAATCATTTACAATGCAGTATCCGACGTCATGGATGCTTTTCAAAGCGTACCTGAAGGCTTGTCTCTAAAACCTGTGACGTGGGCCATGTGCGTCGCTGGAGCAATGGCAGGGCCAGGTCAACAACCATTCTTCGAGAATTTGATTGAGGGAATACTCGAAAACTCAGGTTCCGGATTCACAAACTGTGATACGGTGCTACGTGTTTTGAAGGAATGCTGGAAGGAACAGGAATACTACGGTACCGACAACAGTGTCCCTAGAAATGCAATGTCACGGCTGGGGATTTGTGTCCTTTTGATTTGAGGCATGGCCCATCAGAGGTTCCTGCTTCCTACACAATGCGACGGCGGCCAGGGTTACCTTAAGACCCAAGTAATCCCGAATTTAGGGGAAAACAATACGTCAACTATTCAAATCATTGTGAAGGCACAAGGAACTCCTCTCTGCAGGCTGCGAATTGTCTCGATACGACCTCATCTGTCTAAGATGATACCACCACCCGCAACCCCTATTCCTGTCCAGCTAAACTTTTTCCCTCGAACGGTGAACTAATTTCAACATGCTTGAGTATCACTAGTCTGGTTTCAATCGTCGAGCACTTGGACTTTCAACGCCAGAGCACCAGGGTCTGAAGCTGTTTTGAAGGCCTTCTCACCATCTTCAAGGGTGAATCGGTGGGTGACCAATGGCTTAAGATCAATGACTCCCTCAGCAACAAGCCCAATGGCCCGAGGGTAGATATCTCGATAGCGAAACTGGAACCGTAACTCGATTTCCTTGCCGGCCATGTACATGATGGGAATCGTGGCAAAGTCTTTACCACAGCCGATAACAAAGACCATGCCTCCGAATCGGCAAGACTACAAATTTTGATTAGCTTGGATATCCCTGCCCGACGTACAATTTGTGTAGATGACTTACGTATATACCAGTGACCACACTTGACTCAACACCAGTGCATTCGAGCACTGTTTTGGCTTCTTGACCAAGAGCCCCTTTGATGTCCTCGGCTGTTGCCTGCGGCTCCTTTCCAGGGGTGATGAGCACAGTTCGCACTCTGGGAACAGCCTTCTTTGCCATGTTTAGCCTGGTCTGATTGATGTCCGTAATGACGATTGGGTTTGCACCTGCCGCATTAGCAGCCAGCAAAGTGGCAATGCCGATAGGGCCAGAACCGCAAATAACCACGGGATCACCCAAGCGAACGCCGGATCGCTCGAGTCCCGTCAGAGCCACTGACAGCGGCTCAAGAAGAGAGCCCTCTTCATATGACATCTCATCAGGAATCTTATGAAGCCAGTCTTCTGGGTGCACGTGGTAGCGTGTAAGGGTTCCGTGGTATGGGGGCGTCGAGTAGAAAACCACCTCTGGGCAGGCGTTGTATCGGCCTGTTCGACAGAAGAAGCACGATGCCTTCATACAAGGGATGCCGCACTCGATGGCCACCCTGTCGCCAACCTTGAACTTTGTCACACTGGGCCCTACGCCCACGACCACGCCTGCGCTCTCGTGGCCTAGCCCGTTTTCACCCGTCACAACCATCTCTCCAATGTGACCTGCTTTCCAGAAGTGAACATCGGAGCCGCAGATGCCAGTTGCTCGCACGTGAACTAGGCACTCCCCTTCGCTTGGGATCGGAATATCGAGCTTCTTGAGAAAAAGGTCATGCTCAGGGTTGGTATAAATTGCAAGGTTGTCGGGTTTTCGGCGAAGGATATCGGCTGCGTTTGATGCATTCATAGTAGGTATCAGTGGTGAGTATTACTCTAAACTTGATGGCAAAGAAGGCTAAGGGGTCGGGAATCTGTGGGTGTCAATGACGAAGTGAGCTGGGAGCCTCAACCTAAGTGCGGCCAGCTTTTTATACAACAGGTACTGTAGGTACATCTGATCTCACAAAAGGTAGGCAGGTTTGTTTAATGTCTATCTATTCTGGCTGCAGGAGCTTCGGAGTTCTTTACCCCTCGCTTACCCCCTCCGAGCACATTGGTCACGTCTTCCACATCTGATCGTCCAGTCTCAACAAATTGGCCCAAACACATCATCTCCTCACAAGACACCAGAGACGGCGCCGTATCAAGTCACCGCTACCCCACGTTCGGCGCACTGTCACCCGGTTGGGTTTCCGCCACATTGTTGATTTGGAGGGAAACCCCCGCCCACTGCGACTCCCCGCACGCGACCTATGAGAGACTCTGAATTCCTTGCCTTTTTTCTGAACACATCTCGTCATTGGGCATGGTTAACAAGACCTTGAGAGACCTCAGATTCTAATCAAGATCTAAATCTCTCAGTCTCCGCTTCAGCTGGGCCGGTTTATGTCTGCGTTCGTGGAGCGTGATTCGAAACTTATACGACCACTTGACTTCAAGCCATCGCCATGTCTCTCAACGGAAAGATCGCAATAGTGACAGGAGGGGCTCGAGGAATCGGTGCTGGCATAGTCAGAGCTCTTGCTAAACAAGGTGCAAGTGTAAGTCCTGCTCTTATTACCTATTACAGTCAACCAGGTCGATCACTCAGAGTTTCCTCGCCTGGTGTATCCCTAGCGGCTGCATCTTGACTGAGTCGGCCATTGACGATGAGTCTTCATGTTAACGTAATTCAGGTTGCATTCAATTACGTCTCTCCTTCCTCCGAAACTACTGCTCTCACATTGGTTGAGGAAGTGAAGGGGTTGGGGGTTCGAGTGACGTGCGTCCGCGCCGATATGGCGTCTCTTGAGGCTCCCTCTGCTCTTCTGAATGCTGCTCTCCAAGAATTCCAGACCGACAAGATCGATATTTTGGTGAACAACGCGGGTGTTGGAGGAAATGCACCACTTGAAGAAGTCACGATCGAAGACTACGATCGGCTGATGACGGTTAACGTCAGAGCAGTCATCTTCATGACTCAAAGCGTCTTACCTCACATCAACCGCGGCGGTCGTATTGTCAACTTGTCTTCGATATCCGCCCGCGGCGGCTATCCAACTCAATCCGTATATGCCGCATCCAAAGCCGCCGTTGAGGGCCTCACACGGGTCTGGGCCACAGAGCTGGGCCACAAGTACGGGGTAACGGTGAATTCAGTCAACCCCGGCCCTGTCGACACCGATATGTACCGTGCTGCCGGGCCTGTACATCTTGCGAGGATGGAAGAACAGAATAAGAAGGTTCCTGCCGAACCCAGATGTGGCACGGAGGAGGATGTGGCAGATATCGTTGTTTTTCTGTGCGAAGAAAGATCGCGCTGGGTGACTGGAGACACCATCTGTGCGAACGGAGGCATGGTCTACACATAAAGAAGGGATGTTGTATGTTGTATAACCTTCGCGGTATTGGCGAGTCTCCCGTGTTAACATTATGGTGCGTCATTTCAGAAACAGAGATCTGGAGTGTGTTGCCATGCTTGATGCCCGCGTGTGTTTCCGGTCTCACTGTAAAGATCTCTTTCGCCCTAAATTGAACCAAACTGGACTTTTATCTACCTTGAGTGACTATCTGAGAATTACAGGGGTAGTCGTCGCGTCGCCCAAGAATAGGGGACCGAAGACTCGAAAATCTGATCGGTACTATGTGACTACGTGATGAATGTCAGAATGAAGCATAGGTACTAAGCATGTTTCCACTATAAGATGTCAAAGTCTCCTCGAAAATCAAGAACATAAAGCTAATGTTCGCAAAAGTTCCATTCCGTCTTGAGCCAGCCAGCCTCCTTCTCTTTCATCCATGTCCTTCCAGCCATCAGCTCCTTTCTCAGCTCCTTGGCCTCTTCCATTCCGATGGGCCACTTATCTCTACTAACAGCCTGCTCCCAATTTTCTCGAGCTTTCAACCATGCGTCTTCAGAATTAGCCCACTCTTTCTGCGCCGTTTCCCACTGGATCAATCCCTGATCATCTGGTGCTGGGGCGAGGAGTGGTTCGATCTTAGGCTCGGCGGGCCACCAGTGCTTCTGTTGAGGCGGCACGTTTGACGTACTGATAACAGGAATGGCCGGGTCGACGAGGAAGAGGGCTACAATCTTCCTATGACCAGGCTTCGAGGGATCCGCGAGCTTGAAAGGGAAGACTTGGTGTTGGAGGAGGTTAGGGAAGAAAAGTGCCCGGCCGCCTCTCGTATGTACCGATCCAACATTCTGAAGCGTGTGGCCACGGGGATCGATTGCGAATGCCTGCTTGATGCTCCACCAGTCGTACTGCTCATAGTCGAGCGAGGTCCGTGAGTCAGAATCGTCAAGTTCTTCTCTGTTGGCACATGTTCGGAAGTTGAGAGTGCAATCCGTGATGTTCTCACAATCGTAGTAGAACAGTGCTGTGCTAACAATGTGCTCGTTCAGGAGACCTTCGGTATGCCATGAGCCACCTTCGTATGTGGGGTTTTCGGGCGTGAGATGGATATTGGCCAACTTGACAATGACCTGACAGCGGTCCTTGCCTCCAAAAAAGTCACTGCTTTTGATGTCGGCAGCAGTGAACTTGACGTAATCTTTCGCCTCGGGGTCAGCGTCGGGAAGTGGAGGACCATGTGTCTCTCTAAACCAGGCCTTGTCTCGAGCGTTGCGTTCCGGATCCTTTTGATTTCGCGGGGTTTCGTTCTCAGCAAGAGGACGTGCCTGCGCCCTGCATTCCCGGCGTCGACCGCAAAATGTCCGGACAAGGGCACATTGGCTTCTGTACATTGGATGTCACGAGACGCTGCACCGCGAACTTATCCTCCCAGTTGTAGATGAGATCCCAAGCTGGTAAAGACTTTTCAATGAGCTGCTCGATGATTGGATAGAGGTGGGCCTGCTCTACAGGATGGAGGTTGTTGATGTAGCTTGCAATTTTGGCTTTTCCGTTGATTCGATTGAGGTCCACATCACAAGGCAGCCATTGAAACTCCCTGCTCAACACCTTGTTTCTCGAAGTACTGCTCCAAGAAGTGTTGGAAGATAGTGTAGCCTCCGCCTTTGTCGGCTGGCGTATTGTCGTACCCATGCCGCAGTGGTCAAGCGCGTCATGGACACGTGCGGTCATGAAGCATCTTAGAACTACCGTATACCAAGGGCCAGAGTGAGGGGTGGACTAGATCCAAGACTTGATCGTTGCTGTTAGGGTGCCAGTCTTTGCAATCTGAGGGGACATCCTCAAGTGACTTGACGGCATCTCGAATAGACATGACAAACTCAGGGGTCAAGATGCTGTCAGACTTGATAACCGCAGTGCAGTAATCGTAGACCGGCATCAGTCCTGTCTGTTCATACACTTCCGCCTTCTTGCGTAATTCACTGATGCACTTGAGGTCGTTAGCGCCGACATACTGTTGTTGAAGATAGAGGCCAACTTACCGCATCGGCCATAGAAGGAGTGAAGTGAGCATGCTCGATGTACGACGCCCAGTCGATTTCCAAAGCCTCCGATTTCCACTTTGCAACAATACTGTCGTCGTTGACCTTGAGCCACCACTGAGGTTTATCAGACAATTCATCGACAACCCTCAGCACACAACATTCGCGGACGAGAAGCGTGACGGCCTCCCATTCACCCAAGAACAAAACAGGAAATCTCTCTTTCAGGCTGGGCATATGTCCAAGGTTAAGACCGGCTCCAGGACGTTTGACGACCAATTGTTCCAGGGTCGGTTGGAAACTTTTAGCAATCTTAACTGGACTTCAGGCCTCTCGAGGCTCACCTTGAATTCGCGGTGGTGGTATCTCCACACCGCCTGCTTGATGAACAGATTGAGGTACCCAAACGAAAAGGCATTGAAATCAAGCTCGGTGTTCCTTTCAATCCAAAATTTCGCATCGGAAACGTCGGGGTCTTTCGGGCCAGCCCAACTGTCGAAGGCTTCTTGTTGCTCGTCAGTCAACTTGACACGCTTGTGCTCATGCTTCATGAATTCCTCCTCGTCAGATGTGAGAGGCACGGGGCTTCTGAAGGCTTGATTGGCCATAGTGCAGACTGGTACGTGGAAGGATGAACGATGTAGTAATGGCGAGAATAGCTCGGTGAGATGTTATTACTGTTGCACAGTCCATAGATAAATGGTTATATATCCAGGTGTTGGCTACTTGTGAGCCCCTGAAATGCTGTATCGCAAAAGACTTAGGCAGAAGTGTGGGTTCGCTCAACCAAAAAGTTTGTTCCGGCAGGCAGCATTGACGAGACTGAACATCCCGAAACCCCACCGGCCATTCCAAAAATTGTTGCGGCGATCAAACTAGCGATAGGCTGTTGCCGAGCATTGACTCACATAATTCAGCTAGATAAGGTGTTGGTCATTGAATCGAGAAACCATACGGATACGCATGTCGACGTTAGCTTCCACGGCTGCGACTAACAACAGTCAACTATTCTGGTGTCAATATCACTCGGTGGGATAGACGAAGTACACAACCTCTGTTAAAATCATCACAGTTGGCTCACAAGAACTACCATTATGGGGTTCCAAAGCTGTGTAAAGTAGTTTACGGTTCAGACATCAATGTTCTGACCAATCACCCTCAAAGTCTGAACGATTCGTTTTTTCTAATTTTACTAGCTATTTTAGACCGAGACTGGACCCTGCAACTCACATGTTGACCTTATGGCCCTTAGGTACGTTTTGCAACAGGAAAGCCGTCGTGCATAAGCCTTCGGATATTCCCCTTTTGTTTTCTTCAACAAAACATGCCAAAAGAAGAAAGAAGTAAAAAACAGGATCTGGTGCTAGTCGTGGGCCAATCCAAAAGATGTCTATCAAGCGATGACAAGATCTTACAACTCCAAGATCTAATAACTACATGTAGTTTTAATAAAACTCCGCTTTATTTATTACTTTTATCTGCCCTATTGCTCATAAGGAACCCCGCTTTGTAAAACGTTGAAAATGCGCCATTGTAATCCAATTATTGCTCTCGTCCGTTAGTAAGTAAGTCTGGAAAAACCCAGCCCCTGCTATCCCTGCATAATCCCGTGTCTATACGTAATCTCGCCTTCATTGAGCATGCGTTCAGGACTTTGATCCCGACTCAATGTTTTCCTCTACTTCGAAGCGATATAGAGTAGGCTCAGGCTCGCCTTGCTGACGCATGATATAGTGCTTGAACCACCATGGCAACGCCTCGAACAGTTGATAAGACGCATGTCGCCTGGTAGAAACTGAGAAGACGTCATCCAGTTCTTCAAGAGAGCGCTGCTTTGTCTCTGGAAGGAACAGAAATATGAGAACCAAGCATACTACTCCAAAGACAGAATAAAGTGTGAAAACACCTTGGGGTTTGATTGCCTGGAGAAGTGGCGGGGATGTTTGTGCCACAACGATGGCCCAGAAGTTGTTCGTTGCGACTGCCCAAGCCATGCCGACCTCGCGATGTGATAAAGGGAAGACCTCAGCCGAGTAGACAAACGCAACTGGTCCCTCTCCCGGACCATAAAAGGCGGCGAAGAGATAGATGAACAAGCATATGACACCGAGGTGTGCGGGACTGCTCTGCGGAATGTAGAAGGCCATGCCTGCTGCTAACATAGCCCAGCACATGTTTGGAAAGGTGGCCAACAACAGCGCTCTGCGGCCCCAGCGATCGATGGTCCACAAGGCCGGTATCGCGAAAAGAAACATTGCCATGCCGTATCCCCATGAGGCCAAGAGAGCAATGGTATTACTTGCCCCTGCTTCCTCAAAAAGCGTCGAAGAGTAAAAGGACATGAGATTGACTGCGGCTGTTAGCGGAGTGTCCTCGAACCTTGCGGGGTGTACTTGATCATACCTCCACAGAACTGCTGGGCTGCCATGACGATGCCCGATGCTTGGGTCGCCCGACGGATCCTGGGGATGGTAAACAATTCTAGGCACCTGGCGAAAAAGTTGCTCTTCCCAAGCCCATCAGCCTCTATCAGTTCCTGTTCCTTCTCGACCTGAGCGTTGACGAAGTAAAGGTCCCTAGCGGCGAGCAGATTACTGCCACGCAGTCTCAGGAGTGACTCGTAGGCTTGAATGAACCTGCGCTTCTTCAACAGCCATCGGGGCGATTCGGGTGTAAAGTAGATTCCCAAAAGTAAAGGTACCGCAGGTATCATGGCAGAACCAAGTTGGAGTCTCCATGCGATGTCCCCAAACCCGACCACAGCGAGATTTGCAAGGAAGCCTAGCATGATACCAAAAGCGCTGGAGAGTTGCCACGACATGACCAGAGCTCCACGTATATTAGGTGGTGAGTTTTCGGCCGAGAACACGGGCACGGTGACTTCTTTGAGTCCCATTCCCATGCCGAGAAGGACCCTGCAGACCAAGATCTGTGGCCACGTCTGGCAAAGTGCTTGGCCAACAGGGCCGAGAATGCTGAAGATGGCGCCCAGAAAGATTGCACCTCTTCTCCCGAACCAGTTGTTAACGGGGTCAGAAAGCCAACAAGCGCTACGCATAGTTAGTGAGAAGTTCCAATGTGGGTTAACCAAGGACTTACATGACGCAAATGGCCATGTATGGCGCGCTGTTTATGGCACCAATGATCCAGGAGTTTCTTGCACATGTTCCAGCTATGACACAGGCCTCGCCTTTATCCGCGATGCCAAAAGCTTGAGGGAAAGACAAGTTCGCTCCGTTGGAACCCGTCTGGTCCCAACCCTGGATTGCTGCGCTGACCGAGTTCATAAGAATGGTAAAATAGAGGGCTTTAGGATGCCTCCAGCGATGCTCGATTTCGTTTGTTAGAATGGCTCGGTCATCCTCAGTGAGCTCCGGTATGTCTTCGTAGGCTTTTGGGCTCTGTGCTGCCAACGCCCCCTTTTCGAAGTAGGTGATCTCATTTTGCAGCCCAAGGCCTATGGCGAAGAGTCTTGCATCGATCTTGAGTTGCTCTCGGGGAATGCCTTCAAGGGGGTTTCTTGGCCTGTGAGTCCAACGTGTTAGAAAAAGGGGTAGATGGGGCTGGGCTTCTGGTGCTGGCTGACTCTCCAGTAGCCATCTGGCTTTCACTACGGCGAGGATGGTCATGGTGACCGATTTCGACGGTACTGCCCACTTCCAAGCCGCTCTTGGAACTTGTTCTGTCAATTCGATGCTTGGCAAGGTATGGAGATATGTTGGGACTTACATATCATCTTTTTCGGGGGGTAAAGTGGACATCTTGGTGGCCGGTGATCTGCTTCAGGAATAAGGAATATTAGAGATGGGAGGATTGAAAACAACAGAACGTCTATCTTCCTGACCGAGGGCTGTAAAACGAGTGGGACGGCAGAAGAGCCCCCGTGAAGGAAAACCTGAGGCTTATGAACCTTGAAAGACAAGCTCGGCAAAGGCTATTGTCGTATGTGGATCGCACAAGGTACCAAGCCTTCGAAAAAGGCTTGCCGTGGTCCAAAAGATTGCCGATATTGGCTTAGCTGATCGATGTGGCATGTTTCTAGTTCCTCCACGTCAAGCCCCTCGACGAGGCTCGGCGCGAAGGGCATATTAGTCTGTAGGTTAAGATGTCCCTGGCAGCCGTGTTGAGACCCGTGGTGACAGCCATCAAGAATTGAGAGTCATCGAGAGTGTTTAAGACCTTAAGATGATTGCTTTCTACATCCTATTTCTGATATCAATGGTATTCGCACTTGGCTCGGCCTTGAGAGGACTCTCGGAACCCTGTGTACCTGTCACTTGTGTCTTCCGAACATTAAATAATTACCTCAATATCCTACTTGGGTATGCCGCATGAATATCTGCGGAGTAAGGAAAAACTTACAAAACACCACAAATGCAACCTCTATGGCCATTACCCTCCCTTTCGTTTCGCGATCTATCGATGGCCAGCATCGAGCATTCGAAGCCGTCTTCCAATGCCTACTTTCGTACATGTTCCGGGCTTGACTGTATTTCGCCAATGAATCTAGACCACTTTGATGATGAAAGACGCTTGTAAATCTCGATTCGCATAGGCACCATGGGTACTAGTATTCTTGATATGAAGGAAATCGATAGTTGGGGGGCTTGGGAAGCCATTCCAAGGTCCTCATCAGCGGCCAACACAGCAGTGGCTTAGATGGGCCGAGCTTTCGACTCTACCTACCTTCCGATCCTGGCCTCGGCATCGGCACAAACCCAGACCCATTAAAGTAGTCGGTCGCCCGTTTAATGAATGAATTGCATCTGTCTTAAGATTGTATGAGACGTGAAAGTAAAAAGTTTTAGGTGCTTAGTACTACCGGTTGTCAAGTAAGAACGAATGTGTTGCGAGAAGTTAGAACCGAGGCTCTCACAGCGTTAGTTCTCGTCTCGACTTTCCTTCCCAGTCGGCGTCGAGAGGTGGAGACACTTCACCGTGCGACCCATCGTCTCGCCCCGTCTCAAGGGCGCATAATATGCCAAGACATGCTTGACGCTTCACGCCAAAGATAAGTCAGGTAAAGCACTGCAATTGGAGAATTTAGATAAAAGAGCAATAGGCACACATATTTAGTATTTTAATCCAACTCATCGCTTCCAATCAGTCAATCAGTGCACTGGTACAAGCTGCAACATCAAGTTTAACGCCCGACACACAACATCGACCGAAATCATGGTTCAGATCAAAGCTTTCGAGGTAGAAGAGTGGATGGATCGTCTGGAGACAACGCCAGGTGCTCTCAACATTGCCGAAACATGCTGCGAGTCTGTATCAATCAAGGAGTTGACAGAGTTGTCGAGCGACAAGTCGGCTGCCGGTCCCCTCGACATCGCAACTCGACGAATGACCTAAGGCGCAATTTACGGATCAGAGAAGACGCGCCAGCAGATCGCCAACTTATACGAGAACGACATCTCGGGCTCACTTCCTAATGATCAAGTCATCATTACGCAGGGAGCTATTGTCGCCAACTTCCTCACTCTGTACACGCTCGTCGGCGCGAATGACCATGTCATCTGTGTACACCCCACCTACCAACAGCTGTACGAAGTCCCCAAGAGCTTGGGCGCTGAAGTGAGCCTTTGGAAATTGAGTCAATAAAGAACGTGGCACGAGTGAGTTCTTCAATAAAAGCGAGTCGTTAATCTAAGCCTAGTCGCTGTACAAACCTCAGACCATTATTCTTTTCTCATGCCAATCGAGCACCGCCCGCTCATGAATCTTCCGTAGCTTCTTCCTCAAATTGTACCAAGACTGTTCCGGCTTTGCAAATATCCTAAGGATGGTGTCAGTGAAAGCGCTTGCAATTGTGAAAGAATAGGACTACTCACGCCTTCCTTATGCGCCAGCTTCTTTACCACGCCATTCTGGGGCGACCGGATAACTGTCTCCATCTTCATAGACTCGATACTATGTGTTCAAGTCAGCCACTAGAACCATCATTTGACAACGGTCTTGGATAGGGTGGCACTCACACAACCAACGGAGCTCCCTTGGCCACCGTTTGCCCTTCCTCCACCTCATTCTTCAGAATCTTGCAAGGCATCGGTGCCACGACGGACGCGGTGACCTCTTTCAAACCGAGGGCCTTCTCAAACCAGCTTGGCGGCAGAAGGGAGAGCTCGGTCTTGATGCCATGTTGGAACACAGCAATCTTGGTGTCCTGCTCATTCTGCGCATTCTGCACGACCGTCGACTCCAATCTCTCGCTGGAGAAGAACGTTGTGAGTGCGTTTGTTGACGAAGACTTCGATTGGAATTTGCTGATGAGGTTCTCGAAAACATGGGGTGACTGCTCTCCCTTCCTTGTTACACGCGCATCGAAAAGCTGATGGGACTTTTGTGTGATGCTGACTTCCACAACTTCTCCTTCTTGCTCACTGTACAAGTCGAGCACCTTGAAGGCAAACTTGCGCTCGCTGAGGGTGCTGGCCTCACCAAAGCCTAAGCTACCTCCGTGGGGAGCAGCGTGTGATAGTTGGGGAGACAATGAACTGAGAGCAGCCTGGACAAAGACCTCGTCTTGGATTGGCCGCGGCTTGAAGAGTTCATCTCTCCACTTATCGATAAAGCCCGTCTCGACATCGCCCTCGATGAATGCTGGAGACCGGCACAAACGTTTCAGGAACTCGATGTTGGTGCTGAGACCAACGACTTCGTACTCGCGGAGAGCCAGTTCTAGCCTGCGGATAGCAGTCTCTCTATCCTTGCCGCGAACAATCAACTTGGCAATCATGCCATCGTAGGCTTCCGAGACAGTGTCACCCTGGATAAAGCCAGCGTCGATGCGGATGTCCTCGTTCGTCTTGGGCGTGGTAAGGTGAATCAGCTTGCCGGAATCAGGCATGAACCCCTTCTCCGGATTTTCGGCATAGATACGAGCCTCAATGGCTGCGCCATGCTGCTTGATATTCTCCACGATCTCTTCCTGCGTCATAGGTAGCTTCTCTCCAGCCGCAACACGGAATTGCCATTCGACAAGGTCGGTGCCGGTAACCATCTCACTAACGGGATGCTCGACTTGTAACCGGGTGTTCATCTCCATGAAGTAGAAGTCGCCAGTGTCCTTGTCCAGAATGAACTCAACAGTGCCAGCGCCAACGTAGTTGACAGCCAGAGCAGCCTTCCTGGCCTTCTCCCAAAGATCAAGACGAGTTTCCTCGTCCAAGTCAGGCGCTGGAGACTCCTCAAGGATCTTTTGGTGTCGCCTCTGGACACTGCAATCACGCTCGCCTAGGGCAACGCAATTGCCCAGCTTATCCGCAAAGACCTGCACCTCAACATGACGAGGGCGCACAATATACTTCTCCACCAACATGACCTCTCCACCCTCGCCAAAGGAAGCGCGAGCTTCGGCACGAGCACTGCCAAGCTGGGCAGCAAACTCGTCCTCGGTCATGACGATGCGCATGCCCTTTCCGCCACCACCTTTGACACTCTTTAGCAACACTGGGAATTTGATATTCTTCGCGTGTTCCAATAGTTGTACCTCCCCTTGATCTGAACCATGATATCCTGGAACGCATGGCACGCCGGCATCCGTCATGATGATCTTGCTTCGCGCCTTGTCTCCCATATCGGTCATTGCCTGCGCCGGAGGTCCAACGAAGACAATGCCCTCCTTTTCGCACCTCTCGGCAAATCGGGAGTTCTCAGACAAGAAGCCATAACCGGGATGGAGGGCTTGTATGCCGTGTTTCTTGGCTAGGGAGATGATGCGTTCGCCGTCCAGGTACGCTCTTGCGTCGCCTAGGTTCAAGGAGTGCGGGGAGCACGCGGCGTGCTGGCTGTTGCTGTCGGGGTCCGTGTAGATGGTTGTCGTCTTGATTCCTAACCTGTCTGCGGTCTTGTGAATTCGGAGCGCGATCTCGCCGCGGTTGGCAATAAGAAGAGAGGTGATAGGTATGATTTGGCTTGAAGCCGGCACCGTCTGGCCTGCGGCAGTGGAGAGGAGCCGAGGGAGGGGTCGGACGAGCCGGTGCTTCGCTTTCATGGAACGCATGTTGGATGATTGAAGCTTTGTGACGTGGATTTCAAGCCTGGGATATCAATTGAACGTACAAAGGGAGAAGGAGAAGAAAGCAAAGTTGATTACAGAGGAGGAAAGCGCAGAGCTCAATGCGAATGCCCCAGGTAACCCGAGGTCTCAAAGGAGCTTCGGCTTGTTGCGCTCGATCATCTTGGAATGAGCGGTGCCGACAATAGCCGTGGGCGCTGAAAGCCGGTGAAAGGCGACCCCGGATTTCAGGCGGGACGTGCTGGACTTCCCCAAAGCTGCCTTAGGTAAGGTAGCTGGTGATAAGATTAGAAGACGAGTTCCTCGACGTCATTCCTCGATAACATGGAAGGTCCGTTGGCTTTGCCCCGCATTAGTCAGCGTGGGCTGGGACTTTGCGCCCATCTTTCCTCTCCAGCCCGGCCGATCCAGACAAGGCTCGTTCGGAGAAGCTCACGATACGTTACCCAACACCTTCACATCCGTAAAAACAGCTTCACCAAAATGGATCAACAGGTCCCCCTCAACTATGAGGCTTCGGCCGGCGAGACCAATAAGCAAGTTACGGCAACTCTTCCCCAAGAGGTCGTACAATGCCTGGAGAATGCGCGATTCGTAAGCTCTTAGCTCTTCTGCCCACCTCGATCAAGCTTTGCGGCGGCTCTATACCACAGCAGCAATGTAGACATATGGCTGACGAGACTGCCGGTTCGATAGCTTCACCTCGCGACATGCACCGATAACACGCCGAACGTCTCCCTCATGAACTACACCTACCTCCCATCCTCGAACCACTCAACCGGCCCCGTTATTGTCATGACCACGAACCCCGCCTCAAGAAAAACACAAAACCTTCTTTCGAACCCCAATGTCTCTCTATTGGTGCATGATTGTATGTTATAGATCTATCGTGGTAGCGGCTTTGCAAAGTTTGCTGACGGCTTCATTTAGGGTCTTCTCACAGACCGCCAACTTCTGGCCGACGACCTTCCGGCGGCAGTCCCGGCCCCGAGCACCGGTCTAGCCTCGCATCCCTCCTATTGAATCTCAACACCGCGGCGGTCTCTAGTATTAGTGCAACAATCAACGGCACCGCCAGATTGGTTTACAATGGTTCGGACGAGGAGAAGTTCTACCGCGAGGCACACCTGGAAAACAACACATTTGACGAAGGCCAGAGCTTCAACCCAAGCGTTCAGGCCGAGGATGGTGGCAGGGGATGCTTTGTCGCGGGTGAGGAAGTACGAGTCATCGTGGTCAAGATCAAGGACGTCAGGATCAGTGATTGGAAGGGTGCAGTGCGGGATTACGTGCTGACAGAGGAGACTGCCGCTCCCCAGCTCAACGGCGTAAGGTAGGATGACTTGGAATTCAAGAAATATGACAATTGATGTCTGAGCCACGTATTAACGAGTTGAAGACCTCATGCAAGATAAAAAGGCGGGCGTATCATGGATTGAACCGACGAGAGGCCTCCCTCGTCAAAGGCTCTATGGCCGTGTTCTTGCTTTGAGACATCTACGCTGCTATTGCTATGCCACGTAAGTCCAAATGTTATACGCCCGGCTGCGAATGGAACAAGGATCCCAAAAGAAGCATCCAAAATGATGCCTAATGGATGGGCAGTGATCAGCGTTTAGACTCGATTTAGAGTCTATTTAGACTCATGGACTGGCATGAGGCTTACACTTACCTAGTAGAAGTAGGCAGGGCACGATTCGACACCCGAGCCGATACTTTATAGTTCCAGTCATTAAGCCTCTTTTAGTGTAGGATTCTACTTACTGACGTCCATCTGAGGGACTGGTATCCAACGCTTAGAGGTGACTTGTCAATCAGACCGGCGATGAAAGTTTGCGCAACATGGTGTGTGATCATCGGAATACTACTTTCCTGTCTGTATTAGTAGTGTGACAGCTGGTTGACGCATTGTTCGACGATACCACATCAGCAAGTACTTTACCATACTGCGTACAGCAGAGCATTTCCCTCAAGATGCCTGGGCAGAAAAGACAAGGATACAATAGGAAAAGTAGCGTTGGGCATCGGGCGAACTGAGGGGGTCTAGGCATGTTGGACCACCAACCTTGCAGCGCGTAGGCTAGCTGCAGCGGCAGGCAGAGTGAAACATTCAGGGATCAAGGCCTCTCGGGAGTTTCTGTAGCGGGTTTGGAGCTCGGCACATTTTGTTTTGAGCCAAGTCGATCTCTTTAAGCATAGCGTGTGTGTGTGCCTGTCCAGTCAGGACCGGGTTTAGGGGGGCGACACGGATAAAGGCGAAATGGAGGCTGATCGGAAGTTTTGGGGGGGTTGCACAGGTTTAGAGTGCATATTTAGACTCGACATGAGCCACCGCCGGTTGGCACCGAGGAAAGCCCGAGTCTTTGACTCGGGTCCGCTGTGGCCGATCAAGGGATCACATCGGCAGATAACCGACCGACCGCGGGGTCGGTCAAATCCCGCGGGGGTGTGGTAGTTCATGCCGGCATCGAAGTGTGAATAGATCGTTGCTGAGAGGACTGTGGGATTGTTCAAACATTTCTGCGGTAAGACAAGTCTTACTCCAGGATTCCAAGTGATGTGAGTTCATTAGGTATGTATTTCTATTGGTATGATCCTGCCCATGTAGACTGGGTATCTATAGAAAGAATCGAATGTGTCAAGCTTCATCACAAAGGCTTCCTTGCCGTGACAAATGATCTATTGAATGAGAGTCAGTCAGCTGTTTCCCGGTCAGGCTACAATCTTGCTTTGGAGAAACCTACACTTTGCCATACGCCTCGTTTGCGGTATCGCGCGACTCCTTGTGGACTCTCTTCAGGAGACTCCGGGTATCGTTTTCATCCCAACCCCCTTTGGCAAATACAGCCAACGAGTAGTTCTCCAAGCCTGGTGAAATGTTAGTCAACTGAGATGGACTCGTCAAAAGTGCGGACCATGACCATACCGTATTCTAGCATATGAGCAAACTGTGCCCCCTTTCTGACCATCTTCTCATCATGTCCCACAGCCTGTATGGGAACCAGATCCGACCAGCGCGCAACCTTTTCAAACCCAACATCGGAAAACAGGGCAGGGATCTTTGGTGTTGGGTCAAAGTCGACGCCTGCAATCTTGGCCATTTCCGAGAACCGCACTTCGAACTCGCGACATGCCGTCATCTCGCCGTGATCCTTCTCCTCAACCGTGGGAGCAGCGGGCTCATCCCCGCTGCTGTCAATCAGGTCAAAGTACCTCGTCCTCACTTCGGCGAACTCAATCTGTCCGCCGGGCTTGAGGTGCTCGTACGCCTGCCTGAAAAGCGCCTTCCAGTCCGAGACGCCCCCGCCGACGATGTTTCGCATGTGCACAAAGTCCAAGCTATCCTTCTCCCGAGCCCAGTCCTGGGTTGCGTCTTCGACTTCAAAGGCAACGTTGGCCGGCACGGTCGTGGGCAAGAGTGCGGCTGAGATGTCGACGCCCATGATTTTGGCCAGGGGGTACTGCTCGCCCATTTCGACGGCCCAGTTGCCGGTGCCGGAACCGATGTCGAGAATGTTGAGAGGCCTATCCTTGGGGAGCTTCGCCGCTGTCAAACCACCTTCGAGGCACAGCTTGAAAAGCTGGTGCTGAATTTCTAGACGAGCGCGCTCGGATTCGTCGTTGGGCATTAGGAATACACCGGAACCGTGGTATGTGTGACCATAAGCGCGGATGGGCGGGAGCTCGTCGACAGATACGGAGCTGAAATCAGACCCTTCATCTGAACCGTCCTCATCATCGTCGTCGGCATCTTGAGCATTGTCTGTTCGTGACGGCCTCCTCCGGTCCCTGTGGTCCGTCCGGTTTCTTGTGGCACCGGCACCCTCGCCCCTACGTCCGTCGCCATCGCCGATGCCGGGGTCGCCAACGGCGTCAACGTCCTCACCCATTTCGTCGAGCTGGAAAAGAAAAAAATCCGTTGAAAATCTGATACTAGAATTTTCTACTTGCGCCAGCTGATGGAAGACGTCGTTCTCTATCGTGTCTTCACGTTTGCAAAGAAGCTTCTGTCGTCTGTCACTCTCATGGAGCGATTCGCTGCACGGTTGTTGTCTTTGCTCGCGAGATTTCTCAAATGGGGACTCGGTCGTGGGCCCGGCCTCCTCGGGTGTAATATGGCCACACGTGGGATGGCTAATAAAAATTCCCCAAAGAAGAATAGGAGGGAACGCAAGAGATGATGGATGAAATACCCAGGCCAATATCAGCGCGGGGAAGGTGGGTTACGCACAGAGTATCAGGACGGATACATCAAGTGGTTTTGCCGTCGAGGGTTGGCTGATGTCTTTGTATTCACCCCCTTGACAACCGATGAGGTAGGTAGTCAATGAAAGATCACTAGGAACCAAAGACAAGGGGAGCCCGTTGGCCTCTTCAGTGTTGACAAAGGAAGATGGCAGAACAAAGGGGACGAGGACTACGCAATGCACAAGACCAGACGGGAAAGGCTAATTTGAAAGGGGGGAGAGAGGGCCTGATGAGGGAAATGGACATTTACCGCGGGATGCTTCAGGAACTTGACTTGGACAGGATTCGATGGATGGAACCTCCACGCATTGTACATCCTTTTTTCCTTTTCTCTCTCTTCCTTCCCCTTGCTCCTCTGCCAGGACCTGACGCCATCAAATCACACTTGGCTTCTGATCGGAGCACTTGTCCGTAAGGAGTCACTGGCTAGAGAGGAGACAGCATGGGAAGTGCGGGAGGCGATCGATGGCGGGCCATGGAGCATGGGAGAGAGAGCATGGAATGTGTGTGCCACCCAGGACTTGGTGAAAACCATGGAGAATTCGAAAACGAGAGAGAAAAAAATAAATTCGAGCCATTGGAAACACCCCTCCCTCTTCTCCCCCGACCAAAGATGTGCATGCATGCAGAGAGGGACCAGAAAACAACGGGGCGGCTGGGCTGTGGCTGGCAAGTTGCATTTACTCTTTGCGGCAAGCCATCTCAACTTCTCAAAACTAAGGTAACCTGCCCTACCCTGTGCCTAGGTATTCACACGGGCAGGGCCTGAGCTTGCCTGCAGTTGTACGGATAATAATGCCAGGATTAGACAATAAGACAGGGTAGTAATGGCACTTGAGCTTGGAGCACGGGTATGATTTTCAGGGCAAGGGAACACTTGCGAAAACAACGGCCAAAGAGAAACGCAAATCAAGCCAAATCCCGGTACAAGACACTGGGCTTACGACAGCAATGTTTCTTTAGGATACCTCAAACTTCATATTCTCTCTAGCTCCCGTATCTTACGCGCAAAGGTGTCGATTTGACGACTCAGTATTCTTATCCGCACAAGACATCCTGAGTCGGATAGTCACCTTGTTCTTGTGGTAATTCCCACTTCACTCGTATTTCTCGTCTCCTCTTCTGTACGGTGTAAAAATAGTTACAAACATCTCTCGTCCACTCGAAGCCGTGCCGTCTGGTATACCAAGATGCGGCACGCCTCCGAACTACCTTGTTCGGATGTTCCAGGGTCACCCGGAGCCAAGCTCAACCTGGCATTCTCTTCACGACCTCGGCCACTGATGTCTTACCTTGGGAGTACTGTGGTGTGAAGTACCTACACCATTCAGAAGGAGCTGCCTAGTCAAAGCACGTCTCAATACGTCTCCCAAGGACCGGAATGCCACCCCAACAGTGAAGGTCTAGAATGGTCCTGGCGGGATGCAACGCTGGCCGGCAGGATGCTTTCTTCAAGGGCGCTTGCTCGCTCCTTTCCAGAAAGACTCGATTACCAACGTGGTAGACATGGCGGTTGATAGGACTCAGAACGGTGAGCGGCATCGGGTGCGATTCCTCGCCAGCCCTCAAGTTCCACCACAAAGATCGCTGGTGCCCTGTCGTAGTTCTGCAGGAAGCCCGGCCCGAAGCGGCGGACCAACCGCGAAGAGAGAGACCATTGTGATGACCGTTTCTTTGTCACTTACCAGCTTACCCACCACCCTCCAGCGGACATCTCCCGATGGCAAAAAGGGCCTGCCAAACTGTCCCAACTACATACTTGAACACTCTCGCTGCCCACCAAAGCCACGAGGGAGGGCAAGGCAAGGGGGCATGGGGCCATGGTCGACTTGCCTTCCTTGGGAGCTCCAACCGCCCAGGGTGCCACGCAGTGTTTGCCTGTCAAACGGAGCTAACGGCGTGGCAATCATGTACGCTAGTCTCTGCGGATACACCAGAAGCCAGCCCGCTGCCCCATTATCTGTGGTGGTTTACATGAAGTAACGCTGCTCTTCCCTTCCCTTCCTTCCAGAAGGCTAGAAGCCCAGCCCAGCTCGGCACATGGATCATGGAATTTGATAATTGGCGAAATGAAAAATGGGTTCATCGATGCGGTGAGGCAAGGCAAGCCAATAGCTCGGGGACTATCCGTATCTAGCATCAAGATCCGGATTCTCTCTGGTTATCAATATATCAGCTCCTTCTAACGTACTTGACGTCAATGGCAATATCTTGATGAGATTGTACTTGTGAGGGAACCCCGGTACCTCTTGCTTGTTGGTTTGGGAGCTTTTATTCCCTCAAAATGGAATTCAGTCCTTGGCATCTCGTGTTTCGTGAAGTTTTCTATCGTTTCTTTGCTAGGCCCACCGTCAACGCTGCCCACAAAGGCCGTCTTTCCCACCTTAGCAGTCGTCGGCCTTTCATGAATGCAGGATAAGAGGACCTTGCAGAGTGCAGCCAGACAATGGTCGGACACCGAGGTTGAACCCGCATCGGAGCTTCCGGTTGTTGCTGCAGCATCCCCTCTATTGCATCGCCCCCGAAAGGAGAGGAGAGGGGCAGCGCTGCGGCGGCGCGACCAACAAACTTGAACCTCTCTTGACTCACGTCTCCAACTTGTCACGGGCGGCGAACTTGACCGACATGAGGCCTCAACTCAGCCATCGCGGGCCAATGAAAGGAGTGTGACCACTTGGAGCAGCCGACCGGCACATCACATTTTTTGCATGTATTACCTAGTTGTGAGGCACTTCGGCACGCCGCGCGGAGGCAATGGGTCTCATCATAAGCTTCCGGCGCTCCCCCATCCAGGATTGGATCAGTGGTTCGCTCGCTCGTAACGGTCATGCAACGGCGCACCGAGTTGTCACAAAAGGCGCATCTTATACCACCAATCAAGCTCACTTCCATGTCATCCCTCATTCTGCACGGTAAAAACCTTTCTCAAACATGTCTTCACTGGCCAGTATGAATTGGCCAAATAGCCGCGGCTGACGCTGCGCCATACGTGTATCGATATGTCGGCATTTGAAGAGGGTATCTAGATAGGGTACCTTTGAACAGCGCCGGGCAAGGTAGGTAAGGATGCGAAGCCAAGGCATGGGAAGTGGAGAGGTCAGGCCTAACCCCCCGTTCCTCTCGTGAGATGGGCAAGGGCTCCAACGAGCTCCATAGTCGCGTGGCTTGACGTCTTTCCCGGACTGATCCGATATGGAATGAAAATATCTTAAAAATCCAAGCAAGTAGCAGTAAAAGAACACGCTCCGCCAAACTCCGGACCACTAGACCGTTTCGATGTACCGTTTTACCTCCCTGTGTAGATGCTTTGTTAGCCATGCTTATCACCGCCATCGCCATCATATGTTACTCCAAGGGTTAATACATACCAATCTGTCACGGCCTCGTCCCAGACCCGAATCTCGTGGTCCCTTGTTCCACCAAAGTGATCGACAAAGTCGTCCCCGAATACTTCTCTTGCAATGCTTTCTTTGCGCATGAAACGATCGTTTGCTTCACGCAGACTCTTTGCGAGCCTCACGCCCTTGTCAGCTTTGCCGCCAACATCCTCGCCCTTGCCCAAGGGCGGGACGGGGATCTCGAGCTTCTTCTCTACACCTCGCCATCCGAGAGCAAGAATTGCTGCCAGAACGAAGAAAGGGTTGGTGTCTGCGCCGGGGACACGAACTTCAAATCGCGTTGCGCCAGGCTTTGACGTTGGCGGGGCGATGAGGCGAATTGATGCTGCTCTGTGTTCCAAGCCCCATGATACTGTCACCGGCGCCCAAAAGTTCTCGACAAGGCGTTTGTAGGAGTTGACTGTGGGTGCCAACATTGTCATGACATCTGGGAGGCCTTCCAGCAAGCCGGCCAGGAAATGCCGACCCAGGTCTGAGAGATTGGCGACATCGGGGTATGGCGCGTTCTCATCCTTTGTCTCTCGAGCGAACAGGTTCTTGCCATCCTTATCGACAATGGAAACGTGCATGTGTCCGCTGTTTCCAGGCAAGCCCTGCTTTGGCTTCGCCATGAAGCACGGCGTGATGCCGTATTTCGTTGCGACCGACTTGACAACGTACCTGCAACAAACGCGGTCAGTAAGATGCCATCCAAAACATATTGGCCAACGTACTTGAATAAGCTGGCTCTGTCGGCCATCTGTCCAATTTCTCCAAACTCAAGTGCTGCCTCAAAGACACCAGGGCCACTCTCCGTATGCCAGCCCTCAATGTCACACTTGAATTGAGAACAAGTCTCGAAAATGTCATAGAAGTAGTCCTTGTTGTGCACCGTTCGTGTCAAGCTGTAGCCAAACATGCCCTCTGTAAGGGACGGCAGAGCTTGTGGGGGGTTCTCTTGCAGGTATCCGGCGGTTGAGCTCGTGGACTCGGCGGAGCGGGTAGGCGCCTTGAATTGGTAGAACTCGTACTCGGCTGTCAGTGAGAACGCGCGGTTAGCTTGGTGTTTCTCGACGAGAATGAGGGCGTTGACGGGACCCATTCGCAAACTGACCTCCTGCCATGGCACCGTAGCCCTTGGCTTGCAATTTAGCCAGAGCATTCTTCAGCAGACCACGAGGGCATGCGCAAATAGGCTCCTGGGTGTCCGGGTCGAAGAAGCTGACCAAGAAAAAAGGCACATTATCTTCCCAGGGGATGCGGCGGAAACTGGAGAGATCGGGAATGGCAATCAGATCGTGGTAGCCGTTCTCGGCATTGCTGATCTTCAGCTCCTTGATGTATGTCATGTCGTGCATATCCCAGCCAAAGATGACAGAACAGAAGCCAAAGCCTGATTTGGCGACGGACAGAAACTTATTCTTGGACACCAGCTTTCCTCGGAGCATGCCGTCGACATCGATGCCGGCAAGCTTGACCTTGTTATCATTCTTGAGAAGCTCGGGTAGCGACTCGATAGTCACGGCTTCGTTGGACGACGCCATTGTGTATTAAGGTGGAATGGGTAAAAGAGCGCGCGTGTAACGAAGCTATCAATTGACTTTGGGATGGCGACGGATGGGACGAAAGCTCGCGGCTTGGAGTTGGAGTTGGAGGTGTGGTAGTAGCAAAGTCTGTCGTGGTAGAAAGACGGGAGGAAGCGTCTGCTACTTTCTATGTGCGTACGAGCTGATAAATGAAGATGTCTAGAAGTAGGATGCGGTAGAGGAGAGGGAGGGAGGCTCAGGAGAGCGCGCAAGAGACACGAGAAGCAGACCGAGGCGGAACAAGATCGTGGGTCCTGAGCGAGACGAGAGACTGAAGACGGAGGGACTTGAGGGACTTGAGGTCGGGATCTTGAGGGAACGCGGAAAGACGTGGAGAGCCAGCGGTACGGAGCAATTATCGTATCTTTGGAGAGGTATGTTATCCGTGGGAATGTACTTTACGGAGTGAGCGAGCACTGAGCAGCAGGAGGACGACTCGCGCCGCTGCACACTGCCCGCGCACCCCCCGGATGTTTACTCCCATAGATCGGAAGGTATCTGGCCATAGAAAGGTAGGTGGGTAGGTAGGTACCTTGACTGGTCCCAAGGTTCCCTCGTCTGCGGCAACTGGTGTGGATTGTCCCGCCGATAAGGGAGCGCGCGGCCAATGGAATTGGGGATTTGGGGGAGCTGGGGAAGCCGAGTGACGCTAACAACCTGGAAGTAACCTTGCCATGCCTCGCACTTGCCCTTGATTGCGGTTTACGCTTTACCTAAACATCGCTTCCAACAAGTGAGCAATGACATCGTCCCGGAGCGCCAATCTGTTTACTCAAGGCAGCATGTCACCTGCGTTGCATCCTGGTCCGGGCATGTTGAGTATGGAAGGTAAGGTATCGAGCCGCGTGAGCTGCTTCCCGTTCTGTTCCATGTTGTCTTGTTTCTTGGCAATCGACACCTGCTTCCCTTCCCGCCTGCCTCTCGGTTCGACGCGGGGAAAATCATTCGCAGGTGAGCGGCACCCAGCGGCACAGAGCGAGGAAGGAGGGGAGGGACGGTGACTTTCCAGGTGCGTCATTGCGACAGTCACGCACAGACCTAGCTGGCTAGACCGCGGTACGTCCCTCTGCCTCCTGCCGAGTCCTTACCTTAGTGTCAAGTCCTCAACCTCAGGCAGGAACACGCCTTCCTCGATCAAATCATCAGAATGGCAGGATCCCATGGGCGGCTTCCATCTAGTAAATGCGTGTCTTAGGTAAGTCACAGCCTGGATGGGCAGGATGCAGGAAAGTGATCTGGGATGCTATTGCTGGATTGTGACGAAAATAATGGAATTGTCTCAACCGCCATTGGGGGCACTTGCTGTTGCAGCTGGCTACAACTTAGTAGTCATCACTGTGTGAGTATGAGAGATTTTTTTGTGAGATCCAATATCTTCTCCATGTTTCCTCGCACGCTGCCTCTTGCTCTGTCCACCTATCCTTCCTTTCTCCCAACTTTCAGATTGCTCTCAGTCTTCTCCACCTCAGTCACCACCATCACCACCATCACCACCTCTCTGTGAACTTCATCACCGTCGCCAATTCATCAAACGCCAATCTTACCCCACGCCAGCCATTTCCCGTCCCGTATGCTGCCGCGCTGTTGATTGATTGACCTGAGACCGCGGCACTCGGCAAGTCGATGCCAAAAGGAACATCCCCGAACCCAGATAGATCTCTTGGCCCCATGATGGCCAGATCCTCCGCGCTTGACTTGCCGACAACGGGGGTTCTGAAATGGAGGGGTTCACGATGGGGATTCAATTTCATCAGTCATTGACCCCTCTACTGCCTCCACAGCCCGCTATTATCGCTTCTACCCTTGTCATGGTCTATTGTCCGCTGATACCACACACAGCTTTCTTTGCGCATCTTCTTTGTCGCCAGCGCGGCAAATGCAAATGCCTTCTTTGATCTTGTACAATCGTCAACAATGACATTACTCGAGTACATGCGCATCTTCGTCTCCATTTCTCGTACTGCCGCCTGCTCGCTCAACTGAAATCAGTGTTCTACCGCCGCCCTCACACAGTCTACCCCCCCGAATGCCAGGCGTCTATCGGCACCGCCGCCGCCCCTCGACTCGGGGAACCCCTCAGCGCGGTCCCGAGCCGCGATCTGCCACGATCCACGAATGATGAGTTTGTGAATGGTAATGGTTTCTCCGATGCGTCCGGACTCAAACACCACATGGACCTTTCTCATTCACCGTCGAGGCCCCCTGGCTGCCCACATGACGATGTGAGCCTGAGAGGGGTGGAGGGGCTCGAACTGACCGCTTCCATTACCGCTTCGCTTGCCTTGCGCCTCTCCGCCTTCGACTTCACAAGTCACCAAGTGTTTCCGGATGGTACGGTTACAGACGCACACCGTATTCACTCTGCCTGCATTCTGCCGCCATGCCGCCCAATCTTACACCGTCCGGACTACGGACACATACACACACCTTGACACCTGACGAGACGCTCAGTGGCGACTTGTCTGATCAACTTTCAGTCCAGCAGATCCCGAGTCTGTGCCTTTCTTGGTCTACTCCTAGCCCGATAACTCTGAGTCTTAGCTCTCGCAATTCGATGTTATTGGCTTGGATTTACCTTTAGCTCACCAATCCAGCTGCACTCTCGGAACCATGCACATAGGGTCTCGCTCCTTTGTTCCCCAACTGGTTCGACTACAAGGTATTCAACGTCCACCGATGATGGGGTTTTCTTATGTCTCCAAGATAGAGAGATAAGGCATGCCGCGAAAGCTGCAGCCGACCTTTGGGAGGTAGCGCTCGCTCGACTCACCCTCTCGCCTAGGGACACCTCACCCAACCTTACCACAGTGTCTCTTCTCTCGCTCTCACTCACTCTCATCCCCCCCTCCATCAGACACGGAGGGGTTGGTTCCTGACTTGGACGTCCGTCATGCAACGCCGCGGTCTGACCCACTGATAAGAGATAACGCGATATCGGAACTTGCGCCCGTCGACACGTTTTATGCTCCGTATTGGGAATTCCACCAACGCATGCGATGCCGCCTATCGTTGACCGACAAGCTCCGTTCTGATCAGTGGTGGCAGTCGGACGGTCTATCGATCACGACCCAAGTCGTTTCTTTTCCACAGTCCTGCACCGCTGGACAGGCACGACAGGTAGTAGGGACACCACGGCCCTGGCACCGATGCGCAGCTTGCCTGCCCAACTTGCCAACCTAGGACGGTCCTTGCTGCACCCCGTCACCCCGTTCCCCCCTTCACCCCATGTCACATATGGGAGCCGAGATGGTGTTCCCGATGCGCCGTTGTCGGATCTATCTCGCCAGAGGAAGGCTCGAGCAGCTAATCGTGAGCTGGGAAGGGTGTGGGCGTTGATGTCTGGTGTATCTCGATATGTATCCGTACCGCGCTTGCGCGCTTTGTATCCAGTGCCTACTCCGTGTTTGCGACTATCTTAGCAATCCCGTCCATCATTCTGTCTTAGTCCATGGAAATTGGCCAGGGCGGCAAGAAGTGGCCTGGACCCCGGATTTCCTTGACTCATTTCTTGCCAGACGACGGCCTTCTATCCTTCTTCGGCTCCATTCTACTAGACCAGCCCCGGCTTGCTGATTTCTTTAAACACATCGTGTCCGTCGCATCGTGGTGACCATTCGTTCTTGTCTCTTCTCATCAACACACTTTGTTCCAACTTATTAGAGCTCCGAGCTACCAACGGCACTTCGACTACCACATCAGAACCTCCGAACCCCAACTCGTCCCTCCGCCACTTCGCGATTTACCATCTGTGACTTGCGATTCAACATCACAACTTCTCCATTCCAACACAAAAGACACCTTCCGAAATAAACACAAACACCGTTGAAATGGGTTCCGTTCCTGCTGAGATTGGAGGTCGCCTGGCTGGCAAGAACGCCGTCGTCACTGGCGCTGCTGGGTAAGGACATCCAATGCAATGTTGCAACCCCTCATGGTCTGGTCTCAGAGGCGCCTTATCAGCACGGCGCATCGGGATGAGTCCCAAGTGGCTGGACGTTCACCGCATCATACACACATGGTATACAGGATCCGATAAGCTGACAAGCAATTGTGACAGTGGCATTGGCTTGGAGACGACCATTCTCTTTGCGAAGGAGGGTGCCAGCGTTGCCATGGCCGATATCTCTGCCCCGGCACTCGAGAAGGCGAAGGCCAAGGTTCTGTCGCTGCTCCCGTCAGCTAGAATTGAGACCAAGGTACGTTGAGTCTGGCCGCGAATGAAAAGTGTTGGAAGATCCCATTCCCGCCGCTCCGGCGTGCACCAAATCAAACGCCGACAGCAATGCACTGCACTACACTGGACGCAGTGACAACAACCCAGCACACCTGCACACTCCACAACCCGGAAAAAAAGAATTACCCCGCCATGCCCCGCCATTCTTCGTGTCTCGTCTCTTGCCTCGTCACACGACACAAGACGAAACCAATGATTAGAGTGTTCCATTTTGCTGACGATTTCTTCCTTGCCATCATAGGTTACCGATGTTTCCAAGGAAGACCAGGTCAAGGCCCTCATCGATTCCGTTGATGCTTGGGGTGGACTCGACATTATTTTCAACAATGCCGGAATTATGCACGCCAAGGACGACGATGCCGTGAACACCCCCGAGGAGATCTGGGATCTGACACAGAACATCAACGTCAAGGGTGTTTGGTTCGGCAGCAAGCACGCCGTTCTCGCACTCCGCCGCAACAACAAGACCAAGGGCTCCATCATCAACACCGCCTCAGTCGTCGCGCTTGTCGGTGCTGCCACTCCTCAGCTTGCCTACACCGCCTCCAAGGGCGCCGTCCTCGCTCTTACCCGTGAGCTCGCCATGGTCCACGCCCGTGAGGGTTACCGCTTCAACTCCCTCTGCCCGGCGCCTCTCAACACCCCTCTGTTGCAGGACTGGCTCGGCGACGACGCGCCCAAGCGCATGCGCCGCGAGATTCACTTCCCTACCGGCCGCTTCGGTGAGGCCATTGAGCAGGCACAGGCTGTTCTCTTCCTCGCCAGCGACGAGTCCAGCTTCGTCAACGGCCACGACATGGTCGTCGATGGCGGCATGACCAAGGCCTACGTTACCCCCGAGGGCCCCGCGGCGCCCGCCCCCATCAACAACGCTAGCCGCACCAGCCTCGAGTAAGGTTGCGATGCGCTGCTTGTTTGAATCCGATTTTCGCGATATGATACCGTATTGGGTTGGAGTTTAGGGCGCTGGGCAAGACACCGGGGCATACACGGCCAATGGCCATGATGATGAAACTGTGCATAGACAATTTAAATCAATTATTCTCAAGAAGCTTGCAACACCAATAATCTTGTTGTATCTGCTAGACTCGGGGCTTTACAGCTATGGTTCCATACACCGGCTGCTACATATGGGTGAGTAGTTGAGAGATGCACATCAAGAAACGACAAAATGATATCCTGAAAACGCTAGAAGATTCCGCAACGCCGCCCTATGCATTGTCATAGATAGTCCTCTAGTGGAACTGGCTCTCAGTGTTGCCCTCGCCCATGCTCTTGCTGCTCGAGCTGCCGCTCTGAATAGCCCCGAGGATCCCATCAATGTAGCTCGCGCCGCTCCACTTCTGATGCGTCAAGACGTCACAGCCACCCTCCTTCTCGCGCCTCTGGACAATATTCACATACGCCAGCATACCGTCCTTCTTAAAGTCCCTCGCAAGCTCGTTTGTGATGGTGGCGTTGGAGTGAAGGCCAGCGAGCGAGATGAGCTGCAGCACGAACCCTTCCTTGGCAATGTCCCAGATGAAGCTCTTGAGCGTCTCGTCTGTGAATCCGTGTGCCATCCAGTTGAACGAAGGGCTGAGGTTGTAGACGAGTCCCTTGCCCGGGTAGACGGCGCGGACGGCCCTGGCCAGATCCGTAGCGACCTTGACGTTGGGGTCGCCCGTCTCGACCCACAGGAGGTCGGCGTAGGGGCCAAAGGCAATGGCGCGCTTCGTGGCGGCGTCCATGCCGGCGCGGTAGTGGTAGAAGCCTTCGCGTGTGCGGGGGACGTCCCAGGAAAAGTAGACGGGCGTCGAGGTGTGCTCGTTGGCGAGCTTGCGGCGCTGGGAGATTCCCATGTCGCGGTTCGAGCGTGTCGCCTCGAGGTACGCGTCAATCTTGTCCTGGGAAACGCCCTCCTTTTGCATGTGCGCCACAGCGGCCTCGTCAAAAGTTACGAGCTTGGTGCTATTGACCCAGCTGGCCTCGAAAGCATCGATTTCGGCACCGACGGCGCCCTTGGCCTCCATGGCCTGGATTGTCTCGGCGAGGGGCTCGAAGCTCGGGTCCGCTACTCCCAGGATGAACTCGTGATCGCGGACGTCAATGGCACTGCTGATGAGCTTGCCGCTCTCAGAATCGGTGCGGGCGATGACGAGGTTCTCGCAGCCCATGACATCCCATTGGAAACGGGCAGCATTGAGGCGGTTAATGTGCTCCCCAATGGGCACCAGAACCTTGCCGGCCAAGTGACCGCACTTCTTGCCGCCATGGAGCTGATCCTCGAAATGCACCGCTGCCGCGCCGTTCTCTGCAAAAAGCTTGGCGAGCTTGAGGACGGCGGAGAGGCCGCCATGCCCAGTATCGCCGTCGGCAATGATGGGTCGCAGGTAATCGACATACGGGGTCTTTGCGCGTTCCTCGGCCTTGAGCTTTCGTCGAGAATCCCATTGTTTCCGGTCGTGCATCGACTGGGCCTTGGCGAGACGCTGGACCTGGTTCGGTACGGTATTGTAGGGGTAATCACCGAAATCGGGGGAGACCTCGTTCGTAGAGGTCAGGAGAGAGGAGCAGGCCCAGCCTGAGATGTACAGGGCTTCTTGGTGAGGGGCTTGCTGGGTCATCTGGACAGGATCTATGGCTCCCACTACAAAGCGATGTTGGTCAGCATTTGCCAATCTTATGGAGAGGCAAGGAGCGGAGTGTGCGTACTCGTGTGAATGGGCTTGCCCTCGGCTTCCCTCTCCTTGACGAGGTTGAAGAGCTTCCTCGCCATGACGGAGCTCGGGTATGACTGATGCTGCGAACCGCGCTTGGAAACTACATCGGCCGAGCTGTATGGCCGCTTGATTCCCTCGTATCTCGGTGACTGCCACCATGCCTCAACCTCTTTGATCTGCGCCTCGTAGACTTCATCTTCAGCGGCGCCAGCCTTCTTGAACTCGGGAAGAAGTTGGAAGTTATCACTAGGAGGGGCGGAGGCAGGGAACAGGTTTGCCGGAGCTTGAGCCATATTCCTAGTTGTCGAGATACAGCGTACGGCAATAGTGGGTATTGAAGACGGTCTGATGAGAGGAACCCTCCGGGTGACTGCTCGCGCAGCAACTCGTCGCATCATTGTCGTGTCTTGTTCCCGTTGATGGGTAGGAGTGCAATGATAGTACAAATTGCGTGGTAGAAGTGAAAGATACGATTCGCAAGGCTTTCCTCAGTCGTGGTTCACTCTGTAGAGTAAAGGTGCCTGTCTATTACCAGGAGTTTAGCGTCGTATCGCCGGCGAGGCAGGTTTCTACCTAAGCAAATCCGAGAGGCAACAACTCGGCACTCGGGACAATGGATGTTACATAAGAGAAGCTCTGTGGAAATAACGTGGGAAATGGACTGAGCAAATGTGAGCGCTCAACTTCGGCGAGTGTTAGCCGGGCAAAAGCGAATCAACAGCCTTGGTAAGCAGCGGCAAGATCGAAAGTCACCACGTGCAAGGGCATCAGGAGGCATTATCATTGGCCAATGGATGGCACCAAAGATCCGCAGTTGCGTCGGCTTGCCTCGGCCCATTCTTTTCCCCTCATCGGTCACAGACTCACAGTGCCAACGACGTGGAGAAGGAGGGCAAAGGTGAAGCAAATATGGGTCCGTGAGCTTCCCCGACCACTCACGGCGCACGGAATGTGAGCAATGACGCTCCGGCCGCTTGAACCCGCACTGCCCGCGCCAAACGTGGAGGAGGAGGGCAAAAAGCTGGGGTCCCGTCCCCTGTCGTTCCAGTGCACTCCCCCACCGACCTTGAAGACAACCCCGCCGGCGTCGCCCAGCGCCGCTCAGCAAGCCAAGCCATCAATAAGAACATACCTTACCTTAACGTGAGGCTGGTGGTTTCACTGCTATTGAGTGCTAAGGTAAACTGCATGGCTGGCGACGGTCCGAAGTGCGTCGAGGTGCGGCGGTGCGCTGACTTACACATCCCCTCTCCCGCGGGGGTACCTAGGTCAGTGCCGCTCACCCAGGCTTCCCCAACCTCGGGTCAAGCTGTCTTGTCTCGGCCTGCTGCGGTACCTGCTTATCTAGCTAAGTCGGCACAATGTGAAGTTTCCTCGTCCGTCTCCTAGTGACTTTTCTTCCTGTTTCTCCTCCTACCGTACTTTCATCACCTGTTGCTTGTCTCAACATCTACTCCTCCCAAGAAGAACTTGATCCGATCCTGCCGATTGATCGAGCAGCCATTTAGCTACCATTGGCTTTCTCTGGTTACCTCATCCTGCTATTTACCCCTCCTCACAGCTTCTCCGTCGCCGATCTTCCCTTGGAGCTTCCCTCGGTCGGCAACCATGGCTATGATCATCACAAGGAGCACCAGGGCTCTTGGAGCTCTGAGGGTAAGTTGAACCTATAGCAACCAAATATCGCCAGAGGTATGGGTACATAGTCTGACAATATGTAGCCCCTGGCAGCTCGCTCTGCTCTCAATGCACGTCAATATTCGACCTCCGAACCGGACCTTAAGACCACACTAAAGGGTGTCATTCCCGCCAAGCGGGAGCTCCTGAAGAAGGTCAAGGCACACTCATCCAAAGTCATTGGGGATGTCAAGGTTGAGAACACTCTGGGTGGAATGCGAGGCCTTAAGGCCATGGTTTGGGAGGGCTCCGTCCTGGATGCGAACGAAGGCATTCGGTTCCACGGCAGGACCATCAAAGATTGCCAAAAGGAGCTTCCCAAGGGAAAGACTGGAACTGAAATGTTGCCCGAGGCCATGTTCTGGCTTCTTCTTACAGGCCAGGTCCCGTCCACAAACCAAGTTCGCCAGTTCTCTCGTGAATTGGCCGAGCAAGCTCAATTGCCCGCCTTTGTCAACAAGCTCCTCGATGATTTCCCGAAGGACCTGCACCCCATGACCCAATTCGCCATTGCGGTCTCTGCCCTCAACTACACCTCCAAGTTTGCCAAGGCATACGAGCAGGGTATCAACAAGGCTGACTACTGGGAGCCTACTTTCGACGATTCCATCTCGCTGCTGGCCAAGTTGCCCACGATCGCTGCCAAGATCTACCAGAACTCCTACCGCGGCGGCGGTGCCCTCCCCGCAGAAGTCGACCTGGAGCAGGATTGGTCTTACAACTTCGCTGCCATGCTTGGAAAGGGTGACAAGGCAAACGAGAACTTCCAAGATCTCCTCAGACTATACCTTGCTCTGCACGGAGATCACGAAGGCGGCAACGTTTCCGCCCATGCCACTCACCTCGTTGGCAGCGCCCTTAGCGATCCCTTCCTTAGCTACAGCGCTGGTCTCCAAGGTCTTGCAGGGCCTCTTCATGGGTATGTAGTCACCGTCAATCACGGCTGCAATGACAGGCCAACGCTAATCCTCCATGTAGACTTGCCGCTCAAGAGGTTCTTCGCTGGATCCTACAGATGAAGGACAACATTCCCTCGTCTTACTCTGACAAGGACGTTACAGATTACCTGTGGTCGACCCTCAACTCCGGCAGAGTTGTCCCTGGCTACGGCCACGCCGTTCTCCGGAAACCCGATCCTCGTTTCGAGGCTCTCATGGATTATGCCGCTGCCCGACCCGAGATTGCGCAAGACCCTGTCTTTCAACTCGTGGAAAAGAACAGTCGGATCGCCCCCGAAGTGCTCAAGAAGCATGGCAAGACCAAGAACCCTTATCCTAATGTTGACTCAAGCTCTGGAGTTCTGTTCCATCACTACGGCTTCCACGAGACCCTGTACTACACCGCCACCTTCGGTGTCTCCCGCGGTTTGGGACCCCTTGCTCAGTTAATCTGGGACCGAGCATTGGGACTGCCCATTGAGCGGCCCAAGAGCATCAACCTGGAAGGCCTTCTTAAGCAGGCTGAGAGCTCGTGAGCCAAGTATCGTCGGCAAAATAATGAGGAATTAGATGAATTTGACTAAAATAGCTACGCTGGGATCTAGACCTAGCCGGAGTTGATCCTGTAATCCACTGACACATTTTTCAAATCTCTTGACACTATTGACTGATATCTCGAACCGACATGAGTAACACCCATAGCCGGGAGTAAGCTACCCAAGGTAGGCTTCGATAGTGCCGCCTACTTCCTAGTTTCTGTGAATCTCTGGATAATACATTCAGGCTAGGGAACTTTGATCATTTGACACCTAGCTCCAGCTGGATGGTTCGAATCTTTATGGAGCCACACCATCATGTCGCTACTTCGTCCCAAATAAAAGCCATTCGGGGTTTGATTGTCTGGTCCTGCGGCATTCCCAAAAGCGAAGTCCCGTTAAGGAGGTACGATGGCTGCTGGAGGCCTAAGAATGCGAGCGACATCTCATGAAGAGCCCCCCCCCCCCCCCCCCCTCGGAGGGTATCTGGTGCCCAGCAGAGTCAATCCAAGAGACTTAATTTCGGCCTAAGAGTAATAGTAAACGCCGCTTTCTGCAAGTTGTCACACCCGGACCAATTACATCTCGCCAGAGTCTACAAACAATAAGGCACAAACAATGAGGCAAAACTTGCAGGGCTCCAGGCTAAATTCACTTCGAGCGCAAAGAGGCATTTTCTCGCCAGAACATGATCCAGGGCCACTAAAACCAATATGCTCACCACATTGAGCGATGTTACCTCGGTTGGCCCAGGCAACATCGAGGTTTGAAAATGCGTAGCGCCGGCGCTTCCGTTGCTGTTTCCAGGAGACGATTCGGGCATCTCGCGCAGTGATTAAATCACCAATGCCGCGATGTCTTTTGGATATAGCTTGCTTTAAACTAAGCCTTTTCAAGGATATCAATTTCGGCGATCAATCTGAAAAATCAATATTTGAGAATGATTGACTTCCAGTTTCCAGTCCTGATAGTTGACCATGGTTGTGCCGAAACACAAGGCAGGGTCTGTGAAACCTCGTCGGCTCGTCGAAAGTGGTTGCCATCTTTTCTGGTATCTTGTGATATAGAAGTGCTTCATTTTGGAGCTTAAAAGGTTCACTTCTTTTGTGTAAAGTATCCAAGAGGATTTCTGATTGTTTTTGCCGAATGTATCTCAGGTCGTCAAGGCTTCCAAACATGGCCTCCCTTCAAGATCATTGGCACGGTTATTCCATAGCCTCGAATCCCCATTTTGTGGCGTCCTGGCACAGTGGTCAGCTGATGGATTATGTTGTGACCAATTTAATTTCATTTGGTCTTCCCAGAAACATACCCGCCTGGTGCAATGCAGGTTGAAAGGGAATACACGCGAGGTATCGTGTCAGTCTCCAGTACCTATACGAGCAACTTCGAGAACGGCTGCATTCCTAAGCGAGGTGAGAACCGCGAGAAGCTTGTTGTTGAGGTTGTGTCTCATATCCGACAGGCTCATTGAACCTCGAGCCCGAGAAGAATAATCTGGAAATCAATTATTGTTCCAGCTCGCGGGTGACTATGTGTGCCTCTCAAATACGGATATAAATATACGAGATCGACAGCGACCTGAAGACTACGATCTTCACCACTGTTCCATCGAACCTCAACAAAAAAGTGTACATACCACCAAGTAACCAGTATTTCTTCATAATTACTCCACACTCTATTCGACAGAAAACCCAAAATGAAAGGACTTCTTGCTTTATTCCTAGTGGCCCTGGCCGTGGCTATCCCCTTGGGTCCCACTGGAGCGTCCGACACCCCTGATCCGAAGGAAATCCAGATCGTCAGCGCAAGTTTCTCAGGAAGCGGTTGCCCCCAAGGCTCCGTTTCCACCACAATCTCTCCAGACCGTACAGTCATCACCTTTGGTTTCGACAAGTTCCAAACCTACATCGGACCGGGACTCTCAGTTGCCGAACGCTCCAAGAACTGTGCTCTCCATCTCAGTCTCAAGTATCCAGGCGGTTTTCAGTTCGCTCTTGTGGACAGCACATACCATGGATACGCTCAACTTGAGGATGGGGTTACCGGAACATTCTACTCGACGTACTTCTTCTCCCAAGACGCCGCAGCCACTACTACAACGCAGACCTCCATCGCCGGAGGGGGTATTTGGCTGGACGGCCAGGTCTATACCAAGCAAGACACTATTCCTACCGCGGCTCTCATCTATTCGCCTTGTGGTGCCACTGGCATCCTCAACGTCAATAATCGAATTGCTCTTACGTCCAAGAACCCACAGGCCTACGGCTCGATCACCGACGATGATGCCACTGTAGCGTTTACCCAACAGATCAATATCAAGTGGCTGCCTTGCAAGAAGTAGAGTAAAACTCGAAAGTCACTGTCTAGGAAAGCCATCAGAATGTTTCTGCTCGGCGACGAAAACAGTTATCGCGCACCCCCTTTGTGAAGTCGGACAATGGCAGGAGAAGTATGAGAACGTGGATGAGATTGTTGTATTGGCGAGGGGGGAAATTTCGAATTATTTAAGCACAGAAACAGATTTTGACCAACAATTCCCCCCATCATTCGTCTGTCCGCCCCTTTTCGATGTGCTGTTTTGATCTTCTTCCGCCTTCAATTCTAAGTTTAGATCAACCAACAAAATACAAGCTAGCCTTTCACGATGCTCCGTTGTTACACACTTACAGCTCACACCTTACGTCAAACTAGTTAACAGAATCAAGAGGCAAGAGTATCAACCCCTGATTGGGTTGTGAGTAAATGATCATAGTGGTCACTCTGACTTGAGTACGTAGCCAGTTAGTTCATGGGCTGTGAATCAAAGTTCCGAAAAATTGTCAAACACCGAGAGGTTTCAAAGGCACGAGAGGGACTCAAGGGGCACCCGCCAGACAGATATGATAGAGACTCCTAGATCAATGACCACAACCAGTACAACTGTTTTGCTGATTTTACTGTCCTCGCCGTTCAAGTAGACTCGATTGAGAGCTAAGACTTAGATGCCGAGCAGTGCCTCGGACGCGATCACAATGTAAAGGAAAGTCACATCGTTCAAGTGGCAAAGATACCTCAAAGGCTTCTAAGTCAATGTGGGCTCTCCAAGAAGCCTAACATCTTCACAGTCTGTGATAAATCGACGATTCCTGGGAGGATTGCTCTTCTAGACCTGCGGTGGTCTCCCCGGCTTCCTCCACTCAATGTAGGTCTGTTCCAGGAACCCCCGCAATAGCTAAGCTTTTGTCTCGCTGTTCCGCACCCCATGATTTGCGCCGCTAGGTACCTAAGCCCACCGGTTAGTGGAGCATTAAAGGCCCATCATATCGGCTGAAGCCCCTGAGGCGCATCAATGCAGCCTTCTGTCAGTGCGACCATTCCATACTGGCCGGATCCGACCCACACGGAGAAGCAACCTATTCTGTGAATCAAGGGCATCGGTTCTCCCCCCATGAGACTGCAATGTTAATCGCGTTCCAACCTATAATTGACGAAGCAATTGAACTAGCGGCTTCAACACCGTGGGCACGTTTCAACGAGAGCTTCGCAAGAGCCACTCATCTCGATGAAGGAGAAGGGTTGCTAAGTGCCCTACAGGCAAAGGCATTGATTCATTGAGTGCAAATATCATGCCCATAAGCGATGGCTGAAGATGCACTAACTCCAGTCGAGTGTGACTGATCAAAGAAGTGTAGATGTGAACAAGATATTGATAATACTGGGTACCTTCTTGTATTTGGCCCCAAAAACCATTTGCAACGTAACGGTTGAAAGAGACCGCAGGCGCGCCCACCGCTGCGCTCGGATCCCGAGCTGCTGTAGCCCCTTTTCATCGCACTAACATGAGCTGTATGGCTATCTACCTTTAATGTGACCTACATGGAACTTCTCCTCGAGGAGTTGATAGCAAGCCAAAGGAGAATACGACTCTAATCCATGCCCAATATAACATGCTATGCTCGCGTCTCAAAAATTGCCACTTCACGTGGTAGCAGGGTTTGAGAATCATCTGTCAAGACCCCAGCAACGCATTTTCATTCGCTCATCTAATCATATCTCTGGAACGATAAACTCAGCCAACCAGTCGTTTTCGGCATCCCTGGAATTGATTCGGGGTCTGTCCCTGGCTCATGTCAGCGAACAGTAAGTTTATACGTGCTCACGTCAAATGAATTGTAGGGCGGACCTTCTTCGTTCAGCTGAGTTTGGAAGAGTTTGGACGTATGGAGTCACTGGACAGTCAAAAATGCGATCACAGGCTGTCCTTGGCGTAAGATTCCTATCCAACATAACTTCAACGAGGCTCGAATTCGACTTGAGATAATGAGGTTTGAATAACGCGTTCTCCCACGCGCCGAGTAAGCGGCCAGAAATGTAAACGTATGCGAAGTCAACTTATTGACATCCAACGACGTTTCCAACAACGTGCTCCCATCACAACTATCTTAGGGCTTTTAGCGAATAACACTGATAGGGGCTAGATGAGTAGGTAGTGTTCCTGCTAGCTCACTGCTAGCTGGCTTGAATCGCAGTTCGGAGGCTACATGTAATCAGACGCAGCACGGATTGATATTCCTGGCTGGAAGTTGGAACGTTGAAGCCAGTCGGATGATTGTATCGAGAATTGGAGTTCGGTCCTATTAAGAGCAACCCTGGAAACCATTCCTCTAAAATAAATCTCAACCAGGATCTGTCTCATGTTGTGAAGCAACCTGGTGTCGGGTGTTGGAATGTCCATCCCCAGTGCGTCCTGAAGAGGCGGCAAGTGATCAAGACTGACATCATCAGACGGCAAACCAGGCGAGAAGGATGACCCAGTCCCGTTCACAGCAATCTCGAAATGCTGGGAACCCCCACACACATACATGTTTCCTCAGCGGGGCTCATAGCCATACAACTGACTTGCGTTCGTACCGCTCTGAGGCGGGGACTCCCTGTTTCATCTGAAGCTTGAACCAGTCAAGCTCTTTAATCCAAGTCCAAGCCACCTCTGATAGCACCGCTCTATATACCCGTCGGCTACCCCCGTCCCGGGGTTACCCAAACCCACTCTGCGTTTTATCCTTGGCGCAAATGATGGAGATCTCAAGTGCCGATGTGGAGCAGATGTCTTTGCGCAAGCAGTATTGAGATCTCAAGAGCCATTCTCAGGCTTATCCAGCACCATACTAAATGCCGGAAACCTGTTACTTGACAAGGAGACTACCGCAGACTCGAATGGTACAGGATCATATCTGTTGTCCGCGGACAGTCAAGCTTTTGCCGTGGCTAAATAAGGAGCCAAATAGACCAAAGGCCAATCATCGACGAGGAGCGCACACCAGAGAACGCACAGTTCTTAATTTGGCATCGGAATAATTTGGAACATCTAGGCGAGGAGGGGATTTCCTGGTAGCTTGTTCGCCGCAGCTGGCATAGGAAAGTCACTCGAAGTTTAATGCATGAAATCAGTCATCCCAATGCTTCGCCCTTTCTGGGTAGTAGATCTCGGCTTCTATCATTTCAGGCTATGGTGTCTGACCGTACGGCAAGAAAACCGTTTACGTAGAGACATCTGATAAAAGGCATTGATCTCACCGTCGAAGTGAATGGTTCGTTCGATCAGGTGTGTTGTCTTGACCTTTATGATTACGTGACGGACTTGTTATTCCTCTTTACCTAGACGACTCTTCAGACTTCGTTTCCGTAAGGAGATACACAGTGACAGTAATCACCATGAAGTTCATCCAGAACGCCAAGTCTGATTTCCAGACAGACAGCACCATCAACACAATTCGGAGAAAGGTGGCCTCAGGACTACCAAGATTGCCCCAAGCAACTGGGCAGTATCTCATCGAAAAAGTTCCGATTGTTCAATGGCTTCCGCAGTACCACCTAAAATGGCTTCTGTCCGATTTCATTGCAGGAATGACGATTGGTGTTATGATGATTCCCCAAGCTTTGGCCTATGCGAAGATAGCCACAATCCCTGGGGAGTTTGGCCTCTACTCTAGCTGGTTACCAGCTGCCATTTACGTCGTCATGGGAACTTCGAAAGGCGAGTGCGAGCGTGGTTAACGATTAACATGCCCACGAGTATTCATTTTCTAACCTTGATCTAGATCTCTCCACCGGGCCGACTTCCATCATGGGTCTCCTTACCGCGGAGATTATCACCGACCTCAAGACGGAAGGATTTGCTGCACAAGACATCTCGTCCGCAGTCGCGTTGATGGTCGGCATATACTCTCTCATTGTTGGACTGCTAAAACTCGGTTTCATCTTGGAATACATTTCCGTCCCAGTTTTGTCCGGATTCCTGTCTGCAGCTGCCATTACGATCCTTTTGGGCCAGGTTGGCTCGCTTGTGGGCCTAAGCGATGTTCCCTCAGGCACCTCGGCCATCATCAGTAACGTTCTCTCACGCATACCGGAAATGGAGCCTCTTACTATCGCTATTGGGTTCAGTGGCATTTTGATGCTGTACATCCTCGAGTTCATCGGAAAGAAGTGGGGAAAGAAGAGCGCAGCAATAAAATTCGCTTGCAGCAGCCGTGCGGTTATCCTTTTGCTCATCTACACGACAATCAGTTTCTTGGTCAACAAGGACCGAGAAGACTCCTTGTGGGCCATCAGCAAGGTCAAGGCCAACGGTCTTCAAGCGCCAAAGATTCCTGCCGGAGACCTCGTCTCTAGGGTTACCACCAGAGCAATTGCCCCTCTTGTAGCTTCAGCCCTTGAGCACTTGGCCATCGGAAAGGCTTTTGGCCGGAAGAACAACTACGCCATCGACGAAAGCCAAGAGCTCTGTTATCTCGGTATCACAAACACTATCAACAGTCTTTTCGGGGCAATGAGCGTAGGCGGTGCCATGTCAAGAACAGCTGTGAACTCAGAGTGCGGTGTCAAGAGTCCGCTCAGCGGCGCATTTACCGCTGGGTTCATTCTACTCACCCTGTATAAACTTTCAGGGGCTCTGTTCTGGATTCCTAAAGCCACGCTTTCGGCAATTATCGTACGTTGATTCCCGTCCCGTGCTTTTGTACCGGCGCAAGCTCACAAACGTATTTTAGATCATGGCCGTTATCCACATCATTGGCCCTGCTTCTGTTTTTTACCGTTACTGGCGTATCTCGATTATGGACTTTGTGGCGTCGATGCTATCCTTCTGGGTCACGCTCTTTGTGTCTACAGAAATGGGCATTGCTTTCGCGGTGCTATTCAGCATAGGATACACACTGGTCCGATCCGCATTCCCGAAGGTCAAGACGTTCTCAGCAACAAGTGGTCAGAACCGCATTATCCAGCGAGAACAGGCATCTGTGCCCTCTTTTGCAGAAGACACGTTCGTTCCCGAAGACGCCATGTTGGTCAGTTTCACTGATTCGATCTTCTTCCCCAACGCTGGCCGTATCAAGAAGTCGGTGCTCGAGTCCGTCAAAGTACAATTTGAACGACAAGAGCTTGGAGATCAAGCACAGAGCAAGTCCGCCGACAGATCTTGGAGTGTCGCATCGTCTAAACGCATCGAAATGTTGCGGAAGCGCGACAACGTCATGCCCTCGAGCAAGCAGATGGCTGTGATGGTCTGGGACCTAACACATGTGCCCTTCATCGACGTCACCGGAGTCCAAACGCTTTCCGAGTTAAAGGAGGAAACGAAACAGCATGTAGGAAAACAGATGTCACTAAGGATAGTAGGAATGAACAGCAAAGCCCGTCGCAGATTCTCTCGCGCTGGATGGCAGATTGTTCAGGATCGTGAGGTTGACGATTCAACCCCAGAACACCCCGACGTTGCATACGAGACGATAGAAGCAGCATTGTGGGATAGAGAGTATGCAGACAAGGCCGAAAAGTCAGAACTCCAGGGAAGAGCATACTACAGCCCTCGGGAAGGATCCCCATAGCGCTGAGCCGGATACAGAGCCAGGTGCATACGTCGATGCTCGGGCTTTCTGTGGAGGAAAAGCGAGTTTTGTAACAGTGCTCTGTTTTGGTGGCTGTTCCTTGTCATTTTGGTTACTTTCATTTCGTTGAGGAGACTCTGGATTGCATGCTTGGGAAATTTGGCCTTTGGGAAACATGATAGGGAGCCCTGGTGGCACCTTCAAGGCGCATAACAGAAACTTTAACATACATAACAAAAAACCAACGATCTGATTTGTAGCTTTGTTTCTTGAATTAGAGAGAAATTTTCTAGTCTCCACAGCTAAACTGATCTATTTATTACTTTGCCTACTCATACAAGTCTAATGACGCTTTGCATGAGGTTCATGTCGTCAAGCCTACATGTTTGACGAAGGACCCCAAACTATTTTACAGCTTGAGCGGCTTCTTCTTCATTCCGTCGCATCATTCGTTTACCGAGTCGTTCTTGTAGGTTTTTGACAGCTGTGGCCCTGGCTGTCCGAGGTGTCTCCGGAGTTGCTGGGCGGGGGCTTTCCTCCGATTGCTTCTTTAGGTTCCTCTTACCGAGCCTATCTTGAAGAGTCTTCACCGCTGCTGCTCTAACTGTTCTTGGAGTGGCGGGAGACATCGGGGTAGTTGGAGATGTAGGTCGATGTTCATCCACCTGAGGCTGCGCAGTGTTTTCAGTCTCCTGTTGCTTGAGTGCTCGAAGACGCCTAGCGACTTTGGACTGCATTCTGGCAGCTGCCGAAGTCCGAGGTCTCGAAAAGTTGTGCACGTCGGATCTGACGGACCGAACTGTCAACGTAGGGCTCGCAGGCCGCGTAGCTAAGGTGGCTACAGATGGACGTTGGCTCGGCGGGCGCGTGCTTGGCCGTGAGCTGTGTTGAGACGTGACTCGACTCTCTGTCCTGTACGTCAGACGCCGACCCTCATGGGAGCTGACACTTGAAATCCTACGCCTCCGGCGCCCCTCATTTGGCAGCACATTGCTATCGGGCCGGATGCTGTTTGTAATGCCATCCGCTCCAGTAACGAGATTTGCTATATGAGGCAGTGTGGGAGGATGGTCTGAAATGGTCCCGAGACCATACCGAGATGATCTGAATGTTGTCGTAGTGTGTGAGCTTGCCGGCCGGCCAGATTGCCTCATCTGTAGATGATAGTTTGCCTCCCAGTCCCCATCTCGGGTAGAAGGCCTGCGGCCTACAAGCCTGTTCTCCTCCTCCATAGTCATCATCGGCGTCAGTGGCCTCCTGGATGGAATATCCAGAAATCGACCATTGATAGGAGGAGATTGCATGCCAATGGCAGTCCATCTCCTAGAATCATACCTCCCTTGCTCCTCAGGTAGAGCCTGACTACGCGGGGAGTACTGAGCATGGCGAGACATAGATGGCAAGATTACTTCGTCAGGACCCGCTGAGGTATCAGTGGATATATCGGAGCCTTCCTGACGCATACTGGCATATTCCCGCCATGTGACCCAGTCGTCAAGTGTCACTGCACCGCTTGCTTTTGGTGTCGCGCCATCTGTCGTCGGCGGTTTCCATGCGAATGCATTGGAAAAGACTGGAGAGTCGGGCATCATGGCACCAGGGCGATCCCCGAAAACATTATTCAAGGGCGTGGGCATGGATATACTCCTGGCATGGCGTCTATGTCATACATTAGTCCTTCTTCGTATGGGTAGAAAAAACAAAATTACTCACAAAGCTCCGTGTTGAGGCTCATGGGGATTCTTTTTAGTCAGCGTCTTGCGTTTTCGCTTCTCAGGTTTCCCTGGTCCGCCATGCTTTTCGACGCGTTTCTCTCGCTTGTCCTGGAGACTCGGCGCTATGAAGACAATTCCTGGCTCAAGATCATCGTCGTCAGGACAGGCTAGTGGATCCTCTCCTCGAATGAACCACGTTTGAGAAACGCCCAGAGTCGCGAATGGACGATCTGCCATCTCAATAACTGCAAGCACTGCTGCGAGAGAAAACCTATGAAATTGTCAGCTCCCGGTACCCGGCCCTACGAGCTTCATTTACTCACAGAGAAGATATGCTAATTATGACATTAAGCCATGGGAGATTCTCTTGAACCCCTTTGGAAAGGTCTAGTCCAATATTGACAGCCACAAATATCGACAAAGTGATTGCTGCCACCCAAACGGGGAGACCTAGTCGAGCCAAGAGAAAGGCAAACCCGGCAACATATTTGCCGTATATAGTTGGAGATCCATAATTCTTCATGTACGCTGTTCGCCCGGCGACTAGATGGGTGAAGACGTAAACCAGACTCACGCAGGAAGCGACGAAAAAAACAGCTCGGCTGAGAGGATCGAGAACCTCTGTTGACTCGAGGTTTTGGAACAGGACCACAGCTGATAAGGCTATACCAGCCCCTGCCGAGATGAACAATAATATTACTGAGAGAAGCGACAGAACGGGATATAATCGATTAGCTTTCTGAGGCGCTGCTGTTTTTGGTGGCAATGTAAGCGGCGGCGCTGAAGTCGTCGCGTCCTCATAGTGCTGACTCATTAGTACTCGATTCCATCAACACGACCCAAGTGTGTATTTCAATGTCGCCCAGTGTTTGGATTGAGAAGATTCGGATTGATCGGCTGCACTGGTGATCGAGTCTGACCCAGCAGCGTCGGGAAGCGATCACACAAGGCAGAGTTGCCTGAACCCCAACGGTGACATTGAAACCTTGTACGGGGCGTGATATTCTTCGGTAAGTGTGGGTTGAAGTGTAGCTGGACAGCGGGAGAGAGGGGTTTTGTTTGCACATGTTACACAAACTAGCCTTGAGTCGTCTGAGTTTCTGGAGTGAGCATGACGTGTCTCCTCGTTCAGACTCGAAATCAATAACACAATCCGAAGTTGCTGAGGTTCCATCCCCCGACAATCTAGCCGACGCATAGATGCCGACTGAGTCTCTTTGTGTGTGATCGGTTCTCATCTGATGTCTGCACCGGCATGTGAAACATTGCGATGGCCGAAGTGGCCCAAACTCGTGTCCAGCAAATAGGCTGCGCATAGACTGGAGAACGTTTCGAGTAGCCGGATCGAACGGTGCAACGAATGATTTGATTAAATCTTTCGTCTCCTCCCATCTTCTCATCTGAGCCGGCCGCCTCGCTATGGCCGTTGGTGAGACGAACCTGAAGTACCCTACACTGGGCACCTTTTGCCCTTACTTGAATTCAATGGTTTCAAGGTTTTCTTTGATCGCGTTCACAGGGGTCAATTCGACGGGTTCCAAAACACTCGAAGATGGGACTTTCCTACGCTAGGCTTGCTAGAAGCCTAGCACGTTATTGAGACATGGAGAAAAGGCAATTAACCTACAAAAGCATTGGAAAGCCAAGCAAGGAGCCGAGTCGGCCAAGAGTTGCTCTCTCCGGAATGGTCTCAGAACAGTCAAGCTCAGTGAATCTAGCTATTGTCCCCACTCGTAGGCCTGCGTTGTTACATTGACGGCGGCCCACGTGCCTTACATAATTGATGTATCAAGCGCGTGTCAAAACCTGCCCCCAAGCTTCGAGCATACTCGTACCATTCACTCTTACTTTCTCAATTGCCTCTGTGCGAACAAAACGTTGCCGCGAATGGTCGATTTTATCAACCAGGTTTGACGAGAAATAAAGAATGTGGTACGGAGTAGTTTAGTCAAAAGTTGTAAAGAACAGCCGCTTTCCTCGCTTCCTAATCCTGTTACTTCGAAAGTCTATTTATTACACTGTCCGCACCTCTTACCTAGCCTTCAAATGAAATTTCTAGGCTATGTCAGTGGTCGCACTGGGCCGTCAACTGCCCAACCTCCATTGTATATAGCCTGAAAGAAGGATCTCCATGATAACCACCAGCCTTTGTATCCCCAGTGCACTGGAAAAGGTCCATTCCCGCGGCGCTAGTCTCCGTGGATGGCTGTGAAAGTCCTTGCGTCACCGACCGCCGCCAGCGGTATCTGCTTGATTACCACTGCAGGCCTCCAAGCCTCATGGGTACACGAAGCATGCGGTGCCCAGAAGCCGTTGGTTGTGGGAGTTTACCAGCTCGGATGTTTATTTGCAGAGACTGGTGGAGCAGCTTTGGCTCACCGAGCTTAGCATCGCGCTCTTTGCGCTGCGCAACGAATTCCTCCTCGGTGATACCGTCCCGCAAGTGTTTATTTAGCTTTCTGTGGTCGCTGACTGTCATCCATGGCACCGGGCCTTCTCGATTGTCCGGGGGATAGTCATGGCCTGTCCAGACTTTGACGTGATCTGGAAGGCTAAGAAGCCTGCGGCCCGAGTGGTAAAGGTTGCTCGCGCTTCCACCAGGAAAGTCACAACGAGCAGTCCCAATGTCCACGTGGAAAAGGGAGTCACCGCAGAACACGTTGTCTTGTCAAGAAGATCAGCAAAAGCAAGTGTGATAACGGGGCGTGGTGGGGGCCTGACCTCCGATCTTATAACCCAAATGGTCGGGCGTGTGCCCGGGGAGATGAATGGCAGTCGCGCTCAGGTTACCAATGCTGAAACTTTCGTCGTCTTCGAAGAGTTTATCAAAAACACCATGACGCTCTTCGCTGGGCACATCATATCGTTGACCGAAGAGATCTTGTACCTGTCCGATGCGTCGCCCAATACCAATCAGTGGCTTACTGACATGCTCTGCGATGCGCTTTTGAAGATACGAGGCTGCAGTGAGATGATCTGCATGCGCATGAGTTTCAAGAATCCGCAACACTCGGTAGTCCTTTTCTTTGACTAGCTGAAGCAATTCATCAGCTGAGGTTGTGGTGATAACTTGAGTTGTCCGGTCATAATCCAAGACCGGGTCAATGATGACGGCCGCTTTCGTCGCTGGGTCTGCAACAATGTACTGCCAGGTTCCTGTCCTTGACTCGAAGATATCGTGAATGACAGGTTGCGTAGTATCGACAGGTGCGGTGCTATATGAGCGCCGAGTGGGCGGACTTATCGCATTGGGAATATTCCTTCGTTTCGATAAAGGCATTGAGTGACCGACCCTTGGTAACATGCCATGGCGACGTGCAGTGAAGACACCTGGATGGACGGCCCCGGTTGCTCCAGTGCCATGCACGGCACGGAGCTGAATGCTGCCACTTCCTCGGGTAAGTGGTGATTTTGCGATCCCTGGCACCGTAGACAGACAGGGTGATTGAACTCGTTTATTGACGCACGCGCGCACGGGATTCATGGCAAAGGTTGAGTCGAGACAGTGTAGGAGAGAGTGAGTGGAGTTTGGCGATGCAGGCTGATGGAGGCAATGATGCAACTAAGAGTCGGAAAATGCACAATATAGATGGACCGAGTGGTGGGGGTATCTGCCGAAACCTTTAATACTGGGAGCAGCCGAGAGAAAGTTTAAACATCGAACGACATCCCCACTGCATCCCGGTGCCTCCCGTGCCGGTCGGGGAGTTGTAAATGAAATCGGCGACCATTCTCGCCGACTCGTCTCGCCGACAAGCCGGCCGGCCGGTGCGGCTCTTTCTATGAAGAAACACCAACTGCACGTCAAGGCCGGGAATGAGCAAGTTTTCTTTAGCAGACGGTCGCGGCTGTCGGGGGATGCTCGGCGCGGCTTGCAATTCTGATAATTTAACTCGTCCGTTAAGTCAGCAGTGGAGTGGGCCCCACACCTCTTTTTAAGCTTCGGCGTTTTCATTTTCCAGTCGGCGCACACCGTTTCTTTCTCAGGCGCCATACTTACTTGAGGTGGCTCATCTCTCTGCTTTATCATCACGACATATCGTGGTCCAATCCTTCCCAAAAAGTAACGCCATCACCTGTTCTGCAAAGTTTTCATATCACTCCTTCTTCATTTACGCCAAAATGCTCGCCAGTCGTGTGACTTTGGCATCTCGCCATGCCAGCCGCGCTCAATTTGCTGCAAAGACTTCCGATATCCGGAAACTTGCGACAGTAGCCCCCGTGAGCTCCGTTGCTCGGAACCACAAGGTTGTTGTCGTCGGAGGAGGCAGTGCCGGTCTCACTATTAGCCACCAGCTGTTGCGGTCTGGTCGATTTTCTCAGGATGACATTGCAGTCGTCGACCCGGCCGAATGGCACCATTATCAGCCTGGCTGGACGTTGGTTGGCGGTGGCCTGAAGTCGAAGCAAGAATTGCGAAGGCCACTCGAGAGTCTGGTTGACCCCAAGCTTAAGTTCTACAAGCAGGGAGTGAGCTCTTTCGCACCCGAGGAGAACAACATCAAGCTTGGAAATGGCGATAAACTTGGCTATGAGCAGCTCGTTGTCGCTCCCGGTATCAACATCGATTACGGCAGCGTCAAGGGCCTACCCGAGGCTCTTGCAGACTCGGGCTCCCTTGTGTCTTCCATCTACGGCTATGATACTTGTGACAAGGTCTTCGGCACCTTCGGAAGACTTCAGAAAGGGAATGCAATCTTCACCCAACCTGCCGGCGTGATCAAGTGTGCTGGCGCACCCCAGAAGATCATGTGGCTTGCCCTCGACTACTGGAAGCGTGCAGGCTTGTATAACCCCAACGACCCGACAAGCTCGCCCATCAAGATCAGCTTCGCCACTGGCCTACCCACTATGTTTGGTGTCCCCAAATACAGCGCAAAGCTTGAAGAATTGCGCAAGGAGAGGGGCGTCGAGGGGCTCTTCCAGCATGATCTCCTTGCCGTGGATGGTAACACAGCCACCTTTGGTCGCCCTGATGGAAAAGAGAAGGTCACAAAGCAGTTTGACCTCATGCATGTCGTCCCGAAGATGGGGCCCCATACTTTCGTCAAGAACAGCCCTCTCGCCGATGCCGCTGGCTATGTTAGTGTTGATCAAGCAACAACCCGTCACACCAAATTCCCCAACGTCTGGTCGGCAGGTGATGCATCCAATCTACCCACCTCTAAGACCGCCGCAGCAATCACATCCCAGGCTCCCATTCTTGTCAGCAACCTGCTGCGGTCATTGGATGGCGCCGAGCCTCAACCTTCGTATGATGGCTATACCTCATGCCCGATCCCTACCGAATATGGTAAACTTTTGCTTGCCGAGTTCAAGTATGGTGGAGTTCCCAAGGAGACTTTTGGCGATCTTATCGGATTTGATCAAGCAGTCCCCCGACGTGCGTTTTACCACTTGAAGAAGGACTTCTTTCCGTGGGTTTACTATACGTCCATGGTCAAGGGAACCTGGGGTGGACCTAACGGCTGGAGAAACTGATCTCGTAATTTGAGCATCTGTATCATGTACTAGCTATGTATTCCTAGGAGTAGTTTGGCGGCAAAAGTCTTGAATCCGCGTTCGTTTCTGGTCGATCTTGAGAGCTCTCACTCCTGGCTGTGTTGTTAAATTGCCAGATCAATTTCACTTGCTTACAGCCCCTCCGAGGGCATGGACTATCCCATTGAGTGATAGGCACGGCGTCGGTACATTGGATCGCGAAAACAATCGGAAATATAGTTAATCATGCGTTAGTCCAGCATTCAAGATTGTTCCATTGCGGGGATTTTCCTTCTCCGAGTTGATCTGAACACTGCTTGTGTCAGGTGCTAGCCTGGGCTGGCATTTTACATCGCCGAAGCTTTGTACCGACGTCAAGGCATTTACTGAATCCCGCATGCTCTTCGTGCGCGGTGCCCCGCGTTTACATTACACTCGTATTTTTGTTCGTATCCAATTTTCGCATCTGTCTTTTTCGTATTCAACGGCCCGTCAGACCTTTGAATATCAATCTACGTGCAAAGCCAACGAGTCAAGGAAAAGCTCTTTCGGAGTATACAATCAAGCCTCTCCAAAATGAGATTGACTGGTTTCGTTTTTTTCCTGGTTGCGATAGCCGAAGCCAATTACTACAATCCTATACTTCCTGGCTTTCACCCCGATCCAAGTTGTATTCACGTCGACGATGCTTTCTTCTGTGTAACATCTACTTTTACATGGTTTCCTGGTGTCCCAGTCTATACGAGCACGGATCTAAGCCACTGGAAGCTTGCTAGCCATGTTCTCAATCGATGCGAGCAGCTTCCACAGCTGGAAAATGCGCCAACTGGTCAAGATGGCCTATTTGCATCAACAATTCGCCATCACAACGAGACCTTTTACGTAACAACTACCCACGTGTCTATCACTTCCTATAAGGACTTCGTCATGCAAAACCTCATATTCTCGACAAATGATCCCTTCAATGCATCATCGTGGAGCATTCCGACTGAGTTCAATTTCACTGGCTACGACCATTCTCTCTTCTCTGACGACGACAACGACACTTTTTACTTCACTGGGGCTGCTGTATTATCTACTGGTACTGTTATTGCGTTGGCAACCATTGATATCGAAACAGGTGCCCTTGGGAATGTCTCGTATCCATGGAACGGCACCGGCCTGGGGACCGCCGAAGGACCACACCTTTACAAGAAAGATGACTGGTACTACATCCTTGTTGCCGAAGGAGGCACTAAAGAACTGCACCGCGGCTATATCTCCCGGTCCCGGTCTCTCCATGGTCCCTACGAAAGCAACCCAGCAAATCCAATCGTTATTGCTGAGCACCTGGACTCATCATATTAACAAACAGTTGGCCATGCTGATATCTTCCTAGATGAAGCAACTGGTCATTGGTGGGGTGTTGCACTGGCAATGCGTTCAGGGGCCAACTTTGAGACGTATCCCATGGGCCGAGAGACGGTCTTATTTCCGGTTTCCTGGCCAGCAGGTGGCGGGGAGTGGCCGTGTCTGCTCGAACCCATTCGAGGACAGATGATGGCATCACTTCCTGGCACAAATGTCAATTCCAGCAGCATACCTGGTGTAAATGAGAGTGTTGATGTGGTTGACTTTGAGCCAGACACTGTTCTGCCAGCATATTGGGTACACATCCGACATCCATCTGAGTCAGCGTACGTGATTTCTGCCGAGGGACATGCAAACACATTACAACTCGGATTATCATCAAGAAACTTATCATCGACAATTACACTGAACAGCACTCCTACAAAGGACATCACTTTTGTCGGTCGAAGGCAGACAGAAACGCTGTTCTCGTTTATCGTTGATCTGGAATTTGACCCTCATTCGATTGACGAAGAGGCGGGAATTTCGGTGTATCTGGACGAGAAAAGGCACATTGACTTTGGTGTTTCGTATGACAATCAGACAGCGAGTTGCAAACGGCTTCGCATTCGAATCATTCAGCAGCAATGGTAATATCACTGTGCCTCAACCGGTCATTACAGCATTACCATCAGAGTACCGGATTTCTACACTAATCCGCTTAGAAGTTCTGGCATTGAACACGACGCACTACACATTTCGTGCCGGTGTAGCAAACAAGCACCAGGCGAAAGCCGTTGAGATGACTATAGTCGGATATTCGAGTGCAGGCTTTGTCAGTGGTGGATATACGGGAGTTGTTGTCGGAGTCTATGGAACTACAAATGGTCAGCCTGTCAGAACAGGATCAGCCGCATACATCAGCAGATGGAGGTACTCCGGCGGCGGACAGTATATTGAATATGATCTTGTAGTATAGATTGTTTATGATTGTTTCTGTGAATGAGTACTTGAGCGTGGAACTGAGAGGCGAAGAGCAAAACCCTACTTTGGATGGATAGTCTGCTTACTACCTTAGATAGTGTCATATTGACACAAGACATACTCAAAGCAGAATCCGAGTCTGAAAAGTGTGTATCTCTGTACAAAAATCATCAGACCCAAATTTGACACTTTTGCCGAGACATTGATATATTGGGTAGATCCTGCCTCTTCCTGCCTGACGCACCTTTTCTTCCTCATATGGCAAAACCACGGCGGCGACAGCAACACCGTAATTCGGGATGACTCGAAACCCCACACCAATCTGCGATTCTTAATCCCGGCGAAGTTGTGACCAACAACGAGAACAGCCCAGCCGATATCGAATGTGACAAACATGCGAGCTTCGTTGGTGCACCCGACTGCTACTTTCCTATTCGCGCGGGGAACCCCGGGTGCCCACTCAACAGCCTATGAGCGTGGGTTTCTCTACATGTTTGGTGCAAGAAGGCGGCGCTGCATCCGCTAAAAAGAGGTCCAACACCAAACGTACATGTATATTAGCCCACCTGCCATTACAATTCTGTCATTTTCCTCTGTTACTTCTGTTCCTCTTCTTCATTCCCGGAGCTTTCCCTTTGCATTGAAACCCCGCACCGCAACCCATCATGGCCAATCCCGCTCAAGATTTTGAAGTTCAGATCGCTGCCGAAGAGGAGGTTTGTTGACACGATATGCCATTAATGATATACGTTGTGTTTGATTCTTTTACTTGCAGCAGGATGATTCTCGCTCCGAGATGGGAACCGTGAGTGTGGTTGTCTCCACGTTTCATTGCTGCTGCGCATACTGAATTCCATAACAGAGTATTGCGTCCTCTAGTACCAGTCTGCGTAGCTCACTATTGGACTATCGCCGGGAGAATGGCCGGACTTATCACCGATACAAGGATGGCAGTAGGTTCCTGGGAACATTCCCCGTCAGTTTGGTCGCTGAAGTTGTGCGTTAGAATACCAATTCCCGAACGATGAGCGGGAACTTGACAGACTTGGTAAGATTAACTTTGAACTATAATCGTGGGGTTGACATCCTGCTCACTCATGTCCCAGATCTGGTTAATCACCTGTGTCTCCTCACGCTGGATGGCGAACTTGGCATAGCCCCTCCCTGCAGAGAAGACGCCAAAGTTGGTCGTGTTCTTGACGTCGGAACGGGCACGGGAATCTGGGCGGTTCAGTTTGGCGACGACCACCCCGAGGCTGATATCTTGGGTATCGATCTTTCGGCCACCCAACCTAGCAGGTACGCTTGAACCAGAGTCGTTATCCGACGAACAGCTGTCAATATTGATATCCCAGCGTGCCTCCCAACGTGAAGTTCGAGGTCGATGATATCGAAGACGAGTGGACCTTTTCGCAACCATTCCAATACATCCATAGTCGCTTCATGACATCTAGTATCAGGGACTGGAGACTGTTTCTCCAAAGATGCTACGAGTAAGGCCTAATTACTTGTGAATTCGCAAGACGAGATGATGAAGCTTGCAGCTGACCAGCATAAACACAGTAACCTCGAACCTGGTGGCTACGTTGAGCTCCAGGAGACCGCTATTTTTGCTCAATCTGACGATGGAACTTTGAAGCCTGAGCATGCTCTGTCCGAGTGGGCTAAGTATCTTATGGAAGCGTCAATCAAGCTTGGAGCAGTGTGGGTCGATACGCCCGAGTTGAGGGAGATTATGATTGAGGTCGGGTTCGAAGATGTGGCGCTGAGCACTTACAAGTGGCCGACGAATACCTGGCCGAAAGACAAATATTTCAAAGAGCTGGGCTCATGGAATAACGAAAATTTTATGGCTGGTATGGAGGCAATTACGATGGCTCCCCTCACACGTGCCTTGGACTGGAGCCCCGAAGAAGTTAGAGTCTTCCTCATCGAAGTCCGCAAGAACGGAAATGACCGAAACATTCACGCCTACTGGCCTCAGTAAGTTCTCCCGCTGTTGAACCCCCTGGTTCATGGTTCTCACTTTCATAGGCATGTTCTCGTTGGGCGGAGGCCCATCAAAGAAAAGGAAGGCTCAGCACCAGCTCTGCCACCGGCTGCGGGTGCGTCTCCGGCTCCAGCATAGAGTGGACCAAGACTTGGCCAGCTCCCAGAGCCATGCAGGCTTAGTCTAGAATACATCCCCGCAACTCCATTGACGGACCTTCCTTCGTTAAGTTGTATTGAATAAAATGATACCGAGGACTCAGTGTGATTTTTACGTTGACACATTTCTGTCTTCGGTGATTAATGCAATTGGTAACTGGTACAAAGAGACTTCTGTAAAGATCCCATCGGTCGCGTGTCGACGTATATCTTTGAGAGATTGTAACGAATTATACGATAACCCGACCCTATTCCCCTATTTCCGCGAACTAACAGTTGATGCACGAATTCGAGTGGAGAAAAACTGGAGTAAGACGTACTGACGCCGACCCGCGACCGATGGGATAACTGAGTTTCCCTTTACTAGTCAGCTCTATGAGAGAGCCTCCAACGTCCTATAACGGTTTGCCGTTATGATTCAGGGGCGACGAGAGTGAAAAAGGGGGCTGGTCTAAGCAATCGTCTGGGAAATCGAGGAGGAAACGCCCAGTTACTTTGCACCAAGACTCCATTGCCCACGTATGCGTACATAATACCTCAAAAGACCACACCGACAAAGTTCTTTGAAATCTAAAGGGTAGCAACCACCAGCTCCAACGTATAATCAACAGGTAAACCTGGCGAGGTTACGGAGTACGGGCCCCAGGTGCCAAAAGCATGGCCGGGCCTTCTGGCCTCGAACAGAACAACAGCGAGAATTCAAGTGCTGGTGAGGTTCTAGGCTGTTAGCAATCAAGCCAATCTTTTCCTAGCTTCGCCGCTCTACGTTCATCAGAATGATTCTTGGATTCTATTATGGATCTTAGGGCTTGAAGGCGAGAAATAAAAGTACAACAAGTAGCAGTGTGCGGGCTTGAGCGCGAGCCAATCGCCGCACTATGTCGCAGCTTTTATTAGTACTCTACTCAGGCATCAATTCACGCTAGCAGGGCAAACTAAATTAACAGAATGTTAGACAAGTCCAGGATTATTTATTACAAGACGCCCCAGAACAAGCACATTGATCAACCAGCTATGCTCTCTTCAGCGGAAAGGGACGCGAACGTGGTGCAGAGCCGGTCAATCCGCGCCAGCAATTAAGTACCTACTGGTAATACCCAAGATTCAGTCCTTTGGCTTAACATACAAGCCTTAAGTGACGACATGTTCATCTCTCATTCAATGATGACATCGGCACTGTTATACACTGCAGTCATGGTCATACGCATCACATGAAGTGCCTGATCTGTGACACTGATAAGTGATAGTCAGCTGGAGCTCAATGAACTGACCGTAATAGTGCATGTAGAGAGTGGGACAAGTGATAGGGACAAGAAGTATATACAATTAGCAGACACAGTCTCACAAACAGTCCTTGTCTCTCTGAACAGTGGCATAATGAACGCAGAAAAGGTATCAAGTCTCCCGAGGTGTTCATATGCATGTTGGCGAAGCGGAGAGACATTTAGCGAAGCGGGAAGGAACAGTCTTCCTGCTGTGTCTGCGGAACCTACTCATGCCTGTCCTTGTCTCTCGACCGTGCTTGATACAGCCTACCACAAAAGTTTTAAGATAAGTAACTCTCGCAGGTCCCGCTACTCTCTCAGGATAGAATGAACTCAACTGCCGGTGGGTAACTCTCGCTATCAGAAGCATGAAGCAGGCTTGTCGTAGGAATCACTTTGCTACAAGCACATGCTTCCGAGTGCCCAGCCCATATCTAGCTTCAGCCTCCTGGGCTATCAGCTAATCCAGTATTTATGTGTCTACATGTTGGTATACACGTCAGCAGGGCAACCGTACGGTTGGAACGAAGTGTCAATAATGGTCTATTATTGCTGCGTCTGGAGGTGGAAGGAGGAGATTGTGGGCTCCCAGAAGTGGTATATAAGTGAAAGGGCCGTTTGTAAGTGCCCATACCGCCTTCCAGATCCATCTTTTCTGCCGACTGCTCAGAGATCCAACACTACATGTAGTACCAGGTGATTTATATAGTGCTCTGTTCCAGTAAATCGCGATTCAAGCCCAAACAAAATGTCTGTCATGGGAGCATTACACGCATAATACAGTGCTTTTCGTCGTAAAACGCTTCTATATTTCCGAGCTCTTATAGCCCAATAGTGCCGATTCACATACTAAACTGCCTTTACGAGACTAATTCTCTTCAAGATACCTACTTACTTACTAAAGGGCTTAGGTACACTGAACGTCACTGCGAGCTGAATGTAGTATGGTATAGGGCGTCATGTCTGCCACCTGAATCAAACATAACTAAGTAGTTAGTAAACTCTTAGCTCTGCCGATTAACTTCGATATACACCCAATTGAACAATCAACGCTATGCCGTCGTAGTAGTAGTAGTAGTAGTGGTGTTTTACATCATCAGGGACAGGTGCCCAGCTATCTATGTAACTAAGCTCCGATCAACCAGAGCGCCCTTTGGGCATATGATGTGCCGTGCCGCCATTATAGCGTACGACAAGTCAGGCAGTCTATAATGTACACTTTTCTTCTCGTGCCTAGAGCAGTGGAGTTTAGTATCTAATCCCCAGGGTCCGTTCAGTTCCAAAAAGCACGCCAGCAGGGGGTCCCTGACTCGGCAGAAGCGAATGGGTCTCTAGCAGCCCTACGCCGTCCACAGACGGCGTTGCCGCAACAAGTAACCGGCCCTCGGAGGCATATTTGCCTACGCGAGCATTTTTCTGTTTTCTTATATTTTCTTATATAGAAGATAAAGGAGGAAGGAAGAGAGAGGGGTGTGGTAAGGCCGGGGCCTCAAGGCGTCGGTGGGTGTGTGAGAGAGTTGTGAGGCGCGGGATCTCGGGCTCGCTATCTTTGCAGAGAGTGAGCCTCATAGTAGCGCGTCACACGCTCGAACTTCTCAAAGGCACCCGGGTCTCTGACCAGGGCGTACCAATAGGCTTCGGCCAGGCCTATCGGGGGCGGTAGTGGTCCCGGATCGTCCACGGTCCCGGTAATCGGCCATAGCGCCGAGGTACGGCGGTTCTTCGTGCAATATACTGGATGGGTAGGCGATAATTTCCGCCCGCAGTTACATTTGAAGTCTCCGTCGTGCTGAAAGCGCCTGTGGTAGGCGTGGAAATGGCCATGGCCAGAACGAGCAGCGAGGAGGTGGTGCAAAAGAGGACGCCGTAGGTCCAGTTCCGGAGGGCAACGGAGGGCAGCGTCAGTTTTCTTATAGCCTGGTTTGAGCTTTTGCTTCGAAGTATGCCACCATCGTGAATGGTAGCCACGGGCTCTGGCGCGGGCCATCTTCGCTATCCCAGCGTATGATGCTAGCGGTGGAGGGTCAGGCAGTAGGAGAGCGGCTCCTTCTTTAGCAAGCTTATCAGCTAATTCGTTTCCAGGGATCCCGGTATGTCCGGGCGACCAGTGGCATTTTATATCCCTTGCCCGCTGGGCGTCGAGTATCTCAAGCATAGCAGCCTGCGAGCTGGCGGGAGATCGTCCGAAACCCGAGATGAAGTTGAGAACGCCAGTATTATCGAGGCAAAGATGGATTGTAGTGGGGGAGGTGGCAGCTAGGTGCAGTGCTCGCCGTAGGCCCTGACGGGCCCCCTCGGCCTCGGCATCAAAGACTTCTGTGTATTCGCCGAGGCGACGCTATGCCGTCCACGGCAGACTATTATTCGGTAAATAGGGTCGAAATGGAGCGGACTACGGATCTACTATGCGACGCAATGTCACAGCACGCTTGTCCTTTTGGAAACGAGACCGGGAATATTTATGACTCTGACTTTGAGCTGTACTATATTATCAATTGGATGGTCATGCCACTGTGCCGCCACAGACTCAAGCCGGAGGGGATGCCATAGAATTTGGTCCAGGCTTTACAGATTATGGATCGCGGGGAGTCAAGATTATCACGTGGAAATGGAAAATTGTCCTCACAGCATTGCCGCTATTTTTTATAATTAAAGTTTCCCTAGACCGCAACCTTTCTGCGACCGTTGGGCTGAAATTGTGTGAAGTTATCTCAATCCTTGTCCTTAACCTTGATCAACAAGCTAGATCATCCTCAAGCTACGGCGGTAGATTGGAGGAAACAATACCGACCTGCCTGCAGTGGAGGGTTGCAGAATGTCTTATCAGTGATTGCTGTTTGCCCTGAAGGGGAGAACATGCACTACCTAGGTTGGCATAGGTAAATAAGAAGGAACAAAAGTGTCGGTGACCTGCCTACTCGTGGGCATACATTTGGGCGGGAAAGAACGCAAGTAGTAATTCTGAACATGGGAGAAATCATTCTATGCGAGTCTGCTGCCGATATGGGAGCTATTCAGCGTGGTTCATGGGTCAGCTACTACGACCGGGACCGTTGCGCCAAGGTCGGTTAGCGCGATATCAGTAAATAAAATGAGACCATGGCTGGAATTCCTATCCCTGCTAAACGACTTATCGGGTACTTTCTGGTGCGGGCTGGGGATTCTGGCTCTTTACGGCTGAAATGAGGGCCGGGCGCGGCGACAGGGAGCTGACAACCTTATGATAACCTGCAAAGCCAAACAGTAACAAAGCAACCAATGAAGTAACACAGAAGTTCTGTCCAGTGGGCTCAACCTGGACTCGGGCAAATGGCGCCACGCGCTAAGGAGGTCGCGTATTCGTCTATTTCTTGGCTTGTTAATGGTGCCCTGCTGTAAGACGGCGCAGCCTGTACCGTCTTGAAGACCTCGATTGGGGTGCCTCGATCATATTAAAGGACACTGGCGAGAAGCATCTAATAATTTTTCTTCCTCGCGCTTCAAACGTCAGTACTGACACCATGCGTAACACCTATTTACCGCCAGTCAGCTTTGTCAAAGCTAAAGAAGGCCCGGCCCTTTCCATTCAGCTGCTCGACCCTTCTGCGCCGCTGTACCCGGGCTCAGTCATCCGCGGACACGTCACCCGAAAATTGCACATCTTCGCCGCCGTCGCTACCGTCCGCGTATATCTAATCGGTGGCTCGGCCGCCCGGCTTTGGGTACAAAGGGGCACATCCGCAGTTGTGTTGGGCGCGGGCTTCGATTTCTGGAGCCGGAACGCCGTATCCCAAGTCGTTCACCAGGGTCCGTTGCACATCGCACCAGAGCCCGATACCGCGTCGCAGACCTAACCTCTAGGACACGACGAACTGTAGTAGAGTTATACAGTAGCCAGACTGGGCAAGGATCCAGATCTTATAGCCAGTTGGGATAGGTTTCGTTGGAATCGTTGTCGTCTCAAGAGATCGACCTGTAAATCGGACCATAGCCTCGTCAACTGTAAGGTCTGAACCAGGTATATAAAGGGAATCCCCAGTCTCTTGGATGTGGGCTGACCACTGGTTAACTTTACGGTATACATCTGGCATTTGATCCTGGGCCCGGCCCTGGCCCCGGCCTAGGCTAGGCTAGGCTGGCTGGGCCGGCTGGGCTGGAATTCCGCAGTGTTGAATATCCGTAGTCGCTGGAGTAGCAGTTGGAAACGGTCCCGGGACATAAACCGTGTAAATAGGTGGATAGGATCCTCCGTTTGCTGCTGGGTTGACCAATAGGTTGATAATCTAGACTCACTATGAATCCCTATATATAATAGGATCCCTAGGAAGAGGTATATCTCGTCTGCTGAAGTCTGCCGCCATGAATTCGCTCTAGACGTTCTAGCCCTAGGGCCCTCCTGAGACAAGTCACAACGGCGCTGTATTCGTCCACTGGGCCCACTGCTCCACGAGGCTCTGCGGAACGTATTGGAGGAACAGTTCAAGCGGGCTTGCCGGCAGCCCCCGTATCTCTTGGGCCCGGGCCGGCACGTCAAGGGCCGGAAGGAGCCCGGAGGACCATGCTAAGTAGCCGGAGGTTCGTGGGGCCGGACTGTAGCTGCGTCACAGCGCTCGGGCGTACAGTCTGTATTACAGGCAGCAGTAAGGTCTTCTGGGTGGACCTCAACTACTATACAGCTGCGTATAACTAGAAGTAATAGAAGCATTAGATGCAATAGAGGTATCAGAATCACCAGAAGACATAACAATATCAATCAAAATAGTAATAACTAATAGTGATGATAATGGGCAAAAGAGCATAGGAATGAGTGACGTATCGTCAAGTACCCCTTTAAATGCGGGGTAATAAAGTGTAAATAATGGGTACTTGGAGGTCTTGGCAAAATGAGGTGAGTTAGCACCCGATGGGATACGTCCGCACATCACCACGCTAGGTATTGGATCGCGAGAATGACTCGGAACGTGCCAATATCCGAATTGGTTTGGCTAATGATCTAAGGAAAAGAACGCGACGTACGCGATAGGTATCGCTAGTATCGTTATATACTCGACGTTCTTTGCTCGGGGATGGCGTATAAGGCTTCTCGGTCGCATCGTCGTTCATAATAAAGGGACGAGGGTAGGAGGCCGACGGCGTTATTATGTAGTTATCCAGCGTTCGATACTATTTACGGGGAGAACAATGGCTGGTAATAGTGTGGTCGTTAGAGCCGGGGAGATCCGAAATCCAGCGGGAGATAATAAGTTCGATTATGTTACTGTTGGTATCACAGGCGTGATACGTTTCCTCATGAGGATGTATCTTCGGCAACAATCACGTCGATGTCCGTGATAATTGCTGTTGTTGTTCTTGTTCTTTCTATTTACATTGTGGGCAGGGGTCGGTCGAAGTAGGTGGTGACAGCCTGGGTGGTTGCCCCACCTTAACCGGCCGTGGTGACTAAGCCAGTTGTCCCACTTCGCCCAGGGCAGGCGCCAGCCAGCCCACGATACCTGCCCATTGCTCCTTATCAGCCTTGCCGTTCCGACAGTTACCTACCTGTTCATATGAGAAGATACCTAGCGAACGTGAAGTATGTTCCTTATTGGCTTCTTAAAGGATAACGAGGTCGCCGTTTTAGGTCTAATGACGCGAAGGGGAGTGGATGGAGTAACCCCAGCTGACGATGAGATAATTCGGAAGTATCTAGAGTTTCCTAGACAATAGATATACAGATCCATATGGCATACATATCAGATATGACAGAACTACATAAGTACTCAGAATAGCCTCACACAGTACAGCTATGTGCGAATTTAGTGTCCTCTTCGTACTCTTTGTGGTGTATGTACAACGCGAAGTCAGAGATGGCTGCCGGATTACACTTACAACAGCGGGATTGGCCAGTTCCGGCTTGTAATCAGAAGTCGTGTAAGGTAGCTTCATTCCCACCAACGAATGATTGCTTTATATTGAGAACAGCACAGTGCACTTCCGGGCAAGTGGTACCAATCCTGCTTATGCCAGTGCACCCTGTATAAATAACCTTCTATTTGTTATTTCCGAGGCCCGCGACAAGCCTCGACGTTGACGCCCAGGCGGATTCTTGTGAGTCCTTAGCCTGCACAAGGCAGAATTGACTGGCAAGCGCTGCAGCCTGTGCATTTGGCCTTGGCAGATTCATCTCAGGCATCCACGCATATTGAGAAGTTGTCCTTCAGCAAATGATAGGTCGGAGCGGAAATAATAAGGGGTCGGGCCCTGGACTGCAGTAGTTTATCGGTAATGTACAATTAACGTGAGGCTGACCTAGCACTTTACGTTTAAGAAGCAGGACTTCCCCTCGTAAAGCTGCGGAATCAATGCCTCTGTATTCTGTTTAAGCCCAGCTGAGCTAGATTTCTAGTATATTACGCCTACTATTTAATCGACCTACCAAAACTCAACCCGAAGATACGATCGCCAGCAGCCCACCGACGAAAGATGTACGATCCGAATACCAAAGAGTCAGGTGATAACAAAGATAAGAACGGCTTGCTTAAGTATGGCCGTACCTCAGCACCTGGTAAGCTCCCTCGGAGTCTGGGATGCCAGTCCTTACCAGTCCTTTCTAATGGCGTTGTCAGACTCTGATGCCGATGACTTCCAACCCGGAAAAAAGAGAAAGACTGGTGTTGATCGGCCGGGGGGAGATGCTCCTGTCGTAGAGGACTATACTGTGGGCTGGGTGTGTGCCCTCCCGCTGGAAATGGCTGCCGCGAAAGGGATGCTCGATCAGCTTCATCCGAACTTGCCCTGGCAGGATCCAGCCGACCATAACAGCTACGTCTTGGGTCAGGTTCAAGGCCACAACGTCGTCATCGCCTGCCTACCTGCAGGCATTTATGGAATAACACCAGCTGCCACGGTCGCGAAGGACTTGCTGCGGACCTTTAAGTCAATCCGGTTCGGCTTGATGGTTGGAATCGGCGGTGGTGTACCGTCGCGAAAACATGATATCCGGCTGGGCGACATCGTGGTTAGCCAACCCGCTGAAACAAGTGGAGGTGTTATCCAGTACGACCGGGGGAAGACAGTGCAGGAGGGAGAGTTCCAACGCACAGGATCGCTCAACGCACCACCCCAGGTCCTGTTAGCCGCCCTAGGTCGTCTCCAGGCCGATCACATGATCGAAGACAGCAGAGTCCCCCAGTTTATATCTGAGCTTATCAGCAAAAGCCCAAAGATCATAAAGAAGAAGTTCAGTCATCAGGGCGCTCTCTACGATTGCCTTTTCCAAGCAGAGTACGACCACGTCGATTCAGACTCTACTTGTGATGAGTGTGATCCCAAGCAGAAGATCCAACGGGAGGACAGAGACGACACGAATCCAGTCATTCATTACGGCAACATTGCCTCAGGCAATCAGGTAATCAAGCATGGAAAGACACGCGACAAGTTAAGCAAAGACCTTGGGGTGCTCTGCTTCGAGATGGAGGCTGCAGGACTACAAGATTTCCCATGCCTAGTCATCCGTGGTGTTTGCGACTACGCGGACTCTCATAAGAACAACCGGTGGCACGAATATGCAGCTATAACAGCGGCCGCGTTTGCAAAGGAGCTCCTTTCAGTCATACCGCCAAATAGGGTCCTGCAGGAGAAGCTTATACCGCAGTTAGTGTCTGGTAAGTAGATAATTCCTAGCCTAAATATTCTAATTACTTTGTCCTTCTATATGCAAAATTCATTGTTTGAGTTTATCTCCCCATTTGAACTTTCTTTTAAGGAATATTTAGGTACTAATGCCTCATGCAGATCCTGATCTTCATAGGCTTGTTTCTAACACTAATACGGCCATCTCGGCACAGACGCAGAAGCAGGAGGTCAGATACGAGAGCCAAAAACAGGTTGATTGCCATCAAACATTCAAGACGAGCGCATATGAGAAGTTCAAGAATATCAACCCTGACCGAGTCCCGGGCACATGCAAATGGGTATTAGAGCATCCACGGTACCAAACATGGCAGCAGAGCCGTCACGATGATCTCCTTTGGATTTCCGCCGACCCAGGCTGTGGAAAGTCTGTTTTAGCCAAGTCTCTTATCGATGGGGAGCTCCAATCTACAAACCACCATATAGCTTGCTACTTCTTCTTCAAGGATAACGACGACCAAAACAACCTAGCGACAGCCTTATGTGCCCTTCTTCATCAGCTTTTCAACTTTCAACCATTCCTCATCCGTCATGCTATAGCGGCCTTTGAAAAGAACGGAGAGAAACTGCAGACTGAAGTGGACGAACTGTGGCGTATCTTCATCGCTACTACTACGGACGATCAAGCAATCAATGTCACTTGTGTCCTAGACGCCTTAGACGAGTGCTGTATTGATGACCGACGGAAGATTATCCAGTTTTTAACAAACTTCCACAAGCGGCAAACAACTTCTACAAGAAAGTCTCAATTAAAGTTTCTTGTAACTAGTCGACCTTATCAGGACATCGAATCCGAATTCCGTAACATACCTGAGCCTCAGACAATCCGTCTTGCTGGCGAAGAGAAAAACGCCGATATTAGCGAGGAAATCAACCTTGTAGTTCACGATACAGTACTCAAAGCCGGCCGAGAATATCAGCTGGATCAAGATATGCAGGGCATATTACGGACAAAGCTCTTGGGAACACCCAATCGGACTTATCTCTGGCTGCATCTCATGATCAAGGAGCTTCCCTACCTCGACAAAATCACCAAGAGAGCATTTCAGAAGGATATCGACTCACTTCCGCAGTCTGTTGAGCAAGCATACGAAAGGATTCTGAGCCGACACAGTAACGGCCATAGAAAGAAGGTGCAAACGCTTCTTCATATCGTTGTCGGTGCTCGGCAGCCTCTTACGCTGATAGAACTATACGTGGCCTATCAACTTGCGACAGAACTACCAAACGCAGACAGACACGATGATCTCGAACTTGATCATATACACTTCAAGCTACGGATCCGGGACCTTTGCGGCCTTTTTGTTTTCATAAACGACAACAGAGTCTATTTGATACACCAGACCGCCAAGGAATTCCTCGTTCAACGGATCATTCACCCTAGTCCAGCTAACAACCGTTGGAAACACTCCCTCTACAAACCACATTCAGACGCGATAATGACACAAATCTGTGTTCAATATCTGTCATTTAGGGACATTCAAGACAATCGGTTTCCTGCTGGTAGAAGAGAAACAGACACGAGCACTACCCAGTACCCCTTTTTGGAATATTCAGCAACACACTGGCCTTCACACTTGCGAGACGCAAATCCCCCAAAGGACGTATTACAAAAGCAGATCTTGCAGCTATATAACATGCAAGATGGGCGATTCGAAACATGGGTCTCAATATTCTGGCAAACAAACTATCAATACAAAGCGAGGGGTGGCCTCAACAGTGTACACCTGGCTGCATTGAATGGCCATGACGAAGTGTTACAGAGACTACTTGCCTCAGACGACGCTGCGTTGAACTCAGAAGACAAAGCGGGCTACACACCACTCATTTGGGGGTCTTTAGAGGGTCGCCAGAACAGCGTCCAGATGCTTCTCGATAAGGGCGCAGATGTCAACGCAGGAGACGGCTTTGATGGCAACGCTCTTTACATTGCATCATTTAGAGGCCACGACAAGATCGTCCAGATGCTTCTCAACAAGGGCGCAGATGTCAACGCTCAAGGCGGCGATTATGGCAACGCTCTTCAGGCTGGATCATTAGAAGGCCACGACAAGATCGTCCAGATGCTCCTCAACAAGGGCGCAGATGTCAACGCTCAAGGCGGCGATTATGGCAACGCTCTTCAGGCTGGATCATTAGAAGGCCACGACAAGATCGTCCAGATGCTTCTCAACAAGGGCGCAGATGTCAACGCTCAAGGCGGCGAATATGGCAACGCTCTTCAGGCTGCATCATACGAGGGATACCACAACATCGTCCAGATGCTTCTCGATAAGGGCGCAGATGTCAACGCAGAAGGCGGTGAGTATGACAACGCCCTTTACATTGCATCATTTAGAGGCCACGACAAGATCGTCCAGATGCTTTTCAACAAGGGCGCAGATGTCAACGCAGAAGGCGGCGATTATGGCAACGCTCTTCAGGCTGCATCATACGAGGGATATCACAACATCGTCCAGATGCTTCTCGATAAGGGCGCAGATGTCAACGCAGAAGGCGGCTACTATGACAACGCTCTTTACATTGCATCATTTAGAGGCCACGACAAGATCGTCCAGATGCTTCTCAACAAGGGCGCAGATGTCAACGCAGAAGGCGGCTACTATGACAACGCTCTTTACATTGCATCATTTAGAGGCCACGACAAGATCGTCCAGATGCTTCTCAACAAATGCGCAGATGTCAACGCTCAAGGCGGCGAATATGGCAACGCTCTTCAGGCTGCATCATACGAGGGATACCACAACATCGTCCAGATGCTTCTCAACAAGGGCGCAGATGTCAACGCTCAAGGCGGCAGATATGGCAACGCTCTTCAGGCTGCATCATTAGAAGGCCACGACAAGATCGTCCAGATGCTTCTCAACAAGGGCGCAGATGTCAACGCTCAAGGCGGCGAATATGGCAACGCTCTTCAGGCTGCATCATACGAGGGATACCACAACATCGTCCAGATGCTTCTCGATAAGGGCGCAGATGTCAACGCAGAAGGCGGCGAGTATGACAACACCCTTTACATTGCATCATTTAAAGGCCACGACAAGATCGTCCAGATGCTTCTCAACAAGGGCGCAGATGTCAACGCTCAAGGCGGCAGATATGGCAACGCTCTTCAGGCTGCATCATCTGGAGGCCACGACAACATCGTCCAGATGCTTCTCGATAAGGGCGCAGATGTCAACGCTCAAGGCGGCAGATATGGCAACGCTCTTCAGGCTGCATCATCTGGAGGCCACGACAACATCGTCCAGATGCTTCTCGATAAGGGCGCAGATGTCAACGCAGAAGGCGGCAGATATGGTAACGCTCTTCAGGCTGCATCAGAGGGAGGCTACGAGAACATCGTCCAGATGCTTCTATGGCAATGCTCTTTAGGCTGCATCATCCCAAGCCTATGACAACATAGTCCAGACGCTTCTTATCAAGGTCACTGATGTCAAAGTACAAGGCGGGGAATATTGTAAAGCTCTTTATATCAGCGCACATACCCATTCAAATCAATCAAACAAATAAGTCAAACAAACAGTCAAATATAGGAATTTCAGCGAGTCAAACAATCAAATATCGTGAGGCCCTAACATACAGACAACGATGAATCCGACTCAGATTCATTGAAATGCCCATAGAAATAGAAATGGGTCCCTAAAGACAAGGGGTCAGATTCATTGAAACGACAGGGGGTCAGCTTCATTGAGGTTTTCTTATCTAAAATAGACGATATAGACATGCATCGAAAGCTGAGAATTAGGCGAGCTCAGAAATGATCTTACCTTTATTATAAACCCAGTATTCACCTCTATATGTATAGATTCGTGATTGACGGTTTGATAGGGTCAAGATGGCTCGTGCATGGCTGCACCAATGATCGGTAGGGTGGCCGTTACTCAGATGGCTCGTGCGTCGAACCTAACCTCTAGGACACGACGAACTGTAGTAGAGTTCATAGAAAACGCCATAGAAAATAATTATGGGGCGTGAATACTAGGGTGTAGAGTTGATAGAGATTATAGGGGTAGAGTTGGTAGAGGTTTCCTTAGCTAAAATAGACGATATAGATATGCATCGAAAGCTGGCAATCAGGCGAGTTCAGAACTTATCTTATCTTTATTCATAACCCAATATTTATCTCTATTTGTATAGATTCGTGTTTGCCGATTTGATGGGGTGAAGATGGCTCGTGCATCAGTGCACCAATCAACGCTAGAGCTATCATCACATAACCTTGCTATGCTCACTGAGGCAGCAGCCAATCATAGTATTTCTACCTAGCGTTTCCTTTGTGGTAAGCAGTTTAGTATAGTTAAACGAGATAAGGAATGCGCTGCAGCTACCGAATGAGGAGATAGCGCCCATGTCCAGTTTAATGCTGTGGTTAAGATAGTTGCCCGTCCAACAGCATCTTAACTCAACCACAGTCAACATCAATCCACCAATATGTAAGACTAACACCACTTATCTCGGTAGTAGCCCACAACTACCACGGCCCAAGACTATCGTAATTACGCTAGTAATGGAGCCGTTTATCTTTTATGAAGAGTATGCACTCGCTATTTGTAAAACATGTCAGTTTGCTGTGGTTAGTGACGAGTTAGCCACCCACCTACGGACACGCCACCGCCATATCCCACCGTCGACCCGTAGTAGCATCGTCAAGGCCATCTCTGGTATAATGGGCATACGTACGAACCAGGCCAGTCTTACGCAGCTGCAGTATCCCGACCCATCAACAGCCCCCATCGACCATCTTACCGACCCACGCACGGACGGTATCCGATATCACCGATACTCCTATATTTATCGCCAAACTCAAAGGATCCAGGATCACTACCAAAGACATCACGGGTAGGTAAACGATTAGAAGAAGGGCGGTAACGTAAGGGCGAGATCTTGTTAAGAACGTAACATACCGTAGACGTCCAGTATACTATACTAGCGGTTCTTTTTATTACGGGCTGGGAGCTAATGGTTCGAGGTAGGGCGTGGCTAACCGCTAGACCAAGCGCCGGAGGCGGTCGCCGAGGAGGTAGCGTCACGGCAGGCCACCGAGCTACTCCGTTAACTACGGCAGAACCAAGCCGAGCAGGTCAAGGCGAGCTATGACGATCTCATCCGTGCTACCAACAACAAGCTCGAGCCGAACCCGTAGCTCCAGCGGGTGGGATGGGCAGAGCATCTGAGTGGACTACGTATTAGCCAGCTCTACAAAACCACCGGCCCAATCTAGGAGGCCGTGGAGGACGTACTCTATGTGATGTGGACTTCGGTCAACGAGGTCTTGGAGTACGCCAGGGCCATATCCACGCCCAATAAGGTCGGGCACGCCGTACTATTCGAGGTCCAGCGGAAGGAAGCACATATTAAGCCTACGAAGCCGTTTAATAACCGCATTAAGGAGGACACTTGGGTACGGTATAAAGATATCTAGAGGGTCTTGCTCTGTATATGGTTCCGGACGTAAGAGCTACCGGACGACGGGAGACCGCCGTACCGGCTCACCGAGAGGCAGTACGACGCATAGGACGAGTTCGAATAATTGGCCAAGGCCGTGGTGGAAGGGGACTCCAACACTACGTCGGATACGCTCCGGCCGGCAGCACTCAAAATACTCATTAGCATACTAGACCACCAGCTTAAGAGAGGGCAGTACGAGAACGCGATAGTAAGTACGCTCGCTATAATAGGCATCCGGGCCGACGGTGGCTGGATGGATATTACCGACTATACAACAAAATATTCGGCGATCATTAAAGTAGCACGTATGTTAGTCGTTTATAAGGCATATACGCAAAGTCAATACGATGTCGCTCGTCAGGCCGCTACGACGGACGAGGGGGCGGCCGATGATGGCATAGAGAGTCTCTTTGTCTACGTCCGTCGCATGGTACAGAGGTTCATAACGCGTACGCCCGGGGCCCCCCAAGCCGAGCCAACACCGATGGATTGGATTCTCGAGACGCGGACGTATGGCATGCATATACAGTATAACACGCCGGCAGACGGCGTAATCGACTAGGTAAGCGACCGCATATCGTATCGGCGCGTACGGTTTACCATAGACCAGTTATCGGACATGCTCCACGGCGTCGTCAACGAGGCCAGGCTACTATTAGCACAGCTCACGATAGTCACAGGCGGGGACGAGCAGGGCGACGCAGTGTCGGACAGCAGCCAGGCGAGGAGCTGTCTAGACGAAGCGCTGCCGCGTATTCACTGGCCGTCGATCGAGGACGACCATAGCGAGACCCGAGAGGGTTACTCGTTTCTATACGACGACCGCAACGCGTGGCTAAGGGAAGGGGACGGGTGGGTGTTCCGGCGTATCGTGGGGTCCCAACCGCGGCGGCGTCAGTAGGGTATAGAGGGACCGACATCGGGCAGCAGGGCGTTCAGGGAGGAGGTAGTGCGCGAGTACGGGCATACGTTCGAGCAGTTCCGCGAGCGGCTATGGTTGCTAATGCATATACTAGGGGGCCAGCCGGGACGGGCAACGGAGATAGGTAGCTTACGGGTAGCTAATATGGTAAACGGCGGGGTACGGAACATCTTTATATACGACGGTATAATATATTTCGTAACGGCGTACCATAAAGGGTACCGGAGCAGCGGGCAGACTAAGATTATCCACCGGTATTTACCAAGAGAGGCCGGCGAGCTACTTGTATAGTACTTATAGCTCGTACTTCCGTTCTAGCAGGAAGCAGAAGGCATCACGAAGCAGGCCCACCACTATAGCGCTTTCTTATGGGCCGACGAGGTCACACAGAAGAGGAGCGGCGGAGGAGCGGCGACGGTAACCAGCGTAGATATCGACAACGCGGGCGACACTGCCGAGGACGGGGACAAGGGTAGGGCGGCGTAGGCTTGGACAGAGGATCGGACGTGGACGACGGACCGGGCCAGGCAAATTATACAACGGCACAGCAGCCGGCTACTCGGTAACAAGCTGAACGTGAGTATGTGGCGGCATATTGCTATCGCTATCGCCAACCGATTCTTACACGAGGCGTTCGGGCGGTGGGATCTAGGGAAGAAGGGAGACGACGAGGACGAAGACGAGCTCGGTGATAGCCCGTGGGATCTATAAGCCGGGTACGGGACGCGGATCGCCGGTATGATCTATGGGCGGCTACTAGTCCAGTTCGGTAGCGGGGTAGCGGCTAAGCAGCAGCAGTTTCGTAAGGTCAGCTCGCAGTGGCATCGGTTCTTGGGGTTTGGGGACGAGGACCGGGCGAGCGACGGTTACCGCAGCGGCTCGAAGCGAAAGGTAGAGCTCTACGACGGCGTCCGTCTCGAGGCCCGGCTACGGCGGTTCGCACGGCTACAGCAGGCGGACATGGCCGGCCGGCTACGGCAGATGACGGGGGACGACGCAGCGACGTTCCGCGGGAACCAGGCGAAGGTAGTCGGGGCTATCGTCAACGGGCATAGCCCGATCATCCAGGTAATGGGCACGGGCAGCGGTAAGAGTTTATCGTTTATGCTACCAGCGTTCTGCTCACCGGACGGCGTAACGGTAGTTATTATACTACTTACCGCGCTTCGGACCGACTTAGAGGCGCGGTGTACTAAATTGGGGATCGCGTCCTATATATGGCTTAGCCATAAGAATAACTAGGCCGTATCCATTATCTTCGTTACGCCTAAGTCCGCCGTTAGTAAAGGCTTCCAGGACTTATAGTACGGCTTACGTTACGATAAGCGCTCGACCGCGTCGTGGTTGATGAGTGCTACGTTGTACTAGAGGGGACCCGGTCGTTCCGGCCGAAGCTATGCGAGGTTGGCGTAGCGATACGAGAGTTCGGGGTATAGATCGTATACTTAACGGCTACGTTAGCACCGGGCGACGAGAAGGCATTCTTCGGGCTTATAGGGATAGATCGTAACCGGACGTAACTATTCCGGGCCCCGATAAGTAGGAGGAATATTGAGTATAGCGTCGTGAGGGTAGATGGGTACGGCGGGCGGAGCTCGTCTTAACGCACCGGCAGACGCGGCCAGGGCGGGAAGGGGAGCAGGGAGTTTAATAGTATTGACGAAGCGTGTTACCGCGCCGCG